CAAGCAACCAAGCAACCAAGCAACCAAGCAACCAAGCAATTAACTAACCAAGCAACTAAGTAACCAAGCAAGCAAGCAACTAAGTAACCAAGCAAGCAAGCAACTAAGTAATCAACCAACCACCAAGCAATTAACCAACCAAGCAAGTAACTAAGTAACTAAGGCAGTGAAGCAGCGAGGCAGCGAGGTAAGTAAGTAAATAAAGTAGTAAGGTAGTAAAATAAGTAAATAAGGCAGTCTACTATCAGGCCTCTAGGCTGATAAGATCTATATAATAAGAGCAGAATATCTTAGGTATCCCGCGGTTATATATATATAGTCGGGAGGGTGGTTTTCTAGATTTTTCTTTCTCTTTCTCTTCTATCTTCAGAATTCTTATTACTATAGAATTTTATCTGTTTCTTGTTTAATTTATATATAGAGATTTATATTTTATAACCAGGGTATATTACTTTACACACGTATCTTATACCTTGGCCACGGTTAATCAGGAGTCACCTAATAGTCAGGATCTAGTTCTTATTTAAGCGGTAAGAACAGCGGTCAAGGGACTTACAACTCTATTTGCCCGATGGCCGCAATCGTCCGCCGTAGCTCGCATAGGCTTTGACGCCCATTTCCAATTCGGAGATAACTACGTAGGGACCCAATAAACTAGTAGATTCGATTCTGTCGCCACTAGACTAACAAGTCTAAGGGAAAATTCTCATTCGAAAATTTGCGGGAAAAAGTTAGGGCTGACAGACAGATGAGATTAAGGTGACTCGTATCCGGCCCCGGCTGTTATTTCCATCACACCTCGGGCTTCCTGTTCATCGTAAGGGAATTCCACCACGATATGGTGGCCCGCGCACGAGTCGATCGCCCACCGCACGCGCTCGTGTTCGAATTGCAGTTTTGTGCGCAGACCTTCAGCCTCGGCAGCGGACATTGGCCAATCCTTGACGTGATCCATCACCGACAACACCAGCTCTGGGGGTAAGCGCTGATCGAGCCGAGCTGCCTGTCGGGCTGCAGCGGCCCACCAGTCATCCTGCTGCGGAGGAACATTCTGTGTTGAACAGATGCGATAATGTGGGTCGACGAGTCGAAGCTTGATTAGGGTTAAATTTCCCGGCTGGCTGGGGTCTACCAAGCGAAAGGGCTCTTGTCTTGATTGATAGGTATTGGGCCAGCTGACAAGACGGCCCTCGGGGAGTGGGACCGACCCGAAAGCATGCAGTGCGCGAGGGGGTTTCTCCTTGTACCACTCCCAGTAATCGACATCGAGGACCGTGGCGAGCGCCTCGGGCACCTGATACTCGAGCTCCGCGGCGTGAACCTTGTCCTCGTGCTCGAAGGCTAGGTGGGCTGTGGTAAGATTCTTGCACTTTACCACATACAGGCTGGTGGCTGTAATCCGATTGTTGCGGAGCCTCTCGGTGTGGAAATGACTTTCTCCGGTATAGATGGGATTGTCCGGGGTTAGTTTGATGTGGGCAATTTCCACTACAACTTGGAGACCCTTCTCTCGGAATTGCCTCTCCAACTGCACGGGTCTGTGGTCGTGGTGCAGCGGATCCGGGGTTTTGCTGATTCGCTGCGCGTGAATTGTATGTCCCGTAGATTGCCCCTGCTTCCACTGCTCATATGAGAACGAGACACCGGGCTCAGGGTGGTTGAACCAGGCTCGACGGATGCGTTTGAATCTAGCGACTAAATGTACGTGGTTGGGCATGTCCCATTCCTCGGGCGTGAGTAGGTCCGTTAAATTAGCCGGCTTGTCGGGCAAGGGCTGCGCCTGCTTCCATTTCAGTGGCTCAGGGCCTTGGATGTACTCACGCGCTGTGTCGCGCAGGGCCTCCCACTCCTTGTAGGTGTCGCATTGTCTCTGCCAGTGAGGCCAGGGACGAAGGACATTGAAGAGTCTATGCTCTTCTTGAAAGTCGTGAATCTCGCATCCATATGTCAGGATGCGTGGTGGGCGACAGCCACAGGTATTGCCGTAGAATAAGATTTCATTCCACGAAGGAACGGAGCTTGCTATTAGGCGCTCCAGATGCCGATACAGGTTCTGGTGCTTGCCCGGGTGAAGGTTATTGACGTACGAAGTGATCCGAAGATTCAGGGTGTCAGCATCATCGATGAACTGTACCTCGCAGGGAAGCCACTGGAAGCGATGCGACCAGCAGCTCTCCGGTCCTCCTTGACCAGGCCTGCGTTCTAAGCGACGGGGCCGATGTCGGAGAAAATCCAGGGGATGAGGAGGTAGCGCTCCACTTGGTGGTTCTCCGGTCGATTCCCAGAGATTGTGGAGGGAGGCCCGTCCCCCATGAATCAGGACTCGAGACTGGTCGTAGACGAGGGGATACAACGACGGATCCACCACGCGATAATAGTGTCTGGGCTGCGGGTGTGGGACCAGTCGCTTGATCTCCTCTTGGACCCCTTCTTTCAGGGACTCGTTCTGGGACTCGAGCAGCACATCGGCTTGACACACAGCCGAGGAACTGTCAAAGACCAGGAGACGGCTCGTTTCCCGCCACTTTTCGGCTTTATCGCGCAGTTCCGCCAGGCACCAGGCCCATGTGGTGGCGCTGATCAGGTGACCGTCCAGTCCTTCTCCTTCTTCTGTGGCGTCGCGATACCATTGCGTGAGCTGGGCCTCATCCGAATCCAAGACGGCACAATCCCAACCACTGTGCTCTGTGATCCGTTGCATGAGACGGAGCATGGCCATTTCCCGCTTGGTCAGCCGTGGTGTGTGGCGATAGTCCAGCAGCCCATGCGCAAAGCGGGCCTCTGGTGGGAGTTGAAAGTCCAACGGGATGGAGCCGAACCCGGGCACCTCAAGCGGACCATCCCCGCTGTTGGTCAGATTTGCCATGGTTGGAGACATCCTGGATAGGGAGTAGGTGGTTTGCAGTGCGTTGTGGTCTTGGCGGCAGGAGATATGAGCTTTCGTGTACCACTAAAACGGTGTGACAATGGGTTTATCCCTACATATATTAAATACTTATTCACTAGTGGACCCCAACCCGACAAGCCGGCACCTGGTCCCCAATCTCCTGCACCTTGCACCTTAATCTACACAACCAAAGACGCAGTACTAGTCGATACGCCCCTCACAATCCAATAAACCGAGGATCTCGTGAAATGGATCCACAAGATTGCCCTGGGTCGCAAACTAACGCACATCTACATCACACACGGCCACGGGGACCACTTCTTCGGCATCCCCGTCATCCACACCCACTTTCCAGAGGTCAAAGCTGTAACCACCACCCGCGTGCTCGAACACATGAAACAACAGGCTGAGCCGTCGGTTTACGCGGCCACATGGGAAGCGCGTTTCCCCGGCCAGGCCTACACCCCGCAGCTGAGCGTGCTCGCTTCTCCGCTGCCGCCGGAGAGTCACCGGTTTATGTTGGAGTATCGCTACGTTCTGCAGGCGGTCGAGTGTGGGCACTCGGATGCCTATGATTTGACGGTCCTGTGGGTTCCAGACCTGAAGCTGGCGGTTTGTGGGGATGTGGTGTATGGGCAGGTGCACCAGATGCCGTTGGAGGCTAACACTAGGGCGAAACGGGAGGGCTGGATACTTGCGGTGGAGGTGGTCGAGGCGTTGGGCCCTGTGTATGTGGTTCCTGGTCATAAATTGCCGGAAGATATGGATGGGGTTTGGCATCTTGCTGTGACGAAGAGGTATCTTGTAGATTTTGGGAGGATCGCGGCTGGTAACCCTGAAAATCCTAACGAGGTGTTCGCGCGGATGATGGAGTTGTATCCGGAAAGATTCAATCCTGGGGCTCTCAGGCTGGGCGCTGTTGGGTTGTTCCAGGTCTCCGAGAGAGTATCAGCTCTAGGGTGGTGAAGCACCTCTCGGTGGTGGTGCTCATGGACGGAGGCGCAGAGGTATGGTTTGAGGGAATGGATGAGTCCTGTATTGACGTGTCAAGTATTTCTATGGCTGTTGTCCCTCAATGACCCATACACTCTTTGGTATACGTGCATTGCTGCCGAACTGGATCCCTAGGCTTGTAAGCCCAAGCCATTGGTACTCACGAGTCTCTCAACTTCTTCCATAATTCAATCTAGTTCATTAAAATCAACAATCTTCTTATCCCGTATTGTTTTGCAACCCCCCCCCTTTCAGTTGGCCCATTAGCCGGTAAATCCAATGCAAGCCCATGCATATACAGACCATATCTACCAGTCAGTCATCTATTCCCACCGAGAGACTGCACAGTATATCAGCTTAACCTCATACACCAACTAAGAACCCTCCTCCCGCGCATGTTCCCAAAGCTTACAAAACCAACCTCCCTGACACTCTCTCAGCACCCGCGGATCCCCCCATTCCACCAACCGACCACCCTCCAACACCGCAACGCGATCATACGCACCCGCCGTGTGCAGCCGATGCGTGACCGCCAAAACCGTATGCTGCGGTCCGAACCGCTCCGCCAGGAAGCGCATCATGACCGCCTCCGTGCCCGGATCGAAGCTACTCGAGCTCTCGTCCAGAAGCAGAATGCGTCGATCCCCGTTCGTCAGATAGCTGCGTCCCACGCACAGTAGCTGCTTCTGGCCTTGACTTAGCGATGCGGTATCTATATCGCTGTCTAGTCCGCCTGCTTTCGCTGCTACTGTCTCCCAGAGGTTTAGGGATTGGAGGACGTCGCGGAGTTCGGTGTCTGAGTGCGTGCAGGACGGATCTAGGTTGTTGCGGATGCTGCCGGGGAGAAGTACTGGGGACTGCGGGATGGTGTTGCAGAGGGAGCGAACTGTCGTGGAGGAGAGGGTGTTGATGTCGACCCCGTCGATTAGGATCGTGCCTTGTTCGTGGTCGAGGGGGAGCATTTTAAGCAGGGCGAGGAGGAGTGAGGATTTCCCGCTACGGTTTCGTCAGTTTTCCTGCGGATTAGAGATTGCGGCTTTATGGTTTTACTGGATATAGCGTACCTGCCGGATCGCCCGCAGATGCCTACTTTCATACCTGGTTCCACCGAGAACGAGATATGATCCAGAGCGAGTCTTGACATGGGTCTGTGTGGGTGTCAGCCCCTGTTAAGAGCACTTCGTATAGAAATTGGTTAGGCGCTGGGCCAGGGTTCTGTACCTGTAAGACGCGGTGACGTTTCTAAAGTCGATCCGTCCGGAGCCTAGGGAAGGCGAATGAAGCTGCGGATCGTCGAAGTGTCTCGCGGGATCGTCCTCCGGTTTCACGTCTGTCGTGAAAGACTTGATTCGTCCGACGGCCCCGAGTGAGGTTTCGAGAGTGGTATACGCCGTGACGAGTAGGCTCAATGTCTGGGCGAAATTGATGACGTTGATCAGGGCGGTGCCGATAGCGTTCCCAGATGTGATACCCTTGATTTGTGTCCCAAATGCCACGAGGACGACTGCCACTACCACGACTAAGAGGGACAGCACGAAAGTCAGCCAGCGTTGAATACAGTACAGAGCGTAGAAGGGACGCTGGGATTCGTCAAGTAAGCTGATATTCTCCTTTCGGAAGCGATCCTCCCATCCATGCGCCCGGATGGTGAGAAGGCCGCTGTATGTATCCAACAGCTGGCTGAATAAGGGGGCTTTGGCTCCTAGGTCGAGATAGCGGACCTGCCGAGACGTTCGCAGGTAGAGCTTCTGGATCAAGTAGGTCGCCAGAATCACCCCGGGCAAGAATGCTGCGATGTATCGCACCCCGGTGCAAATAAGGATCGCCTGGCCAAGGCACGTGAAACAGTCCAGAAAGAACTCAACTGCGGCGGAGGGAAGGTCAACGTCAACCAGGGTGATATCCTGGCTGAATCGATTGAGGGTGGTTCCGACATCGGTGGCTGCATGGAAGCTGTAGGGGGCCTCAATCGCCGTTTGTAGAAGTGCCGAGTGAAGCCACTGAGCCGATCGCGGGACGATCACCTGGAACATGAAGAAGAGAACGGCCCCGTACAGTAGCATAGCACTGACCATGATCCCCAGGTAGGATCCGCCGTATGCGGCATGAATATGACTGTTTCGACTCGGATCCTTCTCGGCCGCATCCACCCAGAACCCTGCCCAGACTTGCCCGAAACGAGTACAAAACACATAAAGACAGTTCAACAGCAGATAGACAAGCAGATTACGTGTACCGACACTCTTCAAATAATACTTATAGATAGAAAAGTCCCCCTTTTGTCGCGCCATGTCAGTCGCCAGGGGCTCGGATGTACTCGGGTAAGAGCTGTGTGCTGCTTTCCGACGTTTGTTGAACTGTGCTGCCCCGTCTCTCCTCTCCTGGATTACCTTGAGGATTAGCTAGAGAGGGACTGTCGCTCTCGAATCCCACGCTGACAGGCTTCTCCACCCGAATGGAGCCATTTTTCTCGACGATGAGAACCGAATCTGCGTAGTTCACGTAACGCGTGTTGTGAGTGGTCAAGACGACAGTACATCCAAGCTCCCGCAAAAGCCCACTCGGGCCGAGAAGGCGTTCGTGGATCAAAGCCTGAGATGTGGTATCGAGGCCACTGAAGGAGTCATCCAGGAGAAGTAATGTCTCGCGTGCGTAGATTGCCCGCGCAACAGCGACCCGCTGGCTCTGGCCACCGGAAAGACGGACTGCTTTGGATCCTAACCGGGTCTGATCCCCATACTGAAGCTTTGCCACTTCTGAATCCAAGCAAGTGGCATGCAGCACCTTGTGGTAAAAGCCAGCGTCGAAGGTACGTCCACCGAGGATATTGTCGCGTAAGGACATGTCTTGAAGCCACACATCTTGACCACAATAGGCTATGGCTGAATCTGAGATAATAACCGACCCTTTCAGGCATTTGACCTCGCCCATTACTGCCTTGAGAAGTGTTGTCTTGCCTGATCCCACCGATCCAAGTACCATAGTGATGGAACGAGGGTAGCAGTCCCAGCAGACGTCCTTCAGCACGGCGTTTCCGGCTTGATGGTACCCGAAAGAGCCCTCTACAATCGAAAACCAAGGGCTATTCGTCTCTTGGTCTGCAGTCCACTCAGAAAGTTCCATTCCTCCGTTAGGAGAAGACATCGAATCCACCGTGCGAGAAACAACACAATCTTGGGCTTGATGGCAGGGTTTAACATCCCGGTAGTCTTGCTTCTCTTCTAACAATAAATACTTCTGAATCATCGAGAAGCATGCCAAGGAAGCTAGAAAGGTCGGCACCGCATTCAACGCCAGACCTAAGGGGGATGACATTAAGGCAACAATGGTGAGTGTGTAATACACCAAGGAGCTCGTGAGCTGATCAGACCCAGGGTTCATCGTCACGAAAGCGTATATCAAAAGCGTTATGACTGGGGAGAGAAGCGCCGACATGTTCGCGCACATGTTCATGAGGCACTCAATCCTCAGATAGGCCTTCGCCTTAGCAATCTCAGTCGACCGCAACTCCCGGATTGTCTGGCCAAGCAAAGAGGTCATGTCCATCAGTTTGAAACCTCTCATATTGGTCAAGAGAGAGGATGTAAGGCTGACGCGCTTTTGCACTGCACCAAGCCAACGATCCTGCCGTCTCCTCATCATTTTGGCGATCTGGGTGCTTCCTGAGGTAGAGATCAGAGCTAGCGCCACAGGCGCTATGCAGGCGACGCCTAACTTCCGCTCCAGCAGGAAGATCCCAATCCCTACATCAAGAGGGGAAGCCCATATCTCATGCACGTTAACCCAATTGGTTGCAATGCCATCTATATCTGTCGTCATAAGCGTGATGGCCGCTGAATCTGTTATGTTCTCGACATCCACTCTCATAGTCTTGTCGTAGAGGAGCGATATCAGGCCGCCGCGAACCATGGTAATCATCCGAAAATTCTTGTGCTTGTATATGGCATTGCTGAACGCGACTCCCGCATAAATCAGAGCAGTAGCTCCGATTAGCCCATACCCGTAGTTGGGATCCTCTTTTTCATGATTACTGACGTAGCTGATGACGCGGAAGATGAGAAAAGGCTGACACCAGGTGAAGGCACTTTGAAACAGCCTGGGAATGGCCGCAGCCACAGAGTTCGTAGCTGAACGGCGTCAAAAAGCAGGCTGAAAAGCAGGTAGAGACACAAGATCGTCGAGGGACGAGTTGACCGTCGATATTCGAAGACCGAAAGAGTCATCATGATCAGAGCGTCGACGACCGCGAGAGAAGCTGCTGGAATGGACATCCGGCTGTAGGGTGTGGCCGAGGAAGCCCATTCGGCCAGTAATGCTATCTGCAAAGCGGCAAATATTACAAAGGTAAGCTATGAGGCTCGTGAGAGATCAGCAGCGTACTCTCGAGATTACTTCCAGTCCAGGCAGTGGCCTTACCATTCTCCTGTAGATGCGAATGCCATGCGCTGTTTTGACATCCTGCCGCACAAGGTGGGCAAGTCGCCCTGGAGTTACCAAGATCAAGACAGTCGATGGTAGCAAGGAAAGAATACTCTGTTCAAAGAGCAAGGTAAAATCGAAGTTGGACCGACAATCACCCGCTGTTCCGGGTCCAAAGAGGTCCTCATTGCAGCGACTCATTCTCAACGAGGTCGGTGTGGTTGATGGGAGGAGAACTGAAGCGCAGCGAGCGCACTTACTTGCCCGGTTTTCAGCAAGGCTTCATATAGTACTGCCAGGTTTACCACCTCTTTGGCGCTGGCTTATCGATGGCAAGTAACAGGACAGCTTGGAAACTGGCCTTGCCTGGGATACTGCTTCCTAGCGAGTGTGATAGCCGTCGGTCTCCGCGTCAGCCTTAGACTCGCCTCCGGGAAACGCTTAACGTGATAGGGTCGTTCAGCCATTGGACTCAGGGATCTTGATCCTCCATCAGATTAGTGTAGTTTAATTGATTAAATACGGCGATCGTTACCTAGTGCGGCGTCCTTCTTTTGTTCGGATGAGCTGCCGGGGAGCGCCCAAGGGAACAAGTGCACCAGCGCAAACACAGTCAGCCCCTAAAAACAAGATCTGTAATAAAGCTAATGCATGTCAAAGTGCTACTCCGCTCCTGCCAGAATATACTTGATAGCCCTCATAGTACCTACAGTCTGCTGACTTTAATGCCTTCGGTACAGAAAGTAAAACGGCAATGTTCAACTTACATAGAGCTTCCTGCCTCCGGACTAAGGAACCCATGCAAAATCAACCGAGTACAAGAGGCATCGGCCTTCTTGAAGGCATGGAGAGGCCGTTGAGCATTGCTTAGGAGGTATCATCTTTTCTTCATTTGTTTCTGCAACTACCGGTGCTAAGTGGTTGCGTCGCCTTCAACAGCAATTCTTGTGATTTCATAGAGTATATCGGTTGAGCGATATTATCACGGTATAGCCCTAAGCTGCCCGGTATTACCGGGGTCATCTTCGATGAGGCATGGAGCTATCTGATCTGCTCCTATTCAGAACCCATATGCCTGGCTCGTTAAAATATCTCAGTGTGGTCTACTACTTCATTTCACTGCTTATGCCAATCCCTATTGACAGTCTGATGGAGTGATCCGAACAAGATAAGTACCAAACCAACTTAAAGCTATATTCCAAGAAATAGCTGTGGCTTTGCACGGATTGGGCTACAGTGAAGTCAGTTCATAATGAAGGCTGAGTGAGATTTTTGCTTGGCGTATCCCCAACAAGCTTACTTGCCGTCACCGCTAATGAGAATCTATACATGTTTGCAGGATCTTCTGCCCTGCTGCTGGCCATTCAGCCAGTGCATCATGAACTTGGGGTCGCGTAAATAAAAACAGCGAACAGCAAGGGGGACATCAGCGACGACTGCTGCAGGCATCCAGTTTGGTAGTGCTTACGAGGCTGAGTCGGGCTCCTAAACAAGGCTAACTCAAGGCTTCCTCGAAGGTGGAGCTTCACGATGACTCTACCTTTCCGCCTCCTTTAATAACTTCTTACTCGCTCGAAAATATATATATCGAGCAAGTAACCCTACATCAGCACCAGACATAACAAAATTATCTAACCCAAACACGTTATGGCTCGACAACCCCCCGCGGAGTTTCTTCCCGCGCAACCCCCAGCCAACGCGCAATGCCACCGCATCGACTTCACGCGCTCCGACCCACCACTGCCTGAATACAAGGACCTCCGCGCGGTCGTCATCGACAACGCGCTCACTAAAGAAGAATGCGACGAGCTCCTCCGCCTCGCCGAGGCCAGCACCGTGCCGCCCCACAAGGACCGCTCCGCCGCGGCCGAACCGACCTGGGAGCGCGCCATGATCAACCTGGGCAACGGCAAGCAGGCGCTCGCGGTCGACACGCGCAACTGCGGCCGCATAATCTACGATGCGCCAGCCCTGGCCGACAAGCTGCTGGCGCGGCTGCGACCTTTCCTGCAGGAGCTGGGCCTCGAGGTAATCGATCGCCAGCCCCGCGTGACAGGCCTGGCCGGTCGCAATGCCGTCTACCGGCTCACGCGGCTCAACGAGCGGCTGCGCTTTCTCAAATACGAGGGCGGCGAGTACTTCCGTCCGCATTGGGATGGGAAATACCGTACCCCCGATGGCGGGGAGACTTCTTACTATACCGTGCATCTGTATTTGAATGGGGAGGGGGAGCAGGATCGCAAGGAGCTGATGCGTGAGATGAAGAGGGTGGAGGAGCAGATGGATAAGGGCGAGGGACAGGGCGCGGTGGTGAATCTCGATCCCAGCGGTCGACTGCTGGGCGGTGCCACCTCGTTCTTGCCTCGGTTCGAGGAGAAAGAGCGCCATCTTCGCGTCTTTCCCCGTACGGGGTCGGTGCTTGTGTTTCAGCAGAATGATCTGCTGCATGGTGGCGATCCGGTCTTACGCGGGGTGAAGTATACCATGCGCACGGATATTATGTATCGCCGGGATTGAGGGGGGGGATATGTTACTTAGATTAGCTGGGTTTGAGGGCCCTGAGCAATGGTTAATGGATGGTAGCGACTTCATTTTGGATATGCGTGTGGGCTGTGCAGGGCCTTTGTCTGGGTATCATCCATGTTTGGGGGAATGTAAGACAAGATGTCATCAGCAGCAGACGAACACGAAGTTATGGGGGGGGGGGATGCCGGGGTTGGCCTGAAGTTTGTGGCAGCGGCATTGCGTCAACCGAAATGTCATTTAATCACTTTCAATCCCTCCACTTCACTCTCCCATCCAGGGTCTTCCCTCATCCGAATGGGATTCGCCAACGAGGCGTCAGAAAGTCTCACGGACAACATGTTGCTGAGTCGCAGTCAAGGAGATTGAGACCAACCTGAAGCAGAATGCGCCTGCCTGATCATGGATCTCCAATGCAGTCAGTGAGTGTGCGTTGTCAGCTGTCTGCCGCTGTCCCAACCACAAACGCCCAATCCTCGACGCTTTTAGACAGCTTTGGCTGAAGAACCATGGCTCAAAGCTCGAGCTCAGCCACAGACTTTCGCTCGGCCGAATATAGCCTTTTTCACCATGCCGCATTCCCGCGTCAGAGACGCCCAATGATCATCCCTGGTTCTCTAGGTTGCCAGCTTGCGAGCTCACCATGATCAATCATCGCTGAATACAAATACTTGGCTTCCCTCAGCCTTGGTCGAGAGCCAAGACCTTCTACCTAACCACAGCGCCAGTCAGTCGAAAAAACATGACCTAGGGTCTTGTGTTGCAGCAAATTCGAGATCATCCGCGCGAGCCTTGCAGCTGTAGACTGCGCAGATTGAAGGTATCAGGCAATATGGAATTGACCCCGATGTTCTTGATTTTGGTGGGCTTGCGATTCGGTATGAGAGTCTTATTCCATTAACGTTCTCATCCGCGACTGATGACTTGTATAGGACTGGCCACTGGCACGGATGCAAACGGGAATCACGTCATGTTACAGCGCGCCCTACCGAATGCCCCCAATGGTTATACCCCCTCCAATGTCAGTTGCTCGGCTAGCCGACCTACAGTACGCGATGCATCGACTCTTTCATCGAACGAGACCTCATGGCTCGAGACTCGTCGAAACAAGACCGAGTCAGCCCTGAAGGATTTTTTCGGTCATGTCACAATCGAGAACTTCGATGCCGCGGATTATATTGATCGAATCTCGGGAAACGCCTCCAACTTACCGAACATCGGCATCGCAGTTTCGGGAGGCGGCTATCGAGCGTTGATGAACGGCGCCGGGGCAATCAAGGCATTCGACAGCCGGACGAATAACTCGACTAGTGAGGGCCAGCTGGGTGGATTGCTGCAGTCTGCGACATACCTGGCTGGCTTGAGCGGCGGCGGTTGGCTAGTGGGCTCGCTTTATATGAACAACTTCAGCACCATTACTGACCTGCAGACGTACGAGGACGGAGCCATTTGGCAATTTCAGAATTCTATTTTTGAAGGCCCAGAAGGGAATGGCATCCAGTTGCTGGACTCTGCATCTTACTACAAGGATATCTACGATGCTGTGCAAGGCAAGTCGCAGGCAGGATTCAACACTTCGATTACAGATTATTGGTGAGTTGTCTTCCCTCTTATGGGATCTGAAAATCGCTGAACCGCACGGGACAGGGGCCGCGCCCTTTCTTATCAGCTCATCAATGGTTCCAACGGAGGCATCGACTATACGTGGTCATCGATCGCCTTGACGGATTCTTTCAAGGAGGCTGAGATGCCGATCCCTATCCTGGTTGCTGATGGTCGGTACCCTGATGAGCTCCTGGTCAGCAGCAATGCCACGGTCTACGAATTCAATCCCTGGGAATTCGGCACCTTTGATCCAACTGTGTACGGTTTTGCTCCTATTGAGTATCTCGGGTCTCGGTTTGTGGCTGGGTCTCTCCCGAGTAATGAGAGCTGCGTCCGGGGGTTTGACAACGCAGGCTTCGTGATGGGAACTTCATCCAGTTTATTCAATCAATTTTTGTTACAGATCAACTCTACGGCTCTGCCAGACTTCTTGAAGTCGGCATTCACAAGTATTTTGGAAGACATTGGGCAGGAGAACTATGATATCGCGCTCTTTACACCAAATCCGTTTTACCACTGGGCGAACGACACCTCGCCGGCTGCTAATGCTACCATGCTTGACCTGGTAGACGGTGGCGAAGATCTCCAAAACATCCCACTCCATCCGCTGATTCAGCCCGAGCGCCATGTCGATGTGATCTTTGCAGTAGACTCGTCGGCCGACACCGACAACAAGTGGCCGAATGGCACCGCGATGGTTGCCACATACGAGCGGAGCTTGAACTCCACCGGAATCGCGAACGGAACTACTTTTCCGGCGGTGCCTGATCAGAATACCTTTGTGAACCTGGGCCTGAATACGCGACCGACCTTCTTCGGATGCGACTCGTCGAACCTCACGGGTCCGGCCCCGTTGGTTGTCTACCTCCCTAACTATCCATATATGTCGTATTCCAATGTTTCCACCTTTAAACCTCAGTATGAGGAGTCGCAGAGAGATGAGATCATACAGAATGGATATGATGTCGCCACGATGGGCAACAACAGCCGTGATGCAGACTGGTCTACGTGTGTTGGGTGCGCGATTCTGAGTCGATCGTTTGAACGCACCAACACCAGCATGCCCGATATCTGTAATCGGTGTTTTGACCGGTATTGTTGGAATGGCACGACCAATACCACCACACCAGAGGAGTATAAGCCCGTGACTGAGTTTGAAAATGTAGGGGCTATTGTGTCGCGTGCTATCTTTCTGAGTGCCTTGGCTGCCACTGTGACTGCGTCGGCTCTGCTATAACTTTCTGGATAATACGTGTCGACGGCTGACTTTGATGGAGATGTGTATGTGAATTGGTTTGGAAAAGTCTAGTACAGTACTCCGTATAATGAAATTGAGGATTGTGTATGAGTATCTGATTATCTATGCCCGTTTGTCTATCTTGAGATCGACGCGGAGTGGCTGCCCTCACGTGCCATGTTGTCAGGGCAACCGGAGCCCGGATTTCCCAAACAAGCAAGGTGGACAACACGCGGGCGGAGAGAAAGAAAGACAGTCTTGTTTAGCTCGAACTCTGACGAAAGAAAGACCCAACTAAGCTTATTCCACCACACCCTTACCAACCACCCCTCCCCCTGCGTATTACGACACCACTGCATACTTTTAGGGGGACTTTGACATAGTGACCATTGTTCTGTCACTTGTCACTGATAACCGGTCACACAATGAGCAGAGTGGCCCGTCGATATTGAACCGGACCCTCCTCCCCGCGCGACACCGACAACACAGCCAACCAACCGTGAAAGGGACCATACAACAACAACCACAACAACAAAAAATAATCAGCACATCCGACCTTCGCCGCACGCGGCACACATAACACTACTCACAATGGCTCGCGCAGCGATCATCCCACAGTCACCGCCCAAGCGGACGACGCGCACCAGGACCAAGGGATCGACAGCAACGACCTCCACGACCTCCACCGCCAACAAGGCAGCCCCGAAGACAACCAAGGCGCGAGCACCCAGCTCAGCTACGGAAGCGCGCAAACGCGGCGCCCGGACCGCGTCAGTCACGACCAGCAAGCAGCGCGTCGAGGAGGATGTCGACGCGAGCACGGACGACGAGATCGACATGTTCGGCGGGAGCGGGAGCCGGAGCGGGAAGAGCGCGTCGACGACGACGATGACGACGAAACCCAGAGGAAGGCCGACGACGAAGACGGGAGCAACCACAGCATCGGGCTCAGCCCGCACCAGGAAGACTCCGGTCGCTGCAACGACGCCGGTGATGGTGGACTCGGACAGTGATAATGAAGACGAGCTGGCTCAGACGGAGGCGCCGAAGAAGCGCGCTGGGAGACCGAAGGCTAAGGCGGCTGCGGGTGCTGCTGCTGCACCCAAGACTCGGGGCCGGCCGAGAGGGGCGGCGGCGGCCGCTGCGAAGCCCAAGGTAGTCGATGAGTTGAAGGAGAATACGCGGCTGAATGCGCGGGGGTTCACGGATATCGACTTCTCGGCATCTCATGATGCCCCTGCTCCTCCGAAGCAGGTGTATATCACTACGAATTCGTCGTCGGTGAGGTCGAATTTGCTGCGTGGTCCGGCTAAGAAGAAGACGGTCACTTTCCAGGATCCCACTGAGACGGACGCGGATGAACTGGACGCCGAGCCGTCGCCTCCGCCTGCTGGCAGGAAACGGGGAACGACGGTCGCGGGTCGTCAGTCAGGTCTTGCGTCGAAACCGGTCCGGAAGCCCGCGGCTACCTCTGGTAGGGGCCGTAAGCCTGCCGCTGCGAAGAAGGATGGCGCGAAGCCCCTCTCGCCGAAGAAGGCGACGCAGGTCGCCAAGGGGATCTCTTCGTACGCCAGCTCGGATGGCGAGGACGACGAGTTGAGTGCGGACAAGGATCAGATGAAAGCATTTGTACAATCGCCTCCCAAGCAACACGGATCAGAAAACGCCGGTCTCAGCTCCCCGGTCAAGAAGATCAATCTGACTGGACGCTTCCGCAAGTCCCTCGATGAGAATGGCGAGCCTTTGCCCGGACCTCGACGGTCGATTGACTTCAATGACAACCTTCTCATGTCAAGTCCCGCCCGTCGTCCGCCCCCGTCGCCTTTCAATTTCACCATGAGGGAAACTCCCAAGCGAGGCGGGGGTTTCACTCTCCGCAGTGATACCAGGCCCTTGTCGCAACCCACCTTGTCGCCCACCCTCAATTCTCCCCTCAGGCTATCTCCGAAGAAGGCAAACCTCGAAACTCCCCTGCGTGGAAACCTCTTTGGTGCCAGCACCGGAGCGTTGTCTCAGCCGAACTTCACCCCGGGGCGGAACTCACCTCTGAAATCGTCGCCCAGAAAAGGCCTGTTTGGTGCGTCTTTCATGTCTCAGTCCCAGCCGGAGCCATCCGCCACCCCCTTGAGACATAGCACGTCTCTTTTGCAAAGTCCCGCGAAGAAGGTCGCTACCCCATTCAAAGCCTCGCTATCCGTCATGAAGAGCCCGGTGCCCGAAGAATCCGAGCACGAGAACGAAAATGCAGGTGAACCGGAGCACAATGAAGCCTTCGATGACTCTCATGTCGAGGAGTCTCCTCTGCGACTTATGCAGACGAGGTCAGAGGTGCAAGTCGAGGAGGATGAGGATGTGGCATCAGAGAACGACGAACTCGACCCCGTTAGCACCACCCCACCTCATTCGCCCTCTGCTGCACGGCATTATGAGAGCGGCGCGACGGATGGAAAGACCAGTGAGCGTGACTCTGAGGAGACTATCGAGTACGTTGAGGATGGCTCTAGTACGGTTGCTGAGGAAAATGTTGAGGATGAGGACGAGCGTGTCGACAATAATGTCGAGGAAGAGGCTGGCCAAGCCGACGATCAGGTCTTGGAAGAAGACACGCCAAGTACCACAGAGGCCCTTGATTTTGACGGGCTGGAAGCGGATGACCCTGACGCCGAGACTGTCGATGAGCCTATGGAGGAAAATGCTGAGATGGTCGAAGAGGCTGCTAAGGAGGTCATTGAGAACCCCATTGCGGAACCCATTGAAGAACCGACTGAGAAGGCGACGGACGACTCACCGCAAGAGGATGATACTGAGGATAACAAGGATTCTCAAGATCCCTCTCACACGGAGAATCATGATATGCAGGATGATGTCGAGCCCGAGGGCGAAGCACAAGAGCATATTGACGAGCTTGCCCGTGATCGCGGAGTCTCGGCTGACGAGACACTTGACGACGATTCTGACAGGGAGTATCAAGAACAGGGTGATGATGTTGTTGATCACGACCAAGATGTGGCTGGTACTGTATCTGATGCTGAAGACGAAAATCTGGATACATTCGCCCAGGAAAGCGCCGAAACGCCCAAGTCACCTCAAGAGCGGAAGGTTGAGCAGCCAACTGTCCAGGGTAACCAAGAGCAGTCTTTTCCCGGTCTCCGAAGCGGCTTAGTCGAGGGCCTTGAAGACGTCTTTGTCGACCACCCTACAGTACCTGAAGAGGCGAGGCAGCGTCTCGAAGCTTCGGATACGGAAGATGATCCTGACATGATGGAAACTGATGACGACGTTGACGCTGCTGAGGAAATTGCCTTCAGTGATGACCAGGAGGTGGTCAACGAGGATGGCGTCTTCGAGGAAAATGAGGCCACCATTGTCGCTGCCGAAACAACTGAACTCATTCCGCCCATTACCGTCCCCATCGTGCCGTATGAGGTTGAAGAACCCGAGAATCCCTGGAGCCCAATCCGCGAAGCATACTACCGAGCGATGAAGAATATCTCGCCCATCCGCGTTCTACCCGATAGCCCAGTTCGGCGGAATATGAGCTTCGGTTCCACTATTGACAGCCCCAGCCCAGTCAGACATGGCTTTACCGTGGATAGCAGTGATAACCAAGACCCCTTTGTCGATGCTGGTGCGCCAACCCCGCTTCGCAGACGGTCGATCAAGCGATCCATCTTCGACAACGCCCCGCGCTTCACGCCGCTGGCGCAGCAGTTCAGCCAGTGGAAGGCCAGCAGCCCCGCCCGATTCCAGCCCAGGCGCTCCCAACGCCCCCGCAAGGGTATTTTCTCCTTGGGCGGCAGTCGGAGATCATCTAGCAATGCGCCGCGTACCCCTAATGAGGTCACGTATCCTCAGATTAATAGCCATGCGGACACTTCTGAGGAAGTGCCTGTTCAGGCTGAAGATACTGAGGAGGAAGTGCCTGTTCAGGCTGAGGCTGCTGAGGATGAAGAAGAAGTTGCCGAGGACGAGGAGCCCCAGATCTATGAGGACTTCAGCCAGGATTCGCAGCTGGAGGAGGATGAAGTTGTTGAGCCTGCGCTGACTGATGAGGTCGTTGAGCCTGCTGAAACTGCTCACCCCGAAGGAGACGTTGTTGATGAGCTTGTTGAACCTGCTGAGACTGCTGCGCCGGCTGAAACTGCTCAGGTCGAAGCAGAAGTTGTTGATGAGCCTGCTGAGTCTGCTCATCCTGTCGAGTCTGCTGAGGCTGCCGGGGCTGAAGCAGAAGTCACGGATGAGAACGCAGAGACTGAGATCTATGAAGATCCTAGCCAGAGCTCTTATCCGGGAGAGACCGACAGTGCTGAGACAACTGAGCCTGCTGAGGCTGCCGAGGCTGAAGAAGAAGTCACGGATGAGAACGCCGAGACTCAGATCTATGAAGATCCTAATCAGAGCTCTTATCCAGAAGAGACCGACAGTGCTGAGACAACTGAGCCTGCCGAGGCTGAAGAAGAAGTCACGGATGAGAACGCCGAGACTCAGATCTATGAAGATCCTAACCAGAGCTCTTATCCGGAAGAGACTGACGCTGCTAAGACAACGGAGCCTGCTGAAGCTGTCGAGCAAAGCACTGAAGTGGTCGATGGTGCCCAGACTCACGAAGACCCTGGTCAGTACTCACATTCGGAAGAGCTCAACGCGGCTGAGACCAGAGAGCAAATCTCCGAGGCAGTCGATGGTCCTCAGATCTACGAGGACCCCAGTCAGAACTCCCAACTAGAGGAGGTTGACCGCACTGAGAATGTTGAGCAGACGGAAGGCTCTGTGGCAGACATCCCAAGTGGAACAGAGGTTGAGGCTACTCCTGACAACTATGTCGAGGACGCTCACCGCGAAGAGAATCTGGCGGAGAGCGCCCCTGTACCAACGAGCCCGGCCGCTGCAACTGAATCATTCGAAGAGAACAAGGAAAACGATGTCTTCTCTAATATCCCTCTGTTCACACCTGTCAAGAACAGAATCCCTCAGATGCAGACCGTACACACTGTCTCCAAGGTACCTCTAAAGCCCGAAGGTCAGATTTCGCCCTTGAAGATTTCACGCAAGAGAGGCCTGTCGCTTTCGGGCGCTTCGCCTGTTCGTGCCTCCACCCGAATTCGCACTTCGACTTTCGCCCCTAGCCAGCAGACTGCTCCACCCTTGTCGCCTCGGAAATCGCCAAGACTCCAACGAACCTCGATGTCGAAACCAGTCGCTCCGGTAACTAATAACACCCAGGCCAGGAGTGAGCGATCGACACCTGCGAAGCGCCCTCCACAGTCACCCAGCCCCACCAAGAGTGCAAAGGCCCCCAGGAGAAGCATGACCTCACAAGCACCCAAGCTAGCTCTGCAAGGCGCAGTTGTCTATGTGGATGTTCACACTACGGAAGGCGAGGACGCCAGTGGCATTTTCATTGAGCTTCTGCAGCAGATGGGAGCCAGATGCATCAAGAACTGGTCCTGGAATCCCCGCGCAAGCCTGGCACCGGAAGAAGGGACCGAGCCAAAGGAGGGCAAAGTGGGCGTTACCCACGTGGTCTTCAAGGACGGTGGCGTCCGGACTCTGGAGAAAGTCCGACACGCGCGTGGCCTGGTAAAGTGCGTCGGAGTCGGCTGGGTCCTCGAGTAAGTCTTTTCCACCCCCGGCAACTCCGCAACAACTGCTCCGATCGAAATACTAACCGTGACTACCAGCTGCGAGCGAGAGAACAAATGGCTCGACGAAACCCCATACGCCGTGGACAGCTCCATCATCCCGCGCGGCGGCGCCAAACGCCGCAAGAGCATGGAACCGCGCGCGCTGAGCAACGTGAACGGGACGCTCGTCAAGGCCCCCGCGACGGCGACCACAAACACCACCACGTCCATGGACCGCCGCCGCTCGGGCATCGCGCGCAGCACTGTGGAGAGTTTCACGCGCGAGCACACGCCGTCCTCCCGCGAGGCGTCGTCCACCCCCGAGGTGCCCGTTGCCGCTACCTCAGCCACCATGTATACGGCCGGCCACACCGAGCCCGACCAGCACTACTGCCACACGCCCAAGACCCCGGGGTCGTCCGCCTACGCCTTCGACATGGACGCCATTGGCATGTCGCCCGCCACCCCGTTCTACCTTTCGCAGCGCACCAAGCTCGTCCAGCAGACCTGCCCGCCCAAGCAGACCCGCCAGGGGCTGTTCACCAACCCGGGCCCCGCACGCGAGCCGACCCAGAAGCTGCGCTCCAAGCTGGAGGCCGCCCGCCGTAAGAGTCTGGCCTATAAGCCGCGCGTGGGCAGTCCTCTCGTCGAGTGATATCTGATTTTGTTGTCTTTTGTGCTTGGTGTTCGCTCTTGGTGTTCGTTCTATCGGGTTCTTCGGGTTGTGAATATTGGGTTTGTTAACTATTGCTTTGATTCTTTTGATACCTACATACCCCATTTGTAAAGTGGTTCATGGGTCTATTCTTTTATTGCTGGGTGATATGGATATTCATATTCTGTCTTAAATAAATAACTTGGTCAATTCTCCTGAATGCTTCATCTTCCGTGTACTAGCTCATTTTCCTTGAAACTCGGTGTGGAATCTGGATAATCCACCTAGACTGAGATTGATATACCCGAAAAGTACTTCTTCCTTGTTGAGCACTATTCATGATAAATTCTCACATTGTACCTAACACGCTTTGCGTAAACCTAACCTAAACCAACCAATCATGCTGAAAATATATCGTGCCCTTTCTCTCCCCAGATAATTGGGTTCAAAGGATTAAATGGAATTCACCCTCCCACCCTCGGACTCATCCATATCCCGATAGAACCCAGCAACCAGGAACGCCAACTCCAGCGCCTGCTTCTCATTCAACCGGGGATCACAGAAAGTGGTATAGCGCTCCCCGAGCCCTTCCTCCGTCAACCCCCCAGCACCCCCGACACACTCCGTGACCGCCTCGCCCGTCAACTCCAAATGCATGCCGCCCAGAAACGACCCATGCGCGCGATGGATCTCCAACGCCTGCCGCAACTCGGACAGAATGTCACTGAAATGCCGCGTCTTCACGCCCGAGGGCGTGCTCTGCGTGTTACCGTGCATCGGATCGCACTGCCACACGGGCAGGTGGCCGGCGCGCTGCACGGCCTCGATGTGCGCCGGCAGATGCGCGGCAATCTTGCTGGCTCCGTAGCGGGAGATCAGCGTCACTTTGCCGACTTCCCGGAAGGGGTTCACTACGTCCAGGAGTTGGGTTAATTCTTCCGGGGTCATGCTGGGTCCGATTTTGATGCCGATGGGGTTGGCGAGGCCGCGGAAGAATTCCACGTGCGCGCCGTCGAGTTGGCGCGTTCGGTCGCCGATCCAGAGGAAGTGTGCCGAGGTTGCGTAGTAGGATTTGATTGCATGGGATGGAGGGGGTTGCGGGGTTGTGCTTGTTGTTGTTGTTGTGGTTGTTGTTGTTTCTGGCGGGGGAGGGGAGAATAAGGAGAATGCCGGTGCTGCCGGCGTTGGCGGGGCAGGGTTGCGGAGCAGGCGCGTGAGACTTGTCTCGTATTCGAGGAGCAGGCCCTCATGGCTGGTGTAGACGTCGACGGTCTCGACGCCGCGGTCCGTGTCGATCCCCACCGTCTGCATGAACCGCAGCGCGTCCTTGACCCGCGACACGATCCGCTCGTACTTCTCCTTGATCGCCGGCGTGATCACATGGCCCAGCCCCCAGTCCAGCGGCGAGTGCAGGTCCGCCAGCCCCGACGACAGCGAGGCGCGCAGGTAGTTCAGCGTCGCCGCCGAGTGGAAGTACGCTGATACCAGGCGCGACGGGTCGGGTCTGCGTGATTCGGGCGTCGCGTCGAAGCCGTTGATGTTGTCGCCGCGGAAGGAGGGCATCTCTACTCCGTTGATGGTTTCCATGGGGCTCGATCGGGGTCTTTTGGATAGGATTAGCTGGTTGACACGATGTTAAAGCAATGAGGCACAGGGCATAGCATACTTCGCAAATTGCCCCGCTATCCGCGCAATACGCACAACTGGCTTATTCGCTCCTAGAATCTCCGCGTGAGCACGACCCTTATGTTCGGGGTACGACCGACATACCCCAAATCAGCACCAGACTCATCTGCAAAAGCAGCTTGACCTTCGCTTCGATCATGTCCTGGTTACAGTAATCGAATAGCTCCGCGCAGTCACCTATCGTGGACATTATTAGCTCTCTCGCTCCCCTTTCTCTTCCTCTTTCCTACCCCTCCTCAAGACATATACTCACCACCCTGAAGCACAAACGCCTTCCCCAGCGCGACATTTCTCAAGCTCTTCTTGAGGTTCGCAACCTGCAATTATCATGATCACTATCAGTAAACCCAGCCCCCTCTAGAATGCGCATTCGGAAAGAAAGAAAGAAACTCACCTCCTGAGTGGTCACCAACGGCGGAAGCTTGCGCAGTTTCTGGAGGGCTAGTTCCGCGGCCTCCGGGTCGTCGTATGTGACACATTGCTTGGCGGGTTTGGAGGTCCACGCTGGATAACGTTAGCTACCGCCAACTACCATTGATCAAGGTAAGGATAGGGTAGAACATACAAGTGGGAGACCAGGTCTCCATGCTGACTGAGTCCTGTGATTGAGTGTGATGGGCGGGTGGTGAAAGCGAATGATCGACGGGCTGAATGCGTGGTGACAGCGGTGCAGGTGTATACTGCTTAGACCCTATTTTCCGATGACCACTTCGCCTTTGACTGATAATCGGATATCGACCGGGCGGGACGAGAATGTATTGTGAGGAATGAGAGTGAGAAGTAAGGAAGAGGAAGAAGAGAGACAAAACAGGGAGGGAGAAAAAGAGATAAATAAAGACACGAAGAAATGGTTACACGGCGCTAAGGGGTGCGATGATTCATTCTTGGATGGGTCTGGAGTGTGATAACTAGTTGGTAGTATAAGGAAGTAAATGAAAAAGAGCACGGCTATTCGCGGCCTGAGTCATTTTTGGCGGCCCGGCGCTAAACTACTTGTGGCTTGGTCTCGGTCTGTTCTGTTCTTGTACTCTTCCTAAACGTCATGGTGTTGTCGAGAACATGAACTTAAGCATAAGCTTGAACATGAGCTTTAGCTTGAGCTTGGGTTTGAGCTTGCACACACACATATGCTTGATTCTTCAGCATCGATGATCCATCTACCCCCAAAGAACTCGAACTAAACTAATCCAATCCAAACCAATCCATCCATCCACAATGTCCGACTCCATCCCCTCCGCCCACGCTGACCCCGAGCAACCCCCACTCCCCGCCGCCAACGCCGAGGACCGCAAAGCCGCCGCCGCCCTCTCCGCCCTCCACACCACCGAGATCACCACTACCGACTCCGCCGCGAGCGCGAAGGTGACCTCTGCTGCGGATCAGGAGGCCCTGGGGAAGGCGATGAGCCGGCTTGAGATCGCGGCTGGGCTTAATGCAGGCAAGAAGCGGGCGGGGACGGCGACGGCGACGGCTACGGATACACAGCGGGGCAAGGAGGGAGGGGAGGTCGTGAAGAAGAAGGCGGTTAAGGTTAGCGCTGAGGATGTTAATCTCTTGGTAGGTTTTGCAATTGCTTCGCATTCGAGAGAGGAGGCGTACTGTCTTGGTTGGTTGGTTGGTGGGTTGGTTGGTTTCAGGACATGCTGGGCTAATCTTGGTCGGTGTGTGTGCTAGGTGGACCAGTTGGATTTGAATAAGCTCAAGGCTACGGAATTGTTGAAGGCGCATGATGGGAGCGTTGTCCGGGCGATCAAGGCGTTTATCACCCCTGCTTGCTAGTACCCGTGCTTAAAGGCTGCTGGTCAGTCGGGTTTCGGAAGTGGGTTGCTTGGGGGGGTAGATGAACGTGCTGTGCGATTGATTGTCTGCGCTTATGCAGGACAGAAAACCCCGGAAAGGGAGGGAGGGGTAGCTGATTTAGATTCCCACTACCTGCGAAATTGCAAAGGCCTGTAAAAGCTATGGAACAGAAAATTGCCATAATGCATCATAAGTAACATCAATCATATCGAACATGTCTCATGAGGGTTCATGCCAACTCTATCAGTCAACCTGTAATGCCATGTCGTATATATCGTCGCATGTACAGTCTATAGTTCGCATCCCAGTGGCAACAGTGAACCGCCCTTACCGGCGCTCATCAGGCCACTCATCCTCTTCTTCCTCCAATACCTTTTTCTTCTTCTCGATGCCTTTACCCTCATAGATCAGGAACAGGGCGAACCAGCCTAGCAAGGCCTCCAGGGCCAGCGCCCACCATATCCCGCCGACAAAGTTATGCTCCAGCCCCAACCCGAGACCCCAACCGCCGATGAGAGGGCCCAGAGTACGGGCGCCACTGGCGATACTCTGCGCCACTCCGTGAATGGTACCGAGAACTGAGGGATCAGTGACACAGTTGTTCACCAGGATGACAGCGGCAGGGAGCGCGAACGTGCGCGAGATGACCTGCAGTCCCACGACAACCGTGAATGCAGGCCAGACCACCCAGGGCACGCGCGGGAGCACGAGGAGGAAAGGCATCATCGCGTATGCCAGGGGTGAGAACGGCAGGAACGTCCGGAACGAGGTCAACGTCCCCAGGTGGCCTTGCACGCGGGGGTAGATGAAAATCTGCAACGGCAACCCGATGACCCCGATGATCGCCGTCGCCATGCCGACTCGAGACGACGGCAGTCCCAGGCCACCGCTGAAGCGGAAGAAGCCTTTGCGGCTGTCCTCAGGAGCCCTTGGAGTGGGCAGGAAGGTGAACGTCATGGAGTTGAAGGCGCTGGTGTGGAAGGCCAGGAGAAACTGGACCAGCAAGGTTAGAAGGACATTCGGCGTCCAGATCTGCCAGAAGCTTGGGCGTTTCTGGCGCGGTCGAGCACGCGCACGCCGAGGGCTCGGAGGAGCAGACATGCTGGTCGCGCTGCCGTCAATATACACGGACTCATTGTCCGGGTGGGTTTGAAGCCGACGATAGTAGCGTCCTCGGCGGCGCGAGAAGGACTTGGCGATCATGCGTCCCAGCTTCCGGCCCCAATCGTCTCTGTAGCGCGCGACTTCGTGGGTCTCATGAAGACCCAGAAACACAGCCAAGAATGAAAGAAGAATATAGCACGCGCTCAGAACATTTGGTAACGCATACGGCCACTTCCTCATCCAGCCCACACCATCCGTACCGCCGAGGAACGTCCCAGGACCAAAAAGCTCAGGGTAGGTATTCAGCGGGTCCGCCAACGCACCTCCCAAAACCGGGCCGATGATTACTCCAATATTGAAGCACATAGGTAGCAGAAGGAACGCGCGCGATTGATACCTGGACAACTTAGTTAGCCACAACCATCCGCACTCAAGCATCTCGACAAGGAACGCCAAGCTGTCAGCAACGAGACACCCAGCGAACTAAACTTACTTCTTCTCCTCGATAATCTCCGCAATCATAGTCCTCATAACCCCAACATTACTGTTCAGACACCCGCCCAGGGTACGGAACACTACCGCCGCCGCAAACGAGCGGGAGAACCCGAACCCGAGGCACGAGATACATGTCCCCAACAAACCGATAAGGAGCACTCTCTTGCGTCCCATCCACTCCGCATCCGCCAGACGACCCCACCAGACGGCCGTGAGAAACTGCGCGGCGGTGAAACTGCCCTGGAGTATGCCCGCCTGCGCGGATATGGTCGAGTCCGGCAGAGACGGGTCAAAGGACTTGAGCTGGTAGAACATGTACGCTTGCAGGGAGGTCTGCGTGAGGGGCTCCGACAGGCGCGCGAAGGTCAAGATCGCGAGTTGGCCTTTGTGGGGAAGTGAGGCCCATGTTACTGGTTTTTCGTTGGAGGGGCTCGTGGCCTCGTCAGTGTCTTCGCCTTCGTCGTTGTCGACAGTATCGTTGTCTGTGTCATCGCCGTCACTGCTATTGGCAATGTCTATAGAGAAGCGTCGGGAGGGGATGATGTCCGCGGCGGGTGCAAGGATCCGAGTTTGAACGGAACTGTCATCGTGGATGATGGTGTTATAGCTTGCTTCGTCATCTAGGATGCGGTGTTCAGAGGGAGAAGCTGGGGCAAGGAATTCGCTTCCCTGCTGAGACGGTTCTGGGCGGAGATAAGCAGTAGGAATATCTACATCGCCGATCGAGCGACTGTGGAGATCAGAGTGTGGTTGCGGTGAACTCATCAGCATGAGTAATTATCGCACTGTAAGCCTGACAGTGGTAGCACAAAGATTCAGCTACGTCCAAAGAGGTGGCAAGGAAGAGAGAACGAGAAAGAAAAGCACGTGTGATGCTACTAGGTAGGCTTGGGCGCGCGGAGAAAGAAAAGACAGGCAATCTTCGGCCTAAAAGCTTATCATCGCCACTAGTGCCTCTTTGGGTATTTCCGACCGTTACTTCGGCACTCCATTGCCGATATCTACAACCGTACAGAGTAGTCGTGTACAGTAGCTATTGGGTACGAGGCGAAAGGAAATCGATTATCCAACCCTATCCCACCACACAAACTCGAGTATCAGATCAAACAATGCTAATGGTACACCAAGCAACACACTTTGAGAAACGCCTAATCCAACCCTAGAGGCCGTTGCGGCATGTAGAAGTATAAGAAAGTCCCGTTGAACGATAAACATATAATCGACCTCCTCCATCGCAGACTTGGAACCATGCCTATCGGACGTAAGAATGCTATTAGAATGCCTTTAATCCGAGCAAGCATGGCATTCATCGACGAGTCCAGGTCCCAACACAAGCTTCGTTCTTCAAAGCCAGACACATAGACCGCGAACAGCCCGAATTCGGATATGAAATTGTGCGCAAAGGACAAATGAATGAAAAGAAAGTGGTAAGAGTCGAAAGAACGAATAAGTGACCACAAGTTCAAGCGAGGCGCATTTGGGCACAAAACATTAGTTGCGACGGCTTCCACCACTTCGGCCCGTGATGTCCATGGTACTCTCGAATCCTTCCCAAGGCAACTCATCATCGTCATCGAAGTCCGGTTCAGGAGCCTTGTGAGAAGATTTGACAGAAGTGGCAGTCACGTCACCTGTCCGACCAGCACCCGTATCGATCCCTATCGATTGCAGGGTCACCTCCATTTCCTGCTCGGTCATCTCGCGACCGTCCTGTTTTTGTCCCTCGAGTACATCGTACAAGGCGTAGATCTGATCGGCCTTCATGTCGATGTCTTTCAGCAATTTCTCGATCTTCTCACCCAGCGACTTCCTCTGCCTCTTGCTGAGCGAAGCATCCAGCTTGTTGTATGCACCTTGGTATGCGACCAGCTGCATCTTCAGGTGCGCCAGTTCATCTTCCAAGGCTTTGAGGACGGTCGCTAGTGCAACCTCAGGAGACTGCGCAGGCCGCATAGTGGGTTCCTCATTGAGAACGGAAGGCTCAGGCATACGCTCCGAGACAGGCACGGGCTTGGGGACCTTCACTGTTTCAAGAGTGTGATCGCAGGTGTCACCGGGCATGACACGCTTGCAGACGGTACAGTTCTTGCTATTGTGTTGAGTTGCACTGTCAAGCGCACGCTGCGCGGGTTCAGGTAGCTTGGCCAGATTATCAACAAGGCTGGCAGGATTGAGAGTAATGTCGGGCAAGATAAACGCCGAGGTCATCTCCTCGGCGACCCTCCGCCGTCGCCTGGGAGTAGCAGGGGTTGCGGCGTGGTCAGAGTGGCGCCTGGGACGCTCAACGGGCACTGACAAGTTGCTGTCTCCTTCGGTCATGCTAACCTTGGATGTGGCGGTCAAGTCGCCCATTGCTGAGGCTGGTCTCGCCGGCAGCCCCTTGCTTTCTTTGAGCGATGATTTTCGAAGGACTCCTGGCTTTGCCACGCTCTGGCGGGTAGTGTTCCCAGTCTCGTTTCCAGTCAGATCCTTAGTAGCCGCTGCTTGCCGCTTCTTGCGAGCAAGACGTTCCTCCTCCAGGGTCTTTCGTAGCTGAGCAATTTCGCGTTCCTGGGAATATTGGATCAGTCATAAGCCTACGCAACAATTGGAAGGGGCATCTTACATCAACGAAGCTCAGAAGGGTCAGATCCTGCTCCGCTACCGAAGATTTCTTGGTGTTGTTTGTAATATCGCCTGTGGTTTCAACAGGGTCAGTCACATCTACCTCCTCGACAACCACTCTCTTGACGCGTCGCTTGCCGGCGGTTGGCTGCTTCTTGGACGGGGCATCGCTAGTTCTGGGCTTGCTTCGAGACTTCTCCGCTCTCGGCCTAGATTTATCTTTGGATTGTGAAAGATCAAGCGAGAACAGAGCCTCTTCCGCCCGCTCTCTTTCTAGGCGAGCAATTTCCTTGTCAACCTGAGTGGAGACTCGAGCCTGGGAATCCCCGGGACGGCCGCCCTTGGATCGGGAACGCGAGCTCTTGGAGGTCAGTTCTTTGGTGCTTCTGCTATAATTTTTGCTGCGTTCTGTGTCAAGCTGACTGTCGTCATCGCTAATCTCGGTTGCAGATGTTTGTTCGGACTCAAACGTCTCATCGTGATTGTCGGAGCCGGATGCAAGCTTCGCTAGCTGAGATTTGAGGTCGGAATTCTCTTGACGAAGGGTCTGGACCTCATTCTTCAGATCCTGGGACTCCAGATATGATACGCCCAGCTGGGAGACTGCCATATCACGCTCCCGGTTCAATCGTTTCAAGGCAGTTTCCTGAATCTGAGCCTTCCTTTCGACGACATCCAGTTTGTTCTGTAAAGCGAGGTTCGCTGCATCCAACTCTGAAGAACGGTCAGCCAAACACATCTTATGGGAGTCAGTAATCAACTTACTCTGATTCTCACGCGCAAGGCGATCCTTCCTGTACTCTTCTTCCTCAGACTCATACGATCTTGTACGCGAAATCTTCTCTTTGCCCCGTGACTTGCTCGTCTTCAGTGACGAATTCTCTTGTCTCATTTCTTCGACCTTCTTCTCAGCATCCATCTTAGCCCTCTCAAGTTCGGCCACCTTATCCTGGAGTAGCCTCAACGAAACGAACAGGGCCTTCTCATCCTCTGGAATAGGCACCGCATCGAGCGGAATATGTTCACGTGTCAAGGAAACGTCCATGGCGTCGTGTGGCGGAGAAACGAAGCGCGTAGTCCGGGGACGGTTCTGACGTGCATATACCGGCGTACCATCTTCATATACGCCGGAGACAAGCTCCGACAGATTGGGCAGATCGGGCAGAAGGAATGATTGTTGAGTGGCAGTGTCACCAGCCGTGTTATGCATGCCGCGGGAGCTCGCGGCGGCCTTTCCACGACGCATCTCGCGAGCATAAGCCTCCTGCGAAGCCTTCTCAACAGCGTCCGCGATCTGGTGGGAGAGGTTGGGGTTGCCGAAACGCGTCGGACGCGTGTTGTTGACCGCTGCGGGAGGCCCTTCGTCTTCAAGCAGGGATTCTTCGTAGGCGTCACGGGCCTTTGCGTGCAATTCTGACAGAGTGCGACGCTGGTCTTTGCGAGCCGCCTTGGGATCAAGGTTCTCCTTCTGGGCAAGGCTAGCGCGTCGAATCTGGGCGTCCTTGCGAAGACTCTCGCTAGCAGCCCGTCTTGGCGCGCTACGTAGAGCGGACTTCTGAGGTGTGTTTGAGGTAGGGTAGTCGAGTCTCACGGCGGGTGACGACGAACGAACACTATTCTCGATGCTCATATAGGAGTTTCTCGAATCGTCCAGACGGCGTGTGGGCTTCATGGGTCCTCTTCCAGCTTCAATGGAGATACTGTCATCATCGTCATGGTCCATCTCTTCCTCCGACGTGCCCACCGGGGAGAAGTTGGGAAGGTATTGCTCGAATGTGGAGGTGTTGAAGGCGTAATCTGGCTCTTCGTCCTGCTCGATTTCGCGACGGTTACGTGCACTGCTATGTATGTCGGGAAGTCGTGGACTTCTTCCAATTTCCTTTGTGGACGCGAGAGCTTCGTGTTCGGGGTCAAAGTCGGAGCCAAAGGACGCGAAGCTGTTGGTAGTGGCTTCGCGCGACATATCGAGTATGGCCTACGCGCTAATTGAGATCCAGTCAGCTGTTGACACTGGTAAACCCAGAACCCAGGTTAGCAATTATTTTTTTTCCACTTGCAATGATGCGTGAGGCGTGAGGCGTGAAGCTAGGGGCGTAGGGTAATGTTACCTGGAGTGTGGGAGCTGGGTGGTAGAAGTGCGGGAATGTTTAGATGGCAGCGCGTCGGGCCAGCGCGAGCCTCGACTCTGAAACAGGAAGCAGCAATAAAAAGGTCAGAATCCGAATGCGATAGGGAATTGGGATTTGCGACTGAAGAGAGAAACCATATGACTCTCTTGCCACAGTCAAAGTCCAATGGTAGTTACTCCTAACTGCAGCCTGGAGACCCAAAAGTGCATGCGACAAAACAACCTAAGAAATGAGGAGGTTGGGTTGACTTGCTTTGGGGGGGGAGTGGAACGGGCTGCGGCGGCAGATCGTTTGTTTACTCCGTTCGGGTGGAGCTGCTGACCGCCTTGGATTCCACGGCCACGAGGTGCGGCCGGAACAGCAACGAGCCATGGTCTCTCTCCGCCTTCTTCCGCTAACTTATAGTATCTAGCAAAACATGCTATTATTTGTGATCTCGTTATACTCAAAACTAACCAGTAACTAGCCAAGAAATCTTCCAAGCCACCGTCCTAAATATGTGCAGGCAATGTGAAATGCAAAGCGCCCCCTCCAGTCTGAGGCTGGCGCACGCTATCCTTCCGGGTTGTAAATGTACAAAATGAATGTGTCGATACAAGTCAATAAACAATACCGTCACCTAAGCTCAACGCCTTACTGGCTAACATGGGTTCAGGTGATGAGGACGACGAACATTTGTTCCTAAGGAAATTAAAAGAATATATGCGGGGAAATCTAGAAGTCGTAAATGGTCATAGCCGTCACAAAAACAGGATCAAGTGTAACGGTTTCAATATGTGCAGACGTTATCAACGCGCGAGGAGCGATCAACTGGGTACTTGTGTGTTCGAAGATGGGCGAACATGAGAGTCATCCGTGACCGAATGTTCTTCCATCGATACTTGAACAAGCGGGCGGTCCTCGGCAACATCTTCTAATACGGGCGCGTGAGCCGCCGGAGTTGCGTCTGCTCGCAACGGATTTGTAGGCGTTGTAGGAGTATTGCTGATGGGGCTGGCAGCGTCGATATGGATTGTGGGTAAGGGAGTCAATTCCCGCAGTTGAGGTGCATGTTCGCCTAGTCCAGCAGTTGGACTTTGGTAAGGAGGAGCGTCTCCCCAATCGAGGTCCTCATAATCGGGAGGAGGGATATGGAGGGCGCCGACGTCCCCGCCGTCTTCAGGGCCTGAGAGTGGCCGCCCCAGAGAGTGAGTAGAAGTGGCGTGAGATCGAACTTGGGTCAGAGTATCTGCTTCGGAAATGATAGTGGTACCGGACTGGAAAGATGAGTATGATTCGCCTCGAGAGTGAATGCCGGTAAGTATTGAGCCCGAGGAACGATCGGCCGGTTCGGAGCTCATGCCAGTGGCATCTGTCAGAAGCGGTCGCCGGTCGGAGTCGGGTGAGGAGGCCCGGACACGCGAGCCGTCGTGTCGGACGTATCCTACCTCCGCATATGAGACACTGGAGATACGTCTGTCGCGGCCACGACCCTGACTCTCTGCAAGCGTCGCGCTAAGGTTGGAGTTGCTAGCGTTGGCATTGGCCGATGAACGACTCTGTGCGCGCGCCCGACTCTGCATCCGTAGCTGTTCCAGGCGGGCTTGATCTCCATGAGCACGAGCCTCTCGACGCTCCTGTCGTCGGGCCTCTCGATCGGCTAGCTCCTGTCTCCGTTGCAGACGAATCTGGTACAACGATTCCATCAAGTTTTCTCTGCGCTCTTCCTCCTCCTCGACGGTTTCAGGAAACTCAACCACTACATCCATACCCTCCCGTTCGCCCTCCCGAGCAATGACTTGTTCCGTTGGTTTCGGGCTGGCTGAATATGCAGGAAGAGTGATGATGGACCGGATTGAGGTTTCCCGTCGAACGGCAGTATTGGTGGTGGTGTGCATCTCTGAGCCCCCTTCTGGGGCTGCTTCAGTTGAAGCGTTGCGAGGGTTGTTCGTTGAAGATCCATCCGACACCTGTCCGTACGAGACACCCACATTCCATCGATTCCACCGGTCCTTCAATGACTTTCCAGGTATAAATTTCGGGCGGCATTCCATTCGCCGGAGAGTGCGCAAGACGAAGTAAAGCATCAAGATGAAGGACAGGACGAAGATAATGCAGGCCGCACACTAGAATTGAGGATATAGAGTGTCAGCAAGAGGGGGGATTTCGGGAGTGACTTAGATTCACATTGGGAGGTTATGTTCGTGAAAGCAGAGGGAAAGAATGTGTAATCTCACAATAATGAAGATATTGTTCTTGCTAGTCGTGGTGTGGTCCCCGCCATTGTCGCTGCTCCCCTCGGTGTTTGGGTCGCTGGCCGGGCCATTCTGACGGGCGTCAAAATGCCGGAGGCTGCCTGGAATGTACATGCTGACAAGCTTGGGAGACACAAAAAATTGGCCCAGGGCCTGAGCCTCAAAACATGCAGAGATGTGGGGATTCTGAGCACAGTGGAAGAAATGACAAGCGATGCGATTCAAGTCTGGTTCGGGAGGAAAACTTGAAAGATATGGTAGCCTAGAGCGGGAAAGTGGCGGAACTGGCGGATGAGGTGAGGCTGTATATAAGGTGATACAGACTGGCAGCGGAAGCTTCTGATAGGTGCCAATGTGGTGTGCAGAAGGGAAAGGCAGGGATCCAGAAAGTTTATGGAAGGTCAAAAGATAATAAGAGGGAAATTAAGAAAGAGTAGAGCTGGTGAGAGTAAGATGCGCATGAGGGGGACTGTCACCCTATCCGTGACCTCCATATAGAGAAGAGGGGGAAAGGAAGAAGGAAGAAAAGAAAGAAAGAAAGAAAGAAAGGGAAAAAGGAAAGTCGGAGAACGAGTGAAGGGCAGCAGCAGCAGCTAGACAACTGCAAAGCGGCTAGCTGGTATCAAAGAGTGACGATTGATCAATTGATTGATTGATTGATTATCTGTCCATCCAAGACAAGACAGACCAGCTGCAGCCCAGACAGACCTCGGAGACAGAAAGAAGAGAACTTTGGAAAGAGCTGAGTGAGAGTGAGTGGCTGGGCCCGAGGCAGCCAGCCTGGTTGGAGTGGCTGGCCTTTTCCCTTCCTTTCCCCCTCGTATCCTTATCCTCCCTCCCAAGTCACGACTACACTACCTACCTTGATAATCCTCGCAATTTGACTGCCTCTTCTCCACCCCTCAAATGAGAGATTATATCCATTATATCCTCATCGAATCTCCCCTTATACTCCCCTAAATTAATGATCTCCATTCCCTCCCTCCAAGTAATCAAAGTCAATCTCATGGTGAAACGACCGACCGGATCAAAGTGCCTCCTCCGTGACTGACTTTGGAACGCGATGCCATTTTTAGAACTTGTCAGCGTTCCAGAGTTCCGTTGCCTATCGATAAGCTCCAGGCTCTCCCTCTCCCTCCATGGCTCGATCCTTCCGCTTCCCTCCCAGCATCCGTGCGATACGAGGGGAACCTGTCCTGCTTACGGATATTTGGTTACGGTAACTACGCTGAGGAAAGACGAGAAGACGATGATCAATACGGAGTAGAGACTATGACCTTATAGCCATTCCCGTTGCACGAGTTAGCACGAGAGACGTCATTCGATGGACGGGCGCCAATCATGGCAATAGACGGGCATTTGACACAACGGGTGATTTGAGGTCTATGAGAACCAATAGGCTTCTTTATTGTTGCCGTATTTGCTACCAGCCACCAGATGCATACTCTCCGGGAAATTCGAGGGAACAGAACACTATGATGGTGGCAGTCACAATTCGCACTGATCTACCATGATGAGAGAATTCTGCTCCCCCCGACATCCACTTGAACGAGGTCTCCCCTCGCATCGTGCAGTCAACACAAAACTGTACGTCGTGTCTGCCTCCCCGCAACTGTTTCAGCGAAACCCCACCAGCGATCGAAGCTTACACCTCACCGCTGTACCCCTGCTGGGTGGTTGAGGCTAAGGTACATACTGGACAACATCAACCCGGTCTTGCCGGCCACCCCAGCCGTGGTACGGTCATCTCTATGCACCCACTGAAAGGTGATATGGAACTCTACGGATTGACCCCCAACATGAGAGAAGAAGATTCTATATCGCAAACAGTTTAAAATTCGGCACTATATATTAGTAACTGTACATGACAGTCGAGGCGAAAAGTATACCCAAGACGGGAGAGAAAGAACATGGCAAGCGGCTCTCTCGCCACGTCGCCCTAGGTCTCGTGTCTCAGAATACAGCTTCTTGTGCGCGATATTCCTTATCCTACGCGTCTGTCTCCTTATCCTCGCAGGGATCCTCTATCAAAGCCTTCAGTTTCCCGCCATTTCGGCGCGCAAGCTCGTTGAACGGCCCGTCTTCAACCACGCGACCGTGTTCAAGAACGACGATTTTATCCGCAATCTGCATCATCTCTCGCGCGTGCGTAATAATAAGCACGGTAAGTCCGAGTCGAGCGGCGACTAGGTCCTGGACCGTCTGGCGGATGATCTTTGCATTGGTTGGGTCGAGGCTGGACGTGGCCTCGTCCAGGATCAGGATCTGGGGCCTCCGGATGAGGGCTCGGGCGATGACGAGCCGTTGGGCTTGTCCCCCCGATAATCCGACACCGCCGTCTCCGATGACTGTGAGGTAGCCTTGGGCTAGAGACGAGATGAACTCGTCGATACCAGCTGCCTGGGCGGCAGCGCGTACATGGTAGATCTGGTGGAGTGGGGATGCGTCTTCCAGGCCGTAGGTTATGTTCGCTTGGATTGTCCCGGGGAAGATGGACGGCTGCTGGGACACAATGGAGATGAGGGAGCGCAGGGTTGGGGTGTGCACTTGGTGGATGTCAACACCCGCCAGAGCAATGGTCGGCCACCCGTGGGCGGACCGCGGAATCTCGTATAGATTGAGAAGCAGCGACGTTATGGTGGATTTCCCCGAGCCGGAACGCCCAACGATGGCCGTGCATGAGTTCCTTGGGATGGTAATGGACACATCTTTGAGGACCAATGCGCTAGACCGTGACGGGTACCGAAAGCTGAGCCCCGTGATCTTGACCGGTGCAACTTGGCGGACCTTGAGGCTACCTTTATGCTCATGTGAGCTGCCATTGGGAAGGCTCGCAAGGCGTAATAGCTGGTTGGCCATTTCTTGAGACGTGCCAATCTGCGGGACTATTAGATGGTAAGTAAAAGCCAAGTTGGAACAAGACACTGCGAGAACATACTCCACGACAGAACTGTGCTTGCGTATCCGATGCCGAAAAGGAGCATGGAAAACACACTCATAAGCTCTTCGACGCTGAACTCGGACGAAGATACCAGGACCGCGCCATAATAGAATATCAGGGCTTTATTCGTTAGCACCAGCTCCGTGACTTGGACATCGGACAGGCATCGTTACTCACCACTGACAAAGATGATCATAGAATCGACCAGTCCGAAAAGAGAGCCCGTATAGAGAGCTTTTCTGATACCGATGGTCGTGCACAACGAAGCAGCTTTCAGGTGCTTTTTGTGAAAGAACGGCTCAAGGGTCAAGTTCCTAACGGTCCGGATTTCCGAGAACGTCTCGATAAACACCTCCGATGCGGAGGTCCTGGCCCCAGAAGATCGTCTTTCCCAGAGCCCAGTCGTTCTCTCAAAACCTCTGGTGATGGCGTAGATAACAGGGCCACAAGCTAGAACGACAAGGGTCAGTTTCCAGCAAAGAGCCATACTCCAGATGATAGCAGTCAGGGCAACTGTAGCAGCCACAAGAAGATATCCGCCAAAACGCCCTACGAGATTACGCATTTCCTCTCCATTCTGATTCAGGCACGTGGTAAGCTGGGAGGGCCTGTTCCCTTCCTCGTCGAACCACTTGCGGGGCTGGTCGAGGATTCGAACGAAGCCGATCTTCCGTATACTATCGACCCAAGCCTGGCCGCAGAGATCAAGCAGGTAGTGCATGGCGAAAGACACCACCCCATCAGCCAACGATACACCTAGGACTGCCAATGACCACGTCGACGCACGGGTACTGCTATCGTAGAAGGTCTGCAGCAGCTGCGACAAGCAGAAAGAGAACACAGGGGTCGCCATGGCATGGAGAAGTGTGCTGAAAGACCCGAGCGCCAGAAGCCAACGCTGCCCACTTGTCAAATTCGGTATCATCGTCAAGAGGATCGTTCGTAACGGCAGACGTTCATGCGGCAGGAGACGAGCCGCTTGCTCAGGGTGCTCATCGGCAACCGTCTTATCTATGCGATGAAGCGCATCGTTGTTGAAAGCCACGTGCCGACTGATCCGACTGAGCTGGGCCTTTGCACCATTGGCTTGTATCGTGTTGAGTTCTATCATCTCCATTGCGATGGAATCGATGGATTCTCGCTGCGCGCGGCGTGGGAGCATGGATCCGAAGAGGCTTTGTCTGTTCGACGGCAAGCCACCGGCATGCTCGGTGTCTGTTGACATCATCTCTTTCATGTACGCATCTCGTACTGGGTCATAAAAATCTCGACTTTGAGACGCCGATGGGTCGTGGCCCATCGCGCTGATCGCACTTTCGTCTTCATCGTTTGAATCACCGTTGTCAGTCGTCTTCTTACTCTGCAACGGAAAAAACAGCTTGTTATCTTCCAATTCATGTCTGTACCCAGCGTGGACGACCGAGCCATGCTCTAGAATATATGCGAAGTCACGATCCATGATCTGCGACATATCGTGGGTGATGATGATTGTTGTCTTGCCCCGTCGCCACTCTCGAATGGCTTTCATGATCTCCACTCGGTTGGTGCCATCTAGGGCACTTGTCGGTTCGTCCATGATCAATATGGGGGTGTCTCTGAGTCGAGCTCTGGCGATCGCGACCCTCTGCCTTTGCCCTCCGCTCAGAAAGCTTCCTCCGTGGCCAACACAGGTTTCAATACCTTCGGGCATAGCCTGAATGGTGCTTTCGAGCTTGGCTAAGTTTATGCATTCTTGTATGTCAGGCTTCCGGAGTCGACTGTGATCTCGACTTCCGAATGCAATGTTCATAAAGACAGACTCATTGAAAAGCACGCTCCGCTGCTCAATGAGTGTAATGTTGTTTCGGATCCAGTTAATACTCAACGTCTGAATGGGGTGCCCATCGATAAGGATCTCGCCCGATGTTGGCATATAGAACCGCGCCAGCAGCTGCCCGAGTGTGCTTTTCCCGGATCCGCTCTTCCCTATGACAAAGGTTGTCTCACCAGCCGGGAAGAAGAAGCTTGTCGAGTTCAGGCTGAGTCTGTCCGGCTGCGAGGAGTATGAGAATGAAAGCTGCAATATCAAATCATTAGCGAAGGACCAAGTATGAAACCGAGAAGATGATACACACGTTTTTCACTTCGGTATCACCTTCGCAGACATCGGGGTATGTGGCCCCGTCCAGCAAGCCCGGGGCTTTGCCGTCTGCCCGATCACTCAACGCGTGTCGTAGCGCAATGGAGGCGATTTTGCCTTTCTTCATAACAGCGAGTTGCGGCATGATGAACTCGAATGACTGTGCTGCAGCCAAGCAGGCCCAGAAGGTCCTTAAGACCTCCCCTGCCGAAAGCTCTCCCGAAGTCGCCAAAGAGCTGCCGTACCAGAAGCCTTGAATGAACATACCGAAAGTCATCATCCGTAGAAATGCGATTTGGAGTGAAGTGAAGCGTGCTCGCCTCAGGTAGTAAACTGCAGCTTTATCGATGCTAGTCACGAAGTTCCGGTGTTCGACGACCTGCCCATTGAAGGACTTCACAGCATCTATCGAAGTGGTAGCGCTATCCACAATCTTCGACGCATTCGCAAGCTCGTTCTTCTGCACCTCAAAGCTCGCGTTCATTTTCGCAGACAAGAACGAGATGATGGCAGACAGCACCGGCATCCCGGCCAGCGTGACCAAGGTGAGATTCCACGACGTGTAGAAAGCTAGAATCAGCGATACGATCGCCCGGAACATGTATTGCAGGGCAAGCCCAAATGCCTGCGACGTCGCCTTCTGGAGGTCATCGATATGGCTATCTGGACGTCAGCCTGAGACGAAACCAAGCAGAATTACTATACAACGCACCCCTGGAGGCTCGACAGGTATACACGGGTGCCATCCTGCTGGGTCTCAAACCATTCCTGATCCCTCTTTAAGAGCCCATCGAAGAGCTCCGTCCGAGCGTTGGCAGCCTGCAACTCGCCGAATATGACAAAGAGGGTATAGTAGAACCCATTGCAAATCCAGCTGATCGCCCCCAGTGTAGCCAGTCGGACACAGTACTTTGCCGTAGAGTGAATCAGATCATGGCTAGTGATCGCCCGGCCCCCGAACAATGTGAAGTCATTGAAGATCTGCCCCAGCAGAATCGAGAAAGCCGGCGTCGGGAGACTAGCAATGATAGCGACAACGATACCCCCGAGCAGAGTGGGCGCATGCTTTGCAGTTGTGAAGCTGAACAAAGACAACCAGCCCGAATCTCTGCGTGAAGGTAGTCTGAGAGAGAACGCCGCCATTGTCGATTCGACCTTGCGAATCGATCCTGATGCCTCTTTTTTTTTATCAAGCAAGAGTCTTGATAAACTCTGATAGATACATGGTTTGACGGTAAGTCGTTCTCAAATGATCTGTCCACATTTGAGATGAGACACCCTCCAAAATCTAACACTCTGCCTATGGAGTTCTGGTACGGAGGCGCAACAAAGGGGCTCTCGGCGCAGTCATTCATCGCAGCTGATTTCTCTCATTATCCCGCGGTTTGTCCAAAAGCGGTTATATTGAAGATGTGAAGATAATGATCCACAGTTGCCATTGTTCTCCGCTAGCCGCTAAGGATCAAACCACCAAACTTTCTATTCATTACTTCATTTCAAATGAACAGTATCCACCCACTTGTATATACATGACGTTTCGCTTTTTTGTAAGAGAATAAAAAAAAGAAAAAGTTCCAACCCGGGTCACTTGTGAGAGAAACTAGACTCTTTGCCAAGGCCACTGGAGCGACGTCAAGGCCGTCAAACGCAAAATCCACGGGACCGTAAAAACGGGCCGCTGAGTCGATGGCTATGGACTTGAGTCATTGCACTTATCCCATAAGTGATAGCAATGCAGGAATCGGAGCGCCTGGGATGGATCCAGTCTCATTCGGCGATGATTCTAGAAGGCCAAGGAAGGGCTTTGGTACCCCGTAGCACATCTAGGAGCTGGCCTTCTGCGCCCTCTCGTAGATCCAGTCGTTGAGTCCAGCGCGGTTTCTGCGATTTCTCTCAATTAGTCACCATCGTCTATTGAACAGAAACATGAATTGCCTCACCTGGCGATCTCGACCGCGTAAAACTGCATGCGCATAGCTGTTTCCGACAATTAGTCCCGCGTCCCTCTTGAGCAGAAACCCCACAGTTATAGATGAAAACGGGTTGAACCCACCGAAGATAGTCGTTTCCTGGTCGTACTCATACTTGGGGTTGGAGCGGAGCATGGTCCCGAAGTTGAAGTCGCTGATCGTCTTCTCGTACTGGTTCATCCAGTTGCGCCACTTCTCCTTGCCCTCCTTGCTCTTCATCTTGTCCTCGTTCAGGGTCTCGGCGGGGTCGAAGTCCGGGAACTCCTTCATGAAGGACTCGTAGATCTCATTGTCCATCTTGGTCAACCGGAGCTGCGATCCGCGGACCTTCTCGAGAATCGACCAGTATGTCATCAAGTGCTCCACGGCTGTCAGGGGCGTGAGTCAGATGTTCCGGCTAGAATGGGAAAGGTAATCGAACGGACCCTTGACGGCAAACTGCTTCTCCATCTATACCCCGAAGTCAGCTGTTTATCTCTCGAAGATGGATCTCATAAGAGATTCCATTCCGGGCGCAATGATGACTTACATCCTCAAAGTTCTCCGCGGTCTCGGGGTCAAAAGGCTTCGACATGATGGCGGGTGTATTTGTGTAAGTATGCTACAAGAGAATGTATGCAGATTCGTAAGGACGAAAAAGGGTCTTCTCGGTGATCGATAACAGAAGCCTGGTTGCGTTGGGGTGGATGCGAATTTGAAGTGCCCCGCGACTGACTACTCTTTTTCTGCCGCGGGCGGAGATTTTCGCGCCGCCGCCCAAAACCCCGCCCGCACCGGATCGGTACGTCATCCGTGCATCCCGATTTGCTTCCAAACGCTTAAAAATATTATGGAAATACTCGCTGCTTCACACTGGAGGTCCTTCTTGAGTCACTACGGCCTATATAGAACCCGAAGGCACGTTCGAGTAACTTACAGAACCTTCTTTCTCCAGGTGCTATGCCGCTTATCAATCGGTGATCAAGGCATAGCTGTTTGCTTTCCATTCGATTCTGCGGATGACAGATCAAGATAGTGGGCGACACAGCGATCCAATCTATTGTACAAGTGATAAATGCGAAGGTAGGGCTATGCTCGGGAGCTAGATGACAGTATCGGGCAGCATAGATGGCGGGGAATGTACAAACTCTGGTCACGAACTCATTTGACAGGGATATTATTACAGCGGTGAGAATGAGGATAGATAGCAAACGCTCAGTCGCTGTCATCAGAATCAGATAGTTCTTCAAATCTTCCTTCTTGAAGAGCACGCGTGACAGGATTCTCCACGCTGAGGATTCCATTGGCCTTGGCCCTGTTCGAAGCGGTCAGCAATCAGATATAGCATCAATGGCGGAACACAAACCTCTCAAAGAGCACAAACAGCCTCTCCGCCTCACGCTCCTTCTCTGCTTTTGTCATAGGAGGGCCTTCATCCTGCTTCTCCGCACTCCATTTCTGTCCGGTTATGGGGTTGACCTGCGGATTGAATCCCTGTGGATTGGTAGCAAATGCTTCTCCTGCTGTCTGCGGTATTTCCATGCCACGGGAGGCCAGCAACCCTGCTGCAAAGCCATAGCCAATGTTTCTAGTAAGATTTTCGGCATCCTTCCCAGAAAGAACAAACATGAGCTCGGAGATGGCTGTCTTCAAGTTGGGATACGGAGTGGTCGAGAGATTCAAAAGCTTGGATGAGAGTGTGTCTGACTGTCCAATTGGGCGACTTCTATCATTGTCTTCGGGTAACAAAAGCCATTGCATGTACTTGCGGGGGCCATCGGGCGCCAACTCATGAATAGTCACAAGGGTGTGAAAGAGTGGGATCGACTTCGTTTCCAACTCATCCGCTTTGTATGCACACACAGCTTGGTCCAGAATATTGATCAGCTTGTCGACATTGCAATTCTGGTTGAAGGTTGGGAAGAGAGGGCTGCTTTCCCACGCTTTGCCCTTCTTGTTTTCCAGATCAAGGGTCGACAAGCAGTTGAGAAGGTAGCCGAGCAAGCCGTCTAGAGGCTTTTCAGGGATATCGATCCGGCTAATTATCTTGAAAATGTGCGGAATTGAGGGCGAAAAGCTCTCAGCAAGCTCTGGGTAGATCTTCGATACATTGAAAATCAGTTTCAGCGTGTCGATGAGAGCCAGTTCATCCATCTGTGATAAGGACTTTTTCCCTGACTTCGGGAATTGCTTTGCGTGTCGAGTAATTTGCTGTACGCACCAATCAGTCACTGCTGCTCCTTAGAGGGGCTGATTCACTTACGTAGTTTACATTATCGCCCAGGAGGTGGTTCTTGATAAGCTTCCCAAAGTCCATGGTTGTGTCATAGGTTGAAAGAAACAAGATGCGACTGATCACCATTTCATCCTCCGAAGAGTCACACTAGCCCCTGGTTAGCATATATACCTCTTAGATGATGGATCTGAACTGCATACTTTGAGCAACTCCGCTAATCTGCCCCCATAGCCTGTATCAACGAAAAGCTGGCGCATGGGTGGGTTCAGGAGAAGAGCATTCGCAACACATCGTAGGGCAGCTCGACGCACATCAGTCGTCTCCCCAGTAACACCGTAGTCGGCTAGGATTTGCATTCCCTGAAGAACAATCAGCACTTGTAGCAAGCGACAACAGGCTATTGGCCTCTTTTACCTCTTTAGAGTAGATCGGGCCTGCATTGTCGGGGTTGGTACCATGCTGCCTCAATTCTAACAGTGTCTGCACCCTTTCTAACAAGTATATCCTTTGAGTAAGAAGCCTGCTCATGTTTGCGCTTTTCTTTGTACTTACGTTGTGATGTGAGCGACTTCTCAACCTGATCTTGTTTCAAGGTCTCCACCAGCTGGGTGACCCTTTGCAGTTTGGCTAAGAACATGTTAGACCCAACCAATACAACGATGCACCCTACATACCTGCACCTTGAAGCATACGAAACTCCATAATGAGTATTGTCCCAACCTTGAGCTCAGCAGAGAAGCAAGCCGAGGTCTGTCTCCTGGAGGCTCTGTAGCGCACCCCCTACTAGTCTGCCAAAACCTGGGGTCCCGCTTGCTTAGAGCCGATAATGACCTTGCGACCGCAGAAGCACCAGGGTTCGAAGGGTAAGGGAAGGTCTAGAGGTTGAACCTTGTCTTAGTAAGGGTCAGTGCCGCCGCGGTCAGTGCAATGTTCAGTGTTCCTGAACTGGAGTCATAGGAGTTTCGGTCTTGGATCCGCGGGGATGGTTCTTGCCAGGAGCTAAGGCTCGATGGATTGGTGAATAGCAGTGCGATCAATCAGGAGAACCCCACCAAGGCTCACAGATGAATCTCCGCAAGATCCACGCAAATGGTAGATTACCACTGGAGGAAAATCAGAAAAAAGTATGTATATCCTTTTGCGTCCTTTCCAGAGAGTGTCGGATTTCGAGAATGTTTCCTATCAAAGACACGACCATGTTTCGAGCCTGATCTCTAGACTGGTTCTGTCATTGATGGTCCAGTTTGTTTCATTTGTTCCATTTCCGACTTGGATTACCCGCCCGCCCATGCAACTGTTGCCTTACAGCCTCAGGCATCAAACGCGGCGCTGCCACTTTACGCGTGCCTTCAGCCACAGGCGCGTCCCTTTTGAGCTGCGTGGCTTGGCGCGGTCCCCCAGAGGATCAAACGCTCGACAGCCCTGCTCCATCTGGATCTTCAAATCTCACTCAAGGTTGTTTCTGGACTTCCAACTAGGTCATGGACCATTCGTAATCATCGCTAGGCCATATCGCGATGTCCTTTTCTCTTTCTCCGCTTCCTATCCCCTTTGCTTAACCATTCGATCCCTAAAAATATGGTGGAGGTTCTCGGTCCTGTCTCTGCTCGTCCGCCGACTCCACCAAGGACTTCATCCTGTATGCTGTCCGAGAAAGATCGAAGGCAAGATTCTCCGGCTATTGTGCATACGCCTCGTGACTCTCCTTTCTCTGTCAATGGTTCGACCGGCGCTCCTTCGACCCGTCAATCCAAGCGCGTGAATTTCTCGCCTTGGACTAAATACATCAAACCTCCGACATTTACGAATTCCGCCGCGAAATCGCGACCCGAGCTGAAAGTTCTCCCACCTTCGAATGAACTCAAACCTGCGAAGTCGATCCTGAAGCCGACGAGCTCGCACGCTTCCGCCGATTCTCCTTCCTCCGCTCCCCACACTCCCGATTCTTTCGCCATGCTTCTTGAATCCATCCTTCAGCAACTAGCTGGCGACACGGTCAGCTCCAGATTGGACGCATATATGCAATTTTTTGGGGCGCTAAGGGCATACGAAGGGATTCCCGGGGAGCAGGGAATCATTGCGAAATTGGGCACAATTACACATTTTATCCAGCGCGATGTCAACAGAGACCTGGCGACGGGAGGACCCTTGAACACCAACCTCGTGATCCAGGCGCTGAAGCTTGCTGTGGCTCTTGTTTGGCACAATGAGATCTCTGCGCGGCTCTCAGACGAGTTCAAGGCATTTCTTATTGACCACTCGATTGATTGTCTACAGGACGCGAAAGTGCCTAAATCTGTGATCACACATTATCTATCTGTCTTGGCCACACAGAACTTCAATGCAAAAGTCATGACCAATGCCAGAGTGATACGTCTTCTCAATGTTTTGAATGACCTTACCCCTCGTGTCACTGGAAACGCAATTGTTTCTCAGCGGTTGAGCATCTATTCCCGGGTCCTCCACCAATCAAAATCGACTTTCGTCTCTCATGCAGCCTTGTGGATGGAGCATCTTATCTCGGGATTGCTTCATCACATGAAGGACACTCGCATAAAGGCTATTTCTGTCGGCTTCCAGACCTCTATAGCATGCGGCCCCAATCCTACGCTATCAAAGGCCGTTCGGGATGTGCTTGGTAGGTTCATAGACAAAGGCAGAAAGATGGTGACTGAAGTATGTGAGCGAATGTCACGGATGATGAACAATCCCGAGTCCGGCATCCATGTACCACAGGTTTGGGGTGTGATCATACTGCTTCTGAGGAGTAAAAGATTCAACGTCGACCAGTGGGAGCATTTCAAAGAATGGGTTCTGGTTCTGCAAAAGTGCTTCAATTGCAGTGACTCTTCCATCAAAGCGCAGGCCATTATCGGCTGGAACCGATTTGTCCTTGTTGTTGGCCCTAGCGATACAACAAGCCCTTCCATACTCAAGATGCTGATCAAGCCAATCATGTCCCAATTCGACCGCAAGAAGCACGACAAACAGCCCAGTCAGCTCGCACTGTGCAGTTACTATAATCTATTGTACTATGCCTTCCGTCCGTCTGCAACTTTTGAGCACCTTGATGTTGTATGGAAAGAGTACATTGCCTCGCCTTTACCGACAATATTTGCGTCAGTTCATGGTATGCACGATCGACTGGCTCACGTGCTGTCCAACATGTTCTGGAGCTCACACCCCAAGCCCTGGATCGAGAACAAGGTCAATGAGAGCAACAAACTGGATCCGGAAGAACTACCCCCGATCGATAGCAAATGGCTAAGGTCAAGGATCTCATCGGTTCTGGATGTTCTTGAAATTGTTTTCAAGGCACCGATTTGGTGTGATTACCCTGAACAGTCGCATATTGGCGCCGCGTGGCTGAATCTATCCAGAGCTTTGTCGTTTACCTTCAGCAAGGAAATTACACCAACTCCCGAGTCAATGCAGACCGTGGCTCACATCCTGATATTTCTCCAGCGCATCTGGAATATGGGACCAGACGCGCTCAGTGCTAAACAACCGGATGACACCATGGACATATTCTTTGAGCGATTCCGATTCTTGTCTACTACGATGATCTACTCCCTGGGAAGTGCTCGGTTTACAGAAAAGCTCATCCTCCGAACATCCGACGACTCGTTTCAAGCCGCTGCTACGCCCACCCATCGCCAATCAAGGGCAAGCGCCAATCTGAGCACCCCAACCTTACACTACCTTCGAATGATCAGCGAAATGTCTGTTATCACAGTGCCCAGCAAAGCTTACTCTCACTTAGTCAATGGTGTACTTGAGGCAACATGTAATGATAAGGTTTCACGAAGCTCGCGCTTGGAACTATTGCAGCAATGCGCGAGTCTTTATGATGGCTACAGCGACTCTGACTTTCCTGTGGGTCCCTTCTTGGCACAAACTGTCTGGGAGTGTACAGCGCAGCTTGCCGCGGATTCTCTACGGTCACTCCCAATGGAAACTGCTCGCGAGCGCGATGGATCCGTGGCTCGAGACTATGGAAACGCTGTGAAAGTTCTTTCTACCGGGTTGAGTTACCACCGTGATTTTCAGGTATGGAACGAGCTTCTTGACTCGCTCATTCGTGTTGTGAGAACCGAGAGAGGTGACCAAGCAATCACCATCATGATAATCGAACCCCTGGTTGAATCTATCGTGAAGGTTGATGCCCGGAAGACTTACCTGCCGTTGGCCTCTATCCTCAAGCATTTGCTTTCTATCACTTATTATCAGCAATCGGAGAGAGGAGCCGATGGGAAACACCTGCCGTTTCAAAAGCTTATCGATTTGGTTGGCCGCACCTTAATCGGATCATATGAACGTTTCGACCCCTCTGAAACGAGCGGTATGGCGGATTTCATTGAATCCTTGACATCTCTCCTGGGCTCGGGTACTCCGACTGTTCGGTCCATGATGCTGGAAAGCCTTCAGCTACCCCTGGCTACGTTCCTCAAAGATGGTGACAAGAGACTAAGCGTGGAAGGTGGCGTTGAAAGCAGGATTCTTACTGCAGTAAGTGTGGGAAGTAAGGGGCTTCGGATATACTCTAACCCTTGTCTAGTGCCGCGCGCTGTCGTCAGCTGTTTTGAATATCTTGCAAGCGTCTTCACCCCACGATGCCCCATGTCTCCAAAGATTCGAAGGTATTATTCATGCCGGTCTAGATTCTTCACATATCACGGTGAGAAAACGGTTTTATGATTTCTGGAATTCTACCTTCGGCTTGCAAAGATTTCTGTCGCGTCCTGAAAGTATAACGCAAGCGCTGGAGCATTTAGAAGCTCTTATCAGCCAACAGCAGGCCGTCGCACCAGCAGATGAGCTGAAGGTATTTCATGTCATAGTCAGCCTAAATCAGCCCATGCTAACGATTTGAAGCTCGGTGCACCTGCGAGTACCCTCGACGAATCGGAATCTAAATCCGGTTCAACCAACATGTCGGTGAAGTCGCGTATTTCCTTCATTTTGGACAATCCCATCGACTCGGGCTTGAATTCGTCGCCTGTTACCGGGAGCTCGGATCGTGCAGTAACGAGAGAGCGAACAAGGGAGCTTCATCGGGAGCATGCGCTTGAAGCTAGCCGGCGGGCTGCTGAACAACATGTTGCTGTTTCCGACCTGGATCCCTTCGTCTCAGGCCCAGAAGACGGCAGCAAGCGCAGCGAGCTCTTCTCAATGATCGAAAATCTGCGGTCCTCTTCACCCCCAAGCAATACACCTAGAGACATCCATTTCATGACACCGCCCCATTTACGCCATCTCAATCACTCGGATACTGATGCGGGAACCCCGCAAACACCTCCTTTGCCGCCTGTATCGGCTGGGCACGAATATAACTACCTGGGCTCGTCTCCGACTCCGGTCGCAAGGGGCCGGTCGCAATTGAGCGACTCACAAGTACCACCACCCCAAATACCTGCCGCAGCAGAAGCCTCGTTGCTAAACGACGACGAGCCCAGGTCCTCCCCTCCAGATCTCACTTCCCTTCCAACCAACCATGAATTATTGACCCCCAGCACTCATGCCAATAACGAGGCATCCGTTGATCCCGAGACACCCACAACTACACCCGGTAAGAGTAAGAGGGCAAAGAAGAGAGCCCGACGCTCGGCCAAGCTCAAGAAGAAGTCAAATTCCGAGCTCAACCAGACTAAGCACGTCGCTCCGGATACTCCAGGCGCAGTTGCAGACCAGCCTATGACCAAACGCCTCCGCTCCTCTACTGGCAAGACTTCGGACACTCCTCTACAACTTGGCACCGAGAAGCAACCTACAGGAAATGTCACGGACGGCAGTAAAGAGCCACGTTCTGGACCTTCCACAAGAAACTCCGGCTCTACGAATGCAGTCGACCCCAAAGCCGTGTCTGAGAAGGAGAAGGACTCGCCTAAGATCGTCGAAATCCTCGAGTCACAGCCAGAACAAACCGGCAACACTGCCAATTCACGCAATGATGATATAGATATGGAGGATCAAGTGACATCCCAGCTCGAGCAAGACCTGGAGTGTGCCGTAGATATGGATGACGTTGCGAGCGGTGAACCGTTGACGGAAGCTCCGCGTGAGCCTCTGCCATCAAAGAAACGAAAGCGTGAAGCGGAAGAGCACACGCCACGGAACAAGGAAAGACGTCGCTCCTCTCGCCTCACGAGGACGTCTGCTGCGGCTGAGGTGGGAGATGCCAACATCACCCGCTCCAAGATATCTTTGCCCGACCCGCAAGATCTTGAGTCGTCGCCTGCCGAGTCTGCACCAAAACGACGGAAGCATGACACTAGGGCCGAGACCAGCGACACGATTCAACCGATCGCCAACAGCCAAACATCTGAACCTGCCGGTGAAAATGACAAGGCTCATGAAAGCCAGGACAAGTCTCAGAAGAGAAGATCTTCCCGTCTTAGTGGTCAAGCTGCGCCTGCAATTCCGGACGAGATTCCCGACCAAAAGAAAACAAAGAAGTCACCTCGATCATCTCGCCCACGGAAGCAAGACAGGGAGAGGAATAAAGAGACCATCCCGGAGGAAAGTGACATTCAAGACACAGCAGCAGAAAACGAGCCAGAGGTCACAGCCGATGGCGAAGTTTTCGATCAACCTATTCATGCTGAGAGGGCCACGGATGCCGCTGTCGCACACCAGGAAGTCCGGGAGACACTAAAGCCTGAGAGCACGGCGCAATCTGCGGTCAAGGCTCAGGAGGTGGACGTCCAGCCGAGCCAGCCAGTGCCTGTTGAAGATGAGCAGCCGTCAGCAGACAGTGACATTCAAATGGCCGATGCGCAACCCATCGCCGAGACTTTGCCCCAGCCGCAAAAGACCCCATCCGGCAGCAGGGAGAAGAGCCCTGAAAAGAGAAAGAAGAAAACCCGAGGTGCATCCCGCGCCAGCCAAGCAGGGACCGAGACCCAGGCAGAATCGACGTCAGCTAAATCAGACGCGGAAATTGCCAGCTCCCTGCGAAAGGTGCTTGACGACGTTAAATTGGCCAAGCTGGACCGCCAGTCCCTCAAGGAGATTGACGACCTGCTGTTCGATATTCGCGTGGAAACGCATGAGGCAATGAGGAGAAATAGAGGTTGAAGTTGTACTTTTTTTTTTGCATAGCGATGGCGTTTAAGAATTTCGCGGGGTATTCATTTATCTAGGCCTTATACTCTATACACCCTTATCTTTATCTTTTCTCTTTCTTCTGTGTCTTTCTTCTGTGTGTTCTTGAGAAGGGAAGGGAAGAGATGAAGATATGCGTTCTACTCGTTTTGCTGTATCCATCCTTCATGCTAGTATGTTACGTTTTGCCTGTTTGATTCAGGTTTTGTACAACGCTTTCGGAGCCGGTCCTGGCATTTGAAGTATATTTAAACTGTCACATTGAGCGAGTTTCATCGGAAGAACCTCTATGGCGTTCAGTCAAAAAAGTCTCCCAATACCTCTCCCGGTAGCTGCTAGTGAGTAGGAGTAGGAGTAGAATTTCACTGGTGAAGGGCAAAAAATCAGAACCCAAAAAAGATTAACGGCCCGAGCCGCGGATCGAACGCGGGACCTCTCGCAGATATGCTTGGGTTTGGAATCCCTAAGCGAGAATCATACCACTAGACCACCCGGGCTTGTTATGGTAACTGCCATGATTTTACGTTATCTATTCCCTTGTCACGTAGCTTTAGAATCTGCAGGGCCAGTCGCTACAAAGGACGCAACACATGTCGCTGTTTCCACCACACTCGACTCGTTATCTACTGACAATCGCTACGTACAGTGCATCAGAAGCAATGAGTATTTATTTCGGCCTTACTTTGCACGTGGAATGGAATTGAAATCAGATCTTCCAAGCAGCATCGAGATCTGTCGATCTGTCGATCAATTTACGCTCAACACAACACCAACCACAAAGATATTGATAGAGGGAACATTAACTCTGGAAAAAGGCTCGTTTTTTTTTCTCTTTCAGGATTGTGACTAGACACAACCCTAGATACGAGATGCAGTCAGACTGGTCATGAGTCCCAAACATAACATAAATAAATGCGCAGCGAGAGCCTTGGCGCATCAATCTACACCGATGCGCTTGCTTTTTGTTGCCTATTGCCGATAAAGCTCCCATGCTGGATGCGGCGTAGTCTGCATACACTACATTACTGTCCAACGCGCACTTTTTTCTATATCTTATCATTGCCACACTCTATGACTCCCATTGATCGGTGGGCCAGAGCATGGAAATTCCCGTGCTGGGAAACTCTTATGCGTAGTACACTACCGAACGAAGTTCAAAGGTTGCCTGTTGTCTGTCCCTTCAAATCATCGTCGCTGGCTGTGCTTCGATTCTCTAACAATAGAGACCACTGCATGCCATAGCCAGTGGATTAACCATCTGCTAGGTATAGATGAAGAAGGGAAGGAGCCAAACAGCTTTGCAGAACAAGCGACTACCGGTCACCACCGTAGCCCGCCTCGCTTGGCTTTTATAGTTCAATATCTCAAGCACACACGCCCAACTCCCACCGATCGATCAATCTGCACGCACAGTACGGCTCTCACTGGTCAACAAACCTAAGCTAGCATCTCTAGCAGACTTTCCTCTGTTGATATATATATCTCCGAAGCGCAACCTACCGAATGACAACATGTCGACGAGTCCCCGAGGCGGAGCCGGCGAGCGGTGGCGCGGGTTGGGTTGCTGGTGGTAGTCACTGGTCAGACTTCCGTCATTCGCATGGAATGGGAAAACAATGCCGGTTGGGTCAATGGCTTATGAGATATTTCAAACACACACTCTCTCTGCTTTGCGTTGAGTGAATTCTGTGGTCTATGGTGGAGAGGGAGTGAGTCGGATCATAGAGTGTTCTCACGCACTGCATTGCACTGAATCTGCCGCGTTGGTACGTCCGCTCGACCATACAAAGCATCATCTTTCATCACATGGCTGCTTGCCATTTGTGTTTGGCTTCTGCATCTAACACGCTCTTGGATCCTTCCTCTTCCAACAGTAACGAAACAGGTTTATTGTTTTGTTGAGAGTTGCATACTCTACATAGTTATTGCATTCAACTTACTCGGATACGGCAGAGGCACCCTTCACCGCTCAGGGCTTTTGCTATTGATTCCATTATCTATCGACACCTCCTTCACGACAAGGGAAAAAACAGTTGTTGTCGAAGCATATAGATGTGTGCCTGAGGTCGATTGACGTACTCGTCATGGTAGATCTTTCGTCGGCTGCTATCCTGGGCTACCTGGCACCCGTCTGCGTGGCCTTTGTCTTCTTCTGCTCATGGTATGTGGACTAAGCCATCTCATTCTTCATTTGTCTGCATCAGGTTCCTGACACTGAAAACCAATGTAGGGTCTATGTTGGAGCAAGACGACGACGTCGTCTTCGCCGGCTTCGCAATAATGATCCGGAAACTGCGCCCATCGGGTCCAACCGAGTCGTGATCTCCCACAGTGATGTCGATCAACGCTTTCCGCGAGTCAAATACAGTGACTGGTTGGAGGAAAGGAACAGAGACTTGCAAAGCAAAGGGATAGCAGGGACGAAAGTATCCGAGACTACTGAGATCACTACCATCAAGGACGCCCCGAGCTCCGAGGATAAATCTACCGGTGCGCCTCGACAATGTCTCGCGCATGATGAGCTTGGTCCTGTTGCTGGCAACGTGACACAGTCCTCTGGCATAGGAGATGGATCTGATGGAGCGGACTCGAGCAAAATGTGTGTCATATGCATGGACGAGTTTCACCCTCTAGACTCCGTCCGGCCGTTGCCCTGTGGGCATATCTTCCACGCGTCGTGTCTGGATCCATGGCTCACCAAGCGGCATGCCTGTTGCCCCCTATGTAAGACGAGCTATTGTAATCCGAAGCAGGGTCAGACTGGCTGGCTTCGTTCCGGGTCAGAGCCGGCGTTTCCCCAGGCGGTTGTTATCAGAACTAATATCATTCCGCAATATTGAGGTCTGGCTCTGGACGAAGAACTGCGTGTTGGTAAAGACATGTAAGTGGATTGCATGCTTCTCAGCCGTCTTCGTGGGTTGGTTCCTGAGATGAGCTGATCACAGTGTTTGCAGATGGCGCGGACTTGTAGCTAGGGACATTGTGCATAGTTCTCCAAAATCGAGTCTTCCCATGAATTTGACTTCCGCCGCATTAGACCGGGCTCGAAACTGATTGGGGATGTGGGTAGATTCAGTCGTCCCCTGAATCACCCAGTCACTTCAAGACGCGACATGTCCATCTCCTCCCCGAAATTGCGCTGGCCTTCATACGCATCATCGCGATCGAGGTAGCCAGTATGCCGCGCAAGAGACCTGTCCGGATATTCAACCGGCGCTTCGATGATAGCTTCCTCACTTGCTCGCGGACCATAGGACTTATCCCCAAGGTCCAATCTCCGGGGGCCTTTCCACTGTTCGCATCTCCTTTTCAGTGCGGTGGAGAAATGGGCCGGTGGCCAATCTTTCAATTCTGTCTCACTTTGTGTGGAGCGGGTCGCACCGGACAATGCTTTGCCATGCCAGTGTGCATGTTTATCATACAATCTATTCGTCTTCTGAAACATTTTCGAGCCGAAAACCTTCCTCAGAAGTGGCGAGAGGCAGACCATGTTCGCAACATAAATCGCAGTGCTCGACTCGCGGATATACCACAACTGATAGGTGGTCGTCAGGGGAGAAGCGAAATTGAAGAACTTGTTGAGAATCGCAGCAGCTACCGTGAAGACACCCAGACTCATCACACCGGCCAACATAACCTTCTTGCCGTTTTTTATCTGGGCCTTTCGCAACAGCGGGATCGGCAGCGCGAGCATGGCAGCATCTGAGGAAATGTTGAAGACGGCCTGCGTGATCGAGTAGTTCTGGTAGGTTGCGCATTGCGGGTTCTGCACTGGCATGGCCCAGTACTGCGAAAATGGTCGGCAGTAAACGGCATAGTATGTGACCATGATGACGACAAAGCCAACGGCGATGAAAACCGCGATGGCGTTGACATAAATCCGCAATTGTCGGAGATTGTGTGTGAGTCGCCAGAACATGGTCAGCATGCAGATCTTGACGCCCCAGGTTGAGAACAACATGCACTGCTCTAGACCGATGACTATCTTGCTTCCGAGAATACGGTCGCGGACCTCTTGTGGGTTGGCCAGGATCTCATCGTACTGTGCCGGGTCAACGAGATTGGACGCATAGCGGGAGGAGATTATAATCAGGACCAGCAATGTTGTATAGATCAACTGTTGCCCCGCCATGGTTTTAGTCAATGTCTCTCGCTTCACGCGGGTTCAATAACTCACAAATGTCACACTCATGACATAGTCCTCAACTAGACAAGGCGCATTAGTATCCGTAGACATTCGACGATCGTGGCTACATCATACAATACAAACGCTTGATCGATCCGGTTGTAATGACGCGGGAAGTTCTAGCCAGGTTAGTAGCAGACCTCTGGCAGTACTCACGCTGGCTCTCTCTGACATTGTAGCACTTACATCCTGCCGATATACAGCACAATCGCGATGCTCCAGAAGATGATCGCTTCGGAGAGGAGCTGAGACGGGCTGGGTGAAAAATCCCCCATGTCGTTTGCGTTCCAAGCCAGGGAAAACCCCCTACCCTTCCCGGTCTCCTCGTCTTACTTCTGAGAGCTCCTGCTCAGTCAGGGTAAAGCAAGAGGCGCACCACGCCATATATGGGAGGGTTCGCACCAGCCACGAAGGGTTCTTGTCTGGCCCTGTCGGAGCAACCGGCACGAGACGAGGGGGGGGGAAGGTGCTCGAGCAACGCCGGATGCCACACAGATGGCTCAAATGAGGGAGATTACATACCATATCGAGGAGTTCGGAATTCCTTGCCTAGAGGTGGCGGCAGGACGCAAGGGGATGACCGACTGGAGTGAACTCGACGCTTGATCGTGGGCCTTCGTGGGCCTGATCGTGGATGTGCCAGTCACGGAGACTTGCTGGTGGGATGGCAGATCTTCGACTGTGATCGTATGACAGAGGCCATAACTATCATGGAAGTAGTTATTAATTGGGTGGATTGTATTCGGCTCTCTCGTTGTCGGTTCGGATTATCAAGGGATGAATGGGGGACAGTCATTTGAGGCATTGGCGGTTCGATCGGTTGCCAGAAGGCAACCAGGGTGGCTTGCACAGGCATTATCGCTTTGTGTATATCTTGTCTTAGGTTGACTTTGTGCAGCTCTCCAGAGTATTATGCTTCTAAGGGGGAGGGGGGTGTTGTGCTTTGAACGAGGCCAGCAAGGGACGTTGACCGCGCATGTGAACTGCCGGATCTAGATATATAGATAGGAAGTCAAGGGGATCCGACAACACCACATCTCATGGATAACTTCAAGTAGTCCCCCCATCCAGATTGGCAATGTTCATTAATGATCTTCCCTACCTGAATAATCAACTGAATTACCCAGAGCACAAAACTCGAGTCTATTGGGAAAAAAGAAAACAAAAGAGCGGCCTGACCACAATCGTCCATACATCGGGCGATGAAATAAAGACAAAAAAAAGAAATGCGCCAAGCGAGACTCGAACTCGCGTCCCAACCTAATCCTATGCGAATGGGAAGGTTGAATCCTAACCACTAGAAGATTGGCGCCGAGAACCACTGGACCATTTAGCCCGTTGTAGTTGTTAGGTTATTTAATTCATGGATGTTATGCCACTCCTACATAATACAATTTCCCCTGTATCCGCCACTCAGGAACCACGTATTGCAAACTTTATCCGACAAGTTGGTTTCCCGAGTTGCGCTTTTTGCTGAGACGGCCTCGATAGGTGGTCTTTATCTGTTGGGGGTGGTGGTGGTGGTCTGGATTTGCGTTGCCATAGACTGACTGCATTTGTTGTGCGCCGCTAGTGCTGTGCGAGATGGTCGATTAAAATACCCTAGGGTTTTATAAAATGAGGCTTTCAGGAAAGGTTGGGGTTTCAAGATAAAAAGAAGTAGATGTGACAGAAGGTTTTTTTTATTTCGAGAAGGAAGAGAGAGAAAATTCTGATCTTTCAGAAGAACGGTATGCGGTGTGGAGACTCTTCAATGAGGTATAGGGCTAGTAGCAAATCTCTGTCCGTACCATGGGAAGGCTCAGACCTTATTTACGCGGGAAATGTTACTGTAGGTGACATGCTTGTGATCTGATATGGTTTCGGTATAGGGGAAAGCCTTAGATGTCATATATTATTCATGTTCAAGAAGCTGTCTTTGGATTTACGGTATGTTTTGCGGGTGCTCAGCTCGACGAGTGTGTATTTGCTAGCAGGTGATTAAGGTATATCCGGGGTTTGTCGATTCAGGTAATGTCTTCTACTTGGGAGACTTTCTTTACTGTCTGGCCTGTGTATCATGGATGTTTGGCATTGCTTAGATAGCAACTCCATGTACTGCGATGGATAAATATACACCCCGTAGAGACAAACAATGGAAGCACTGGATTCGCAGACCGATGATAGAACATACTGTTGCCTGACACAAGCACCAGAAATTTAGTCCTTCTTCCCACCAGCTGCCGGACCCCGGATATAGGGCTCCAATGGGAAGACCTGGGTCTCAGGCGTGACTCCATCATAGAGTTGTTTCCAGGCCCTGTCCAACGGCCCGGGAGTGTCCCATGCATATTCTGGGTCACGCTGCCAAATACGGATCAGATGGCGTCTGGTGCCCGGTTAGCAATTCCACAAGCATGCACACGTTAACAGAAGAAGGGCGCACTGCTGTTCTGGGGTGTCCTGGAATCCATCTCTGGCATGGAAGATGCTCAGATTATTGATATACTGAATGTCGCCCTTGCGGAAGTCCAGCCCAACCGAGTACTTCTCGGCCAAGAAGTGCAGCGAGTCCAGGGTCTCCGCCTGTGCTTCAGTGATGGGAGGTATATCTTTGGACCTGGGCAGGTCCTGGAAGCCCGTGAAGCTGCGACGAGCGTACTGTATTAGAACGCGCTCGGGCTGCTTGTTAGTGGCTGCCTGATGGAAGAGGAGCGGACGCTCGTAGTATGGGGTTTGGGGGTTGCCGAATCTGCATTATGGTAGTCAGTGACACAAAGCATTTTTCTTCCAGATACAAAAGAGTCAACCCACCCATCGAGAGGCCAGTTCTCCGCAAGCGTGCGAATGAGATCCGGCCGCTTCTCCGCCAACTCATTGTACACGCGCCAGCTGCTGGCTAGCTTGCTCTGGCCGCCCGCCGCGGCCGCGCTGAGGGCGAAAAGAGAGATGATGTCTCCCTGGTCGGTGTGGAAGACCTGCTTATCGGTGGTGTAGGCAGGCGCTCCGATGCGGCCTTTACTCTGCGCCTGCGTGCTCAGATCCTTGATGTGGTTGTGCATCACGTCGGCCGGCTTCCCGTCGTAGAACGAATCCTGGCGGCCGCGGATCGGTGCTACATGGGAGGAGATTCCCACGTAGATAATGATGTTCTCTTCGCGCGAGTACCGGTCCACGGGCACGCCGCTGACGACCTTGAATCCGTATCCGTTGTGAAGCTCGCGCGAGATATCACGCAACGTCGAGTGTAGCGTGGGTAGAGGGAAGGACTCGGGATTGATGAAGCCCAGGGGTTTGTTTAGTGCTGCGGGCATAGGAGTCAGACAGGCCCGATCAATCATAGTATTCAGGGGTAGATGGATACTGTACACCTGATATGCTGCACTGCAGCGTCAATCTCCTCGCGATCGGCATCGGTTGGGACATAGGTCCAGTTGTACCGTTCTGCGATGTCTTTACCATCCCAGACTAAATCTGAGTCAAGCTTTCTTGGGAAGTCGGTAGGGAGGTCAGTGGCAAGTGTTTCAAGGCGTAGACGACGCTCGGTGCGAGCGTGCCATTTGTCGACGTCCGGGAGGTATTGGATATCAGGTTGCTGGGCGGTGATCGCCACAGTGGTGGCCATGTTGGGCTTGACGTTGATCGATATGAGATTCATATCTCATAACAAGCAATCAGAGTATAAGACGAGCGCGTATCTGCTGTAACTTAAATTATGCAATCCGTCAATATTGACCCCGCGCGGGTTTTGATGGTGCAATCATCGACCATTTTGGTTGCGAATGACATGATTGCTCCGACCAGGATGCTGTGATCTCTGCACTGACTGATTAGACTCAGAGTAAGGCAATATTATCTGTAACACTGTTTCACAGCTTCTCTCTCGCCCTCAAGGCAACGAGGCAAGTGTTGGAAGATCGGACGCCAAACGACCTGCGAGAGATGTGGAAATGAGGTTAACGATAGCGGCGGCTCATTCCTTTCATATGCTCCCTGAGCCCAGTACTGCATAGTGTAACAGCTGTATGCTGCGATATGCAACGAATCTGCGAGTATTCATGTTTCATGCAATGTCAAGATGTCGGACCTGCCATAATGGTGGCATTAGCCTGCATTGCCCCCAAACAGGCAAGTATTTATACACACAAGCATCTGCTGACCTAAGCGCAATGAAAGGGCCCCACGGTGACGCTGTTGCCCCGCCCGTTCAGGTGCATCCAACAGTCCCCGCATTGAACACAACAGAAACAAAAGAGTGAGAGAAAAGCTGTCTTGTTATTGAATTCATCCTTCATACTCAGACCTCCTAACCCTTGTTGCATTCATCACCATGGACCGTTCTAACAAGCCCTCCGCCATCGGGGTGGGTGCATCCATCCCCCAGCCCACCGTCAACGTCCACGACAACACAGTCCAGGCCACCCTGCCCACCGGCGAGTCGGTCACCGTCCACCTCTACGGAGCGACCGTCACATCCTGGAAGCTTGCCAATGGCAAGGAGCAATTGTTCGTTAGCGAGAAGGCTCATCTGGATGGCTCCAAGCCCATTCGCGGCGGAATCCCCGTCGTCTTCCCAGTAAGTTATTTATCCCATCCCCTGGAACATGATGCCCACACCGCGAAAGACAACAACCTGTTTGCTAAGAGATACGTACGTGGCTACCAGGTCTTCGGTCCTCCCCCTTCTAACCACGCTACATCCTCCCTCCCCCAACACGGCTTCGCCCGGAACTCTAACTGGGAGTTCCTCGGCAAGTCCTCGTCTGAGTCGCTCGGCAAGGACCGCAAAGAGGGAGACGACGCGGTGAAGCTGGACTTCGGCCTTTCTCACCCAATGCTGAGCGAGGAGTTTCAGAAGACCTGGCCCTACCAGTTTGGTCTAGTGTATAGCGTCACCCTGACCAAGGAGGGCTTGGAGACGTCGCTGCAGGTGCAGAACAAGGGACAGCAGAACTTTGAGTTCCAGGTTTTGCTGCACACTTATCTGAGCATTGAGGTGCGTTGCCCCCCACCTCTATGATTGTTGACCTATCGTGACTATCAAAAGAAGAAAAGGGAAGACTGACAAGGAAATACAGGACATCTCCCAGGTCCGCGTCAAGAACCTCCAGTCTAAGGAGTATGTCGACAAGACCCAGGGTGGATCCACGCAGACCGAAGCCTCCGCTGCCGTTGAGATCGACAAGGAGACAGACCGCGTGTACAAGGCGCTCGATCCTAAGGTTCCGATCGAGGTCACCACGGTGTCGGATGACAAGCCCCTTTTCTCCATTACCCGGGAGGCCCTGACGGATGTTGTGGTGTGGAACCCCTGGGTCGAGAAGGCCAAGGGAATGGCCGACTTCGGTCCTGATGAGGCCTACAAGAACATGATTTGTGTCGAGGCCGGCTCCGTCGCTGGGTGGCAGACGCTGGAAGCCGGGGAATCCTGGGAGGGTGGCCAGACCATCCGCCCGAGACTATGATTTGCCAGATTACCTTAGTTGATGGATCGATGTACTGATTTTAAAGCGAGCTAAGTTGTTGCACATGGAGATAGAGTTGAATACGCCGTGAATGTGTACATGAGTTTAAGCCACATGCAATGGAGGCGCTAATGCGTCCAACGAGTATTCCCAAAGAGAGGTCTCCTTTTCATATGACCCATAGTTTCACGGTAAATATACCCATGTGCCACCAGAGTGAACGATGGAAGGAAATTGAGGTCACCAACTGGAGGAATAGACATCATGACAGTATGGTGGACAGAAAGCCGACGGTGGGAAATCGATACAGGCCCCAGCAAGAGATGAGCATAGCTTACATCTCAGTCAAATGTACCGATCCGTGCCTCTCGATGAAAAAAAGGAAAGGCTTTCTCATCCCCAGCAAGATGATCAGAGCGCCTCCATCCCAGCATGCCCCTCCATGTAAGATGACCCCAGATGCCTCCGTCTTTCAGTCGCTTCATCAATAGCTTTTCACTGTCCGTCCTAGAGCTTGGGTCGGTTGCTTGTCCGGTCGGTTCAGCGTAGAAGCATCAAGTCATTCGGTGCCCCATAGCTCGTACAACTTCAAAGTATACCGATCGAGCCGTCTATCGTGTCGTCGACTGCTTTAACTGGGACGCTGACGCAGTAGTCGTGCTTCAGGCGAGTCAAGAACTTCCAAGTATCGAGCTGGGATAGCGCCAGCCTACGCGCTCACAACGACAAGAGGCTCCTCGCATGCTCTGTGCGGTTCTGTCGAACGACCCAGCAGTGGAGTGCCCAGATGACATGATAAGAGAACAAGAAGGGCAGTGACAAGAGGAAGAAGAAGACTAGCACGGATTGCGGGACCATTGTCAAGACGTAGACTTGCGATGGGAGGTAGAGACAGCAAGCTTGATGGGGAAGAAAAGAAAGACTGAGAGATCCAGGGAAGATCTTCGGTCAGCCTCGCCGCGGCAAACGGCTCCTCCTATATGTGGTGTATAGCACTTAGGTGTAGAAGACGGTCAGGCTGAGGACTGAAGTACATAGACAGGCTGACCAATGATAAGCGACCAGCAGATCAGCATCCCGACCAGCTCAGACATACTAGTGAGGGGTAGGACCGGGTGAGCCTCATCCATGATGATCACGGGCTGGCTCTGCCACTGCACTCATGTTTGCTTGGGAGCTCTCAATCTGATTAACTTCCACCGTGCGGGAGCAGCTTTTCCACTGGGTGAGTGTGTCATACAACTGAAATTGTGTTGAGTGGTGATTCGTGGTGATAGAACCCCCTGAATCCTCGCTGTCGATCCTCGAAGATACTTGAGCTCCTTTGTCAAATGCAGCTTACATATGGCAGCCTGATAGAGCAGGGCGGCCGTGCTAACAGATGACAGTGTCTCGGGAGTGGCACTATTGATGAAGGCAGTGCCTGTAGAGGTTCGGCGCCTTGCTGATTTCCTTCTACTCCTTTGACGAGTCGAGTCCATTAGGGTTTTAAATTTGTACTTACGACTACCCTGAACGGTCTATTTCAAGTATCCAAAGGTCATGGGCGCCTACAATCATAGAACACATGCACACCTTCACTACACATGCAATGCGATATGCTGAAAAACAAGAGCCATCTTCTTAGCCCTACCTTTGTGCCAATTCAATCCAGATAAGAGCATCCAACCGAAAGGGACCTTCCAGACATGTATAACCTTCACCGCATGTACGTCCTCCAACAAAGCGCCTCCATCCGCATACATAAACTTACAACCACGAGATGTAGCATCAGTGAGACCAGTTGCCTAGCCAAACTCCTCGCTGGGAAATTAACAGCTGCCACTAACAGCAGGGGATAAGCAACCCAGGGATTGACAGTTAGCGGGCTGCAGGGTTGAAAGATGGACAGTATTTTGAGGAGGAAGCTGGCCATTTGCATGATTGTGACCCCAAGTTGCCAGTCGGCCAGAGAAGCAGCCAAAGGCTCCAGAAAAGGGAGGTATCTTTGTAAAGACCAGCGACTAGTAGGAGGGGGTGGTGGTGGTGGGAGCAGATGATGTTGTCGGGGCTGTTCGCCCTTATCGGAACGATCATGGGGTAGCACTTCGTGGTGTCGGTCCTCAGGAGAATGATGAGTTGGCGAGAGTGAGGATGAAGGGGTGCTTGAGAACCGCGGTCGGAAGATCAGATTTCGCTCGGGGCTGATGGAGGAAGAGGTAGATTCGGCTCTGCCTGCATCGGTGTTGTTGCTATCGAATGCAGAAGTTCGTCGTACACTTGACGGTGGTCGTGTGAGGCTTCTGGTTGGAGACAAGGCTTGGCGAGTATAGGATGCAGCTGAAGGGCTCTCTACAGGGTGAATTCGGGCGTTGGGGCGAGTCTCCGAGCCGGTCGGACTAGATCGCTTTAGGCGGAAATTCTCATTGACATTGGCCCCAGCTTGGAGACCGTTGAGAACTTCTTCTGCCGACGGTCGGCGATCCGGGTCCACGGAGAGTAAGCGCTGAAGGAATAAGTAAAGCTGCTCGGGGAGCTCAGGTCTCATGCGCCTAGCGTAGTCAAACCCAGCCCATTGACTGATTTCCTCGCGAAGTCGGTCTAGGTCTTCTTTCTCCTCGTGGATCAAGTCGGCGTTGCTGTACGGAAGTTGCGCGAAGCATAAAAAGTACAGGATCATCCCTAGAGAGAAGATGTCGGACTTGAAGGTAAAGTTACCGAAAGGACCGTCGGCGTACTCTCGTCGTAGAACCTCCGGTGCGCAATAGGAAACGGTCCCTGTCGCGCCAGTGGACCTTCGGATTGCGTCTTGAGCCTGGACTTCGCCGAAGTCACTTACTAGCACCCGTATCCCATCGCTGGTTTTATGCAACAAGCAGTTGTGAGGCTTGAGGTCACGGTGGATATAACCATTGGCGTGGAGATACCGAATCCCGGAAGTAATGTCTTTGAAGAAGGAATAAATCTCCTCGAATTGGAGCTTCCGAAGTGCCCCAAGATCATCCTCAGGACCGAGTCCGCCCTTCGACCTCCTTCTTAGACGATCTTTTAGCTGCTGCGTTGTAGTAGGAGTTTGCACTGCGCCACAAATGTAATTGTGGAGGTCCCCCGCGTTGCAGTATTGCTGTAGAATGAACGCACATGGCACACTCGGACCAAACGTAGTAATCTTGGCGTTTTCCAGCCAAACATGTCGATACGAGACGAGATTTTGATGCGATAGGTGCTGTAGAAGCTGCACCTCACCCAGTACTTTTTCAAGCCACTCATGGTCATCTCCGACAGGAACTCGCTTACAGGCGTAATGACCAAGCGAGACACCGTCCAGTACGTGTTTGACTAGAAGAACAACACCCTTGCCGCCCTTGCCTAGGATTGTCTCTTCGACAAAGAACTTCTTGAAGTAATCCTGTGTAAATGCTGCTGACGAGATTCCCTGACCGGTATGCACGCCGCCCTCCGGATAGCCAGGGTCATTTGACGACGGGCCATCCGCAATAGCCGGCTGGGCGAGTCGACGACGAGGGGATGGGGGTGTGGACGAGTCCGTAGAGCCAGGTAGGCTGGCATGAAGCAGACGAAAATAATCAGGATTGACGAATTCGGCTTGCGCGCCCGGGCTTGTTTCATGATCACTTTGGGGCGACCCGTTCTCGTGTAAAGGACGATGGCAGTAAGGACAGTCGGCTAGATCTAGGTCGCTACCCCTTCGATCCGCCGTGTTTTGTAGAACGAGTTGCCGCGAGTCTCGATCATAAACCACAACGGAGTCATTGTGCCGTCTGTAGTACAATAATACTCCACATTAGGATATTTGAGACAGGAGTGAAAGGAAAAGGCGAGTGAAGCTAGCTTACAGCACGACATCAAGATTGCCAGACCCATAGGGAACAATGGACATGCCCTCATCCTCCATTGTCAATGGGAGAGTGGCACATCCACAAGGGACACAGAGACATGAAAGGCTGGATAAATAGCCCGAGGCGATGCGTTGTGATCTCCAGGAAAAGCAAGGTATCTTCTGGCAGCTGCTACGGAAGACGAGAGAGTGAGGCTGGGGTAGCCCCACGTGAGCTCCGTCGGCGGTGAGGGTTCTGCCCTATTGAAGTTGGTTTACGGGTGGATTACAGTGGGAAAAACCAGTCTCTTTTTGAATCAGACCACCTTGTTTCAGGATGATTTGATCGATTGCTTGATTTCTTCGTGTAAACACTAAGTGGGTATCTTATAATAGACATCATGATGGCCGAGACGTAAATCGGCCTGACAGCCGATGTTCTCTGGACTGAGGGATGACGTACACTGGCAAAATATTGTCCAGGTAGCATGCCAGCAGGTTTCATATCGAACCAGCGCAGGGCTCGACGGGCTTGATGGTGTTCCGGTCCCCAAAGGAGCTCGCATCTTTGAACGCTTCGAGCCATGTGGCTCCAAACTTCAGAAGATCAGGGTATGACAAGACCTTGAGATACGCCCTGGAGCTGGGGAGCGGGATGCGCTACCAAGAATCTCTGTCTTGGGGCTGATGCCAACTGACAACCGGCATCGGAGTATTTTGTTTGTCAATAGTCTTCGACAAGGATCTCGACAAGAGGCTGTTTAGTCGTTCTCTTCGCCACTCTCCTCGTCGCTGACCTCAATGTTCGCGATCGAATCATCGTCGTCACTTTCGAAGCCCTCGAACTCTTCGTTATCGGATCCGGAAGCCTTTTCCTCCGACTCCTCCTTGGAGTCATCTGGCTTTTCAGAGGTTGTTTCGTCAAGCTTGCGCTTCCGACTCATTTCTCCGAGCCGACCAGCACGGCCTTCAATCTGCTCGTCCTCCCCACCAGCATTGTGAGGCGGAGGAGTGAACCAGGGGATCTTGCCTCGCAGGAAATCGTTGATGACCATCTTGGCGACACCATCGAGGTCAGGTTCTCCTCCACGAAGCAAGCGACCACCCTTGCGTGCAAGGATACTGAGGAATTCGATAGGGTCTTCCACATTCTTGATGCCGTAGGTACGCTCCAAATGCTTCGGCTGCACCCGCTTGAGAACGGCAGGGATGTACTGCTCGGGATTCTCTACGTTCTCCACTCGGACCACACCTCGGAGAAGGATATCTTCCGGAGTAGCGTTCGAGCTGGCCGGAACCACACCCGGACAATCGATGAGGTAGATTCGCTTCATCAAAGTAACGTACTGCCACACCTTGGTCTCCCCGGGAATAGGGGCCACGGTACACACCTTTTTCTTCCGTAAGGTGTTGATGACAGAGGACTTGCCAGTGTTTGGGTATCCAATCAAACCAACAGAGATCTGTTTGCGGTCCGAGTGCAGAGAGGAGAACTGCCTCAAAAGCTGGATCAAAGAGCCTTTACCAAAGGAATTGGTGATAGAGGCGTGGAAAGCCAGAGTAGGATAGTCTTTCGACAATTGTCGTACCCAAGCAGCCTGGTGTCACGTTAGCAGACGAACACCAAGAATATTGCAATTCAAGCAACATAGCAAAGCAAAAAACAAAGATTAAACGAAACACATAGTACGAATGTGTGAAATGTTACTAAGAGAACTGCTATGGGCCACTCATCGAGCAGAAGCAGATCTCAACTCAAAAACAGAACACAGCTTGACCCTTACGACAGGCTTTCAAAACGAAAACCAGTCAGCCTAGCTTCAGAAAGAAGTTCGGCGCGGATCCGCGTCAATCTGCCAGAGCTGTAACAGACATACTCCCAAGGTAGAAAAACACGACACAAAGTCGCAGGGAGAAGCCTTGACTTAGCAATGGCATAGGGCCGGAACCCTCTTGATTCGGGGATACAGCAAGGGATAGATAATAACAGAGCAGAATGAGCAAGAGCAGACTTACCGCTACACCAGTGGGAACAAGATCACACTTGTTCAAAACGAAGACCAAGTGCTTGTGAGGAGCCTCTTCACGGATGTACTTCTCGATACTCCTGCAACGTGTGCCATCGGGATCACGTGCGTCGAGTAGATGGAGCACGACATCGGAAGAGTCAATGACCTTGTAAAGCTCGTTCCAGATACGCTTGCTCTGACCCTTGGAGAAAACAGACTCGACGGCGGTGGTTGCCAGGCCTGTGTTATCGTCCTTCGCAACATCATCGCCGTTGACAACCAAAGTACCATCTTCATGCGTAGCATGGTCTGTCTTCTCGACATAGGCATCGTGCATCTTGACGGTTTCACCAACCAAATCCTCCAGGGAGGCGACACCAAGCTTGACACGCTTTCTTTGAGCCTTAGGCCCAAATGTATCGCTAAAAGGAGAGTTCTCAATGGCCATCTTAGCCTCATGTTGCTTCAGGCCATTGGCGCCTTTATCATCTCTGATCAGGCTCATAGGAAGCTTGTTCGTCTTGAGCAGGACGGAATAGGGGTCGGAAGCACGCTCGGCGACAGCCTCGCGGAAAGACGACAGAGCTTCCTGAGAGATGACTCTCGTGTTCCCGAACCATTTACGGTTGGGCTCGATTCTAGCGACCGGGGCTTCTCGGGACTGGTAGGAAGCAGCCACAGTGATCTTTCCCTCAGCGTTACGTCGAGGCTTGCCATCTTTCAGCATGTTCAGATGCTTCACCTTCTTTGCATCTCTTTGTAATAAGTTAGTCCGCAGTTTGAGAAAGTAGAGGTTCGCGTGATAGTGTTGCCCACCTGTAAAAGTTTTCACCCTTCGTCCTGACATTTCCCATGCCATCTCCAGTCTTCCCCTGCCGCTCTCTGCGAGTGGCTTCCTTCTTTCCGGTACCCATGATGAAAACACTTCCCAAGAGTACTTCGAGGAATTTCGGAAAGAGTTCTCAAGGTAGTAGTGTCACAAAATGAGAGTTGGCGGAGCGCAAGAAGGAAAGAAGAAAGAAGAGAGAGGAAAAAAGTTTCTAGCGCGGGAAATTATTTTTTTTTCTGTCACTGGCGCGCGCCAAGCTAAGCGGTGCACGGACCAAGGGCAGGAAATTCGTTTCGCTCTGTCCGACTTCCGCAGCAGGACCGCGCTTGCCAGCCAGCAGCCCTTTCAGGATCGGATCTCTGTTCTTGTTGTTGGTTGATTGAGGTGGGCCAGTCAATTGACACTATTCAACCTCATCCTCCGATATTTTCTGTCTCGATTGAGTCCATTATTTTTCCACCATTCCTTGAGAAAATATCCTTTCATCATGGCCCTTTTTCGCACTTGCAGAACTGCCACCGTGCAGCTCCGCGGCTTCTCTTCATCTTCCTCTCTGCGAGTCGGACCCGAGTCTCCCAACTTCATCGATGTTCCTCGAAGCCTTCAGCCCGATCTCCCCTCCAAGCGCATCATCAAGGGTACCCTTCCAGTGCCCCGTGAAATCTTCCCTGCTCGCCGCACGGACAAGCCGACCCAGGCGTACATCTCCGCCGCCACGCCGCGTCCGAAGAAAGGCAAAAGCCCGAACCCAAACGATATAAACTACGAATACATCGAGCAGAAGAAGCGGATGGCTAATATGCGGCGAAAGAATCTCCGGGAGGGTCTCCTGGAGTTGCACGCCCGCAAGCAGGCCACTGATACCGCCATGAAGTTGCGAAGTGAGCAGAAGCAGCTTTACCGGGAAAAGATCCTGCAGCAACCTGATAGAGAGGACGTGCGACTGACCCGGACGTCGATCGTTCAAGAAATGCTACCCCAGCACATGCCAGTGCTGCCGGATCCTGACCGTGAAACTCGTCTTAGGAAGGCTCGGTCTCGCACTCAACGGAAACTAGCCAACAAGGTGGCGGAGCGTCGACACGACATGCACGACCTCTATGTGAACGCGCGGAATTTTATCGTTAATGAGGAGCAGCTTGCGGCCGAGATTGAAAAAGTCTTCCCTGAGGGCGTGAACGAGGCCTGGCGCAGTGACCACCAGGAGGGTGTGAACATCTGGAACCTGGGTTTCCCGCAGGGTATCTCCAGCCTTGCCAGCGATTCGCGGAAGACCGAGAGTGCTCGTTGGGACACCATCCAGAGCAGAATCAGGAGGCTTGCAGAGGAGATCACCGGAGGCAAGATGTGAAGGACTGTGCTCATTGGGGAGAGATGTACATTATGTGTGATTTGATACAGTTTGATGTTTACTTGTCTTGTTATTAAACAATATCACTTGGGTTCGTGTTAGCTTTACCTTTTCTATACCTAGATCAATCATATTCCAATGTGAAGACCGTTATTTATACACTTCAATAAGCACCCAAGTCCCGCCAAAAACGCCATCGCTATGCAATATATACACCAGCGCAGGTAGAGGGGCTTCTCTACCTGAAAATACATAACAGCAAGAGGAACCGCAGGTGGCGCTGCTCAACAGCCTCGACAGGCTGTGAGTAACATCAGCTAGCTGGCATCTGGAGTGCCTGCACTGGAGACTGCCGCCAAAGCAGAGCCTTGAGTAGCGACAGGCCTTGATGACCTTAGAGAGTCTCCATCGTCGCGTCTAGTCACCTCCTCATCGACGAAGCAACCTAACCCAGCAAATGCTTCCATCAGTGTGCGAGAGTAATACTCCTGCAGATCGTACCCGCCTGCCTGCATACGAGTATCCTGTCGGATCGGGTCTAGATAACTTGACGGGTAGAAGTCGCGCAGAGTGTAGTAGTCTCGCTTGTTGGGAACCATGCCACCAAATGGGTCATAGGGCTTCTCGGGCTCCGGTGTCACGATCTTCTTGAGACCCTTGATCAAGCCCGAGTCGCCGGCGGCATCGGCCTTATCAGCTGTGTTCCCTGTCTGGCCAGCTTTCCTGGCATCCGAGTTGCGCAAAGCGGCCTGTTTCTGTCGGATTCGATCCTCTTCACTGCGCCGAGCAGATGATTTCTTGAGTAACACCTTCTTGCCTTCGCGGGCAATAGCCGCAGCGTCGCCGGGTCGCCCCGCTGCGAGTCGACTTAGGACATCCTCCCGAGAGGCTTGCAGCTCTCTCCGTTCGTTCTCGTATTCTTGTTTGGCTGCTTCTCGGCGAAGGCGTGCCAATTCCTGCTCATGTGTCTGCTGCTCCTTGAAGGACGACGCTTCTTGCACTTCGAGGGCTTGGTTGGCGCGGATAGAGCGCACATTCTCCGAAGCATACCTCTGCAAGTCGTTTTCCGTCTTGGCCACATCCGTACCGTGCACGAGGTTTGCGATAATCTCCTCGCGTTGTTCAAGGAAGTCGTCCCAGGCCCGTTTGGAGTCGAATTCTTCTTCACGGCGGTTGAGACTGCGGACAACATCAGTATCCCGTGGAAACCGCAGGTAATCGATCGACGACATACATCTGCATCACCCTACGCCGTATGTCCACCTCTCGTTCCACGTTGATATCCTCGAACGTCTGCTTTCGGAACCTAGCCTTTCGCAACGTCTTGTGGCAACCCGCGACGGGGCAGTTCGCCGGGCCTGACGAGAATATCCGATCCACACACGACTCACACATTTTGTGATAACATTCTGGGTTGATGAGAAACTGCATGTCCGGGTTCAGGTACCGTGAGGATTTGCAGACAGGGCACACCTCTAAAGGAAGCTTGTTAGCACTGCTGAGATACCCATACGGAGCCAAAATGCTTACCGTCGTCATCCCCGCGATTAGCCATAGCATCCCGAACAGGAGGCATAGTGAATAGCTCGCAGATCCGATCAAGATCAGACAGAGCGGAGGAACAGTTGAACACCGCAGGTATCGCGGGCGATGAGGCCTGAATGACGGGTGATTAATCCAACTGCGCGCACGAACCAATCAGGCATTCCGCCCATTGTTCCGCGGCGGAACTTTTTTTCTTTGCCGCCGCCTCCGTTCCTTTTTCCCTCTCCGGTCTTTAGACCTTCATGAACACACACATTTTCCTATTCGGTTGAACCTTACATCGCCTTGTCTCGCAGGCCTTAACCGTCATTTCCTGTACATTTCTTCTAGGCTTAAGCATAGATGACTACAACTATGGGCGTTCCCGATAGCAAGTTACACGAGCTCGAGCGCCAGCGGCTCGAACTTGAAGGCAACATCTTGAAACTCCAGGACTCCCTCTACCACTGGCGGACATGGGAGGCAGAGTACGATGGCCTCAAGGAGGAAATAAATGACTTAGCCGAAGATGCAAACACCGACGACTTCCTCCGTGCAAGCCGCAGCCTTGGCGGATCATTTGTCAATGAGGATGAACTGAAAGTCATAATGGGCGAGAAAGAAGGCGTGACGCGCACCAAAGGACAAGTGATCAGCCTGATCACCCGACGCATCGACTATGTGAAACAGAATGTTGAGACTATGGAGAAGAGACTACGCGCCGCCGAAAACGAACTCTATGCGTTGGACACCCAGGAGCAACTACCGAGCGAAGCCACGGCCGAGTTCCCGATGACTGAGATTTTCGAAGAACTTGACGAGAACGGCGATGTTATCTCGAGTCGAACAAATACCCCTGGCAGCCAAGCACCCGAGTTGTTGAATGTCTTACAGAAGGCTGGTGTAAAGGATATACCGGACATTGCGAATGTGGTTACGGCGCTGGAGAACTCATCGCAACCAGTTGTACCTCCTACGGAAACATCTGCAACGGATGAAACCCCCACTGCAGTCGAGGTGGAGGAGGTAAACCCTCCGACTACCAAAGCGGAGGAAGAGCCAGAAACGACTACTCTTAAGAACGACCACAAGCCTCCCGCCATGGATGCAGCCGGACTTCTGGAGTATCAGCGTCTTGCGGCTTGTATCGAAGAATCGCCAGAGGATTCCCAGTTACGGCGCGAAATGTTACAGTATAGCTTAAACGAAGTTGGAGCGGTTGTGGCCGAGCTGGAACTCGATGAGGATGCAAGCGACGTATCCGTCGACGGAGACTACGATGACTACCCATACGACGACGAAGACGAAGAGGAGGACGAATATGGAAGAACCAAGGGACGTGTTCTCGATGAGGACTATCACCGCGAAATGCGCGAGTTGGAGGCCAAGTTAAACGCGCGAGGACTCTGGAACATCGGCAAGAATACTGACTCTCTTCCAACCGATGTGAGGGCAGAGCTGGAGCAGCCTAGTGTGGTCCGCGTTGAGAAGACTGCCGAGCCCGGCAATGAATCGGTATCCGAGAAAAAGCCGAAGAAGAAGGTCGCCTTCGCTGACGACCTTGACATTGCGCCGGCTTCCAAACCTCCCACCCAGGGGAAGAAAGCTGTTCCAGTTCGCGAGTCGAGTGTACCTGTTCTTGCAGACTCTGTCGTCGAACGCACAGAGCCTGTTGTAAAGGAGCCAGTAGCAAAAGATGCACCGAAGAAAGTCTCTCGGTTCAGGACCGCTCGGAAAACGGAGGACAGTACAGTCAAACCAGCCACTGCGTCAGAGACTTCAACTTCCGGCCCTTCCCGGCCCGTCGAACTTCGCTCTTCTCTGCGCAAGACTGCCACCCCCTCTCCCGCGCCATCCTCGCTGCCTCTCTTTCCTGCAAGGCCAGCGGAGCCCAAACCTTTCTCCCAGCCAATCTCAGATATCGTTGAGAATGACCCCGCACCCAGAGGTCCAGAAGGCAAAATCCTGGCAGACACACTCGTTGAACGTGATGTTTCTCAAACTTCAGCTGTGGCACCGGAACCAGACGAGCTTGATGAACAGCTGCACCGGAAGGAGATCGCTACTGAGTTCTACCAGATCCGGAACCGCATGATCAAGGAGACGGGCGGATTTGTTGACGAAGAGCCCGAAATCGTCCCTCTGGAGACAGAAGAGGCTCCCAGACGCGTGAGTAAGTTCAAAGCCGCGCGCATGAGGTAATGGGTCTAGGGACCTCGAATGCAACCAGATACCCACTATATACAACACATGGACACCGGAAATATAGCCAATTCATGTCAATATTGTACCGCACATCAGAAATGCCTCTGCAACGCGTAGTCACCGGACTTCAGCCTTCTCACTGAACATACTATAACCCGTGGTATGCTCACAGTGCTGAACATCCAAGATCAAGGAACAAGGGCTCTCTGACTGCATTTCCGTTACTGGATGTATTGGACTTCAACGAGTACTTACAGACAGTGAAAGATGGTTTTACGGTTACGTTTCACCCTCAACATGCCATCTATCATCTCATACCCAGGTTTGCGAGGTGCCATCTACGTAGAAAATGCTACTTCATCTGCAGCATCAGCGCGGGTCATGATTCAACACCATGAAACTTTCCTGGACGAACGTAGGAAGAGGGTTCAGACGATGTTTATTGCCCGGTCTGAGTTTGCGGATGAAAGACACACATTCGTTTTCTTGGAAGAAGATCTCAAGCAAACACATATGGTTTGCCTGTGAAAATCTTTCCAATCCAGCAATAGATTTCCGAATCGGCAACCACAACCTTATGAACAAAATCTGTTACCAGCGAAGGAGAACAAAATTATTCTGCATTCAATGCGGATAAACGCTTACGTACCACTTCCAGCAGTCTAGTTTCCTACGAGTGCTGCGGGAAAATCGGAGCGATTGGCAGCTGAAGGACGTGGCAGTGATCTGCAACTGACATCGACGTCAGTACCCATTATGGTTTTTCCATGGGCCTGAGGCCACCCCGCCTATTGTTCCGTCCAATCGAGAAAAGGACTGATACTCCATTGTCTTTCATGGCAGGTACGGCCAATTGCCAATACATGTTGATCAGCACGAGACAACTTGCTTCTGGCAAGCCTGGAGCCCTTGGCAATTGGACCAAGGTGAGACAAGTCGGCTTGTTGACAGTACAGGCATATTATTCAATATATTTCTCCCCCAATTCTGCATATGAGACAAAAGCGGAAGTTTAGAGTATGGCCAGACCTCCTTCTCCAGTACCTGCATTTGACAGCTTTTGCATGAGGGGAAGAACTGTCAGGGTTCTGTTTGCCCACGGTCCACTGGGAGGAGGAAATCGGCCGATTAATGATGGATGCCCATGTACTTAGTACCATCTGATGTACCGTCTTAATGCAGCCGGCTTTCTCTGAGTCCGAAAATGTGGATCGGTCGAGTTGCCTGGCGAGGGTTGGTGGGAGGTTGAAGGGAGCTTCACTGTTTCGTCCGGCTTTCGAATGTCCTGAGTAGTTAGTGGGTCCAGTCTCAGTCATTCCAGGGCTAGAATGATCGGGAACCCAGCCTAGAAGAGCTTCTAGCAGGGATTCCTGGGAAAATGACCCATTTCCCTCGATAGCTGCGTGGGGTGATTTGTGAGATGGAGAGGGGGGAGTGGTCGGGAGGACTGCAAAAGCATACGTAACCATCGCTGTGCGGGGGCTGAATTCTATTGATTGCTACTGTAGGTTCACCTGGGGATTTTTCTTATAAAAACAAATCAATAAGTGAAACCTGACTGCTAGAAGTGTAAAAGACTTCTTGGGCTATCCAATTGGATTGCATGGGCTGCCAATTCCGTGTGTAGGTTCAAGGTTAGGTGTCTCGATTCCCGAGCGGGGGCAGGAACCATACTTACTTGCACTATAGGCTAGATGGAGCATGTGAGAATTCTGTTACGTCTGGCAATCTATTTTGGTGGAAAATACTTTCATATACAAGTAGAAGATGAGATGGGTAATGGCCTACAACTTACTGCAGGACCATGAAAAATAGGTACTTAGATGGAGAGTTCGAGCTATAAAACCCAACGTTAAGAATTAAGGCAGCGCTTATGGAGCTCAATCGCGCAGGGCTGGCTGTATGGCCTGTGCACTTGAGAAATTAATGCTCTTCTGCTTTATGCATGCGGCCTATAATCTGCGTCGGCTCTAGTGAAAGAAAACAGCTTTACTTGACAAGTGCTTTCACTTGCCCGCACTGGGTGTCAACCTGATTCGGTTTGTATAATGACCCAATGCCGTAGTCTCATCGGTTGACCCTGTAAAGCACACACAGACACGTTGCTCACCCACAACTTGAATGACGTGGCCAGTCCGATCGACAGAGCAATTTCTTGAAAGGTTGAGAGGGGAATGGGATCCCAAGGGCGGCTGGATTCTTAGCGATCGTATCGGGAGCGATAATCATTAGACGGAGCAATTGAGAGAATAATAATAATAGTACCGGTGGTAATGATGATGATGATGAATGCCGTGCACATCTCCATCAAAAAAGAAGCAATGCTGTTGGCTGCGGGTTTCGTCATGGTCCACCGAACATGGCGGGGAAATGATTGATCCATGACTACTGTGGCTGTGACTGGCTGCGTCCCCTTTCGCACCCCTTTTCAAAGAAGTGGGCTTCCCGCTCGCAAGTCCCGGTGTCTCCGTCACTTGGCTTTCCTGTTTGTTTCAGATGAAACAAACTCAACTCCTCTCCTCCCCGATCCATTCCATCTATTCCATCCATTCCATCCATCCACTTCATCCACATCACTTCCCTCCCTCCAATTTCGGAATTCTGATACTTCAAATCATATTCGATTATTCCATAATGACATGCAGTTCCTTTCAATTCCCGCAGTCAATTCATTGACTATGCGATACTATTTTGTGCCGCTGACGGAAACTCCTCCTGTCCAGCCGAATTGCTGAGTAACGCATCTAGGCAGCCCACCCTTTCTCTCAACTCCACACCCCATTTGGTGGAAGAAGGCATCTCAAACGCCGCCCTTATACGGAAGGAATGACGCAAGGTACCTCTTTGGAGATGAAGCATTCGACATTCCCGTTATTCACTTACCACATGGCTTTCTTCGAGGGCCCCAGTTCTGCCACTTCCGGCAGGCTTGTTCATGCGCCTATTGTACCTTGTGCCTGCAGTGTATGCGTACACATTTTGCACGATATGCATTGTGATTGGGGCTTGTCAGTTCCCACCCGGGTGGATGAATATGAATAGAAGCAACGGGTTCCTGGGAACCCCAACGTCCGGTTCCTTGTCTGAGGCAAGTATGAAACCCGCTATGGGTCGCTGAATGGCGGACAGAACCGTGGATGGTATGTTGTATTGCCACCAGACCGCAATCAAACGGGAAGTCATTGACCAGGTCAGGGTATCTGGCCGATCCAAAGGCACTACTCGATGGGGCTGGCTCCACCGAAGGAAAGATGCCCTGAAAGGTCTCGGCCACTGATATGACTTGCCATTCTACTCTACTGTCTCCTCCCAGGACAAGAACCACTCGCAGCTACCTACCTCCACAATGCTCAAAAAACCTTATGACGTCCATTATAGTGCTCTTACCGACCTAGGGAGTGTCCAGGCCCCAGTCTGTCGACCAACCAACCCGCTGCCTGTCTATTCACTCATCGGCCATGTCTGGCTGGGTCCATGGTGGCCCTTTGTTGGCCCCATGGTCCCTTCGACCGCGCAGATGTAGCGCAAATGGCCGCAGTATGTTTCTATTTATCCGATCTACATGTGGAGGTACTCGATCGTACTTTCTGGGACCTGTTTGTTGTGTTTGGGCGGACTCCATGACGTGCCTGATTGTACCCACTACGTCTTATAAAGATTGCACATGCCCTGGATGTCAGTTTTAAGTTCCTGTCACTACAATTTTCCCATACTGGAAGCCGCCCAGTTCATTCTTTATCCTAGCTGCTGCCTCAAGCTCGCTAGTGCCAAGGATGAAGCATTTCTCGACTCTCGCAGCTTTCGCTGCCGGAGCAAATGGTCTCGTTAGCCGCGCAGACTCGTGCTGCTTTCACCTGACTGCTTCCGGCGCCGCATCTGGCACTGTGGGCCAGCTTGGTGATGGTCAGAACCGCCTCGGTGGTGGTCTACCTGCAAGCTCGTTCTGTATCGATTCGAACGGTGCCATCACCGATAGCAGTGGACGTGGATGTATCGTGACAAGTAAGCCTTCCTTGTGAGCTTGAATACCGCTAGGAGACGAAAGCATGCTAACCAGTCGTACGTTGACAGGCTCTGTCACCCAGTTCCAGTGTGATTTGGGGTCCAAACCTCAGTCTGGCTTCTCTATCTCGTCCGGTGGTCAGCTGCAATACCAGGGCAGCTCTAATTTTGTTGCATGCCAAACGGGTGACAATGGCGAGTTGAACATTTATACCACCCAGAGCTCCGCGGTGACTGGATGCTCAAGCATCACATTAGCCGCCGATTCTTGCTCAGGCTCTGGTTCTGGCACTGGCACTGGTGGTGGTACTGGTGCTGGCGCTAGTGCTGGCGCGTCTGGCTCAGTCCCGGCAGTTTCCTCAGTCCAGGTGCCCCAGCCCGGCGCACCTGGCTCAGTTCTTCCCGGTCAATCTTCTTACATCCCCGGCGGTCCTGTCTCAAGTGCTCCCGTGCCAGGTTCGGTTCCGGGTCAATCTTCCAATGTCCCCGGCGGTCCTATCTCCAGCGCACCTGTGCCCGGCGCTGGTTGTGCCTCAGCTCAGACAGTCACCATCACGACCACCGTGATTCAAGCCAATTGCGGCACAGGGACACCTGGTGTTCCGGTACCTCTTCCGATGCCTGGATCTAGCAGTCCAGGTGTTCCTCAAGGCACCCAACCTGCCGGAACTCAACCTGCTGGTACTCAACCCGGTCAACCAGGTGTAACTCAACCCGCCGGTACTCAGCCCGCTGAAACGCAGCCCGCAGGAACCCAACCAGCTGGAACACAGCCTGGTCAGCCAGGTGGCATTCCGCCTGTCGGAACGCAGCCCGTCGGTACTCAGCCTGCTGGAACGCAGCCCGCAGGCACTCAACCTGCAGGCACTCAGCCTGGTCAGCCAGGTGGCATTCCGCCTGTCGGAACGCAGTCCGTTGGTACTCAGCCCGCTGGAACGCAACCCGCTGGAACGCAACCCGCTGGAACGCAACCCGCTGGAACGCAACCCGCTGGAACGCAACCTGCTGGTACTCAACCGGCTGGCACTCAACCGGCTGGCACTCAACCGGTTGGAACGCAGCCCACAGGAACTCAACCGGCTGGCACTCAACCCGCTGGAACGCAGCCCGCAGGAACTCAACCAGCTGATACTCAGCCCGCTGGCACACAGCCCGCCGGCACACAACCCGCAGGGACTCAACCTGCAGGGACTCAACCTGGTCAGCCAGGTGGCATTCCGCCTGTCGGAACGCAGTCCGTTGGTACTCAGCCCGCTGGAACGCAACCCGCTGGTACTCAACCGGCTGGCACTCAACCCGCTGGAACGCAGCCCGCAGGAACTCAACCGGCTGGCACTCAGTCCGCCGGCACCCAGCCTGCAGGCACTCAACCCGCTGGAACGCAGCCCGGTGGCACAAGGCCTGCTGGAACCCAACCCCCTGCTACTGCTACTACACCTGCAGGTACACTTCCCGCAGGTACGCAACCCGGTGGTAACCAGCCTGCCGGCACCCAGCCCGCCGGTACTCAACCTGCCGGAACTCAACCTGCCGGAACTCAGCCTGCTGGCACCCAACCTGGTCAGCCAGGCGTAACCCAACCTGCGGGAACTCAACCTGCTCCCTCGGGTACTCCATCCGCTTCCAAGGGAACTGGAGCCGCCAGCAGCACTCAGCCAGCAGCCTCTGCTACTCGGTCAGGCGCAGCCAGCTGTCCAACTGACTTGTCGGGCGATTATGAGTACCCTCATCTGATTGTTCCTGTTAACTCTACCACCCCCGATACCGCCTACGGCTCCCAGCTCTTCGGTACTGTTTCGTCCACCGTCTCGACCATTTATAACTTTGATATTCCGTCCTCCGACTCTGGCAAAACTTGTAGCCTTGTCTTCCTGTTCCCGAATAAGGAAGACCTCGAGACCTCTGACTACACCTTCAGCGGTGATGGCAAGGTTGACTTCACACAGCTGTCCTCTGCTGCTAACCTGAAGACCACCTACAACAACGCTCCGTCGGTCAAACAGGACTATGGCGAGTTCACCCTTTCACCGGGCAACTCCTACCTGGTTGCCTCTTTCTCGTGCCCAGCTGGCCAAGCCGTGGCGTACGAAATGAAGGCAACTGGTAATACCTACCTCAACTTTTTCGAGGACTACAATCCATCTCCGTGAGTAAATCCTGATTGCCGCCCACAGAAAGACCTTCAGCTAACCGGAACTTATAGTCTTGGCCTTTTTATCACCGTTTGCTAAACGCATTTCCCGTGACCGGTGGCACGCGAACATGAATCATGGGCCCATTATTTCCTGTTTCTACTTTATATTGAATATTCCCTTCTAGTCTTGGCGAGATAATATTTTTGGCCCTTGAGCTCTGGACCCATCAGAGCTCAGACTGAGAGTAAGACGGTTAAAAGAGCTCTCTGGTTGAGTGGCTACTCTTGTTGTCGATTGAAGTAATCTCTTGAGTGGTAGTGTACTATAATCCTATAATGGAATGTTCTTTGGGTCTTTCGTTCTTGAGAATTGATGGATCTGCTGTGTCATTCTGGGCTTGTCACTCAGTTGCAGTGGTCACCGAGTGGAGACTTGCAGGAAGAATACGGTACCTAAGACTTTAGGCAGCATCATTTCGGGGTTGGCATTTTTGACATGGGTTTCCCGCCGGAGACGAAGCACTAGTCTAGGTATAGGTAGTGGTTGTCGCCCGATTCTCACTCGGACGGTTACAATTCCTCAGTAGTAAAGAAGGATGGAGTTGTTTTGAACAGCCCTATGGCGTGGGAAGTGCAGAAGTGGCTGAGCGGCTGGGCTTGTCAGACATTGCGGGGGTGGAGGCTGTTAGTTCCATTGGCCGCGTCTCGCCCGGGCGGTCAAACCACTTCTCGGGCCATCTTCACCCCCGACTATTTATACCCGGGGCCCGTAAAGTTGATACTGTACCAAGGCTTCATTCACGCTGATCGTGCGGCAATGCCAACCATTTAAGTTCGCGCCCCCGCGGGCCTGCAAAAACGTTGTTCAGACTTCCTGACCTCTTTCTTTTTTCTTCTGTCAAAATACCCCCTCTCTTTGTCAATCGACGATTTTGGACAGCATCTGGGTTTTCCATTCTTTCATTTGCCTGTTCCTTCCTCTTCCTTTGTCGACTGGTTTCGAATCGCGGCAACCTAAACCCATTCCCCTCACGTGCTCGGTTTCCCTACCCAGCGGCCAGCTTGTTAGATGATCGGATATCAAACGTGATCTCAACAACATACACTCGCTGGACAGAGCTTTGATCTTGTCATCATTTTCATCATTTTGGTTTTTGTAGTATTGTGCTTGGTGGTAAAGTCATTAGGATGGACCGCCTTCCGAACAAGCTGCTTTTCTCTAAGCAGCGCCTGAGGCCACGGGTCGTGCTTTCGTGGGTCTACGCTGCTTATCTGAGATAATCGAAAAGTCACTAACTGCTGCCCTCTGGTACAGATATATCGCTGACTACCTTATTCTCGTGTTCGTCCACGTCGTGAAATGATTACCAGGGAGCCATGCTAACATGACATCGCACTAGCGCCTGTATCGCAGGGTTCTATGCTCTCGACTCCATTGAACCCTACCACCAACACTTCTCGCTGCGAAATATTTCCATCCAGTATCCTTATGCTGTTCACGAGCGCATCACGATACAGGAAGCTCTTTGTATCTCCGGAGTAGCGCCCTTGGTCATCATCGTCATCTATACCCTCTTCATCGATGGGCTCTTCTCTCACAACAAACCGCAGGATCCGGTATCCGGAAAACGGAAATTGTCGGGCCCGTATCGGTGGAAGGACCGATTATGGGAGCTCAATTGTGGTATTTTGGGACTTTTGCTCTCTCAGGGCCTGACGTTCGTCATTACGCAAGCATTGAAGAACGCCTGCGGCAAGCCTCGACCCGATTTCATTGATCGATGCCAGCCTCGCGCCGGAAGCCAGGATGCCATACCGGGCTTGTCTAACTCTACTATCTGTACTGGTGAGCATGCGCTAATCAAAGACGGGTTCCGTTCATGGCCATCAGGTTCGACAGCACCTCCACCACTTCAGACACTGATCTTATGCTGACTTACAATTATAGGCCACAGTAGCTGTAAGGATGTCCCTATGCTGCCCCCCATGATGAAATTGATACCTGACACTATTTATCGTAACAGCGTCCTTTGCCGGATTGTTCTATCTGACGCTCTGGATGAGCGGCAAGCTGCACATCATGGACAACAAAGGGGAGGTCTGGAAAGCACTATTGGTTATGACCCCCAGCCTTGGAGCTACCCTTGTTGCGGTGAGTCGGATCATGGATGCGAGACATCACCCTTTCGACGTCATCACGGGATCGCTTCTTGGAATCATTTGTGCCGTCATTTCGTATCACCAGTATTTCCCGCCTCTCTCGCAACCGTGGAAGAAGGGGCGTGCACACCCCATCCGGAGCTGGGGCACGGAACCGCTACCTCCATCCAACCCATTGAACCAGATGAGGTTTGAAGACAGCACTGTAGCGCTTCGTCACCCGACCGAAGACAGTCAATCGAAGGCCCTGGTCGATGAACACAACGGCGCGACGTATCTCCCAGCGTCCAATCCCTACGCAACGAACAGGTACACTCGTCGATCACAGGACGAAGATGGGAATTGGTCCTCGTCCAGCGAAGACGTTCACGCGGACGGTTATGAGATGCAGTCCGGGTACACTCGAGCACGGAATCCAGGGCTGGGCGGATCTCTCCCACAATACGAGGTTGACACGACGTATGGCTCGCAACGGCCACCCGAGGCCACAGCTCTGCATGCACCTACGCGAGTGATGACCGCTCAACTCGATCGTGGCCGGGATCTGACTGAGATGCATGCGCGGGAAGTATGAGACCGCAGGCGGGTTACTCCGGTCGCATCTACATGAGGGGAGTGTGTTCAATTTGTTGCCATTTCTAGAACATATACCAGTTCACTTGCATGTAAAATCTTGGGCTATGACTGTGATGATTATCTTTGATTATTTTTCTTTTTTTTCTCGGATGGGTGGGGGGCACTGTGACGAGTGGTGGTGACATGCCAATGTATTGACCAGGCGGGAAAAGAGCAATTTCGGGGTATCTTTCATCAGCAAACGAACCGGTCAATAAACGGCAGGCTGTCTTGAAGGTTTGATGGAGTGGATTGGCGATGAAACCGCAGGCGGGATCATAGTTTTGGCAGGGTGTACTGTACTGTACATACAACGTGTACAATATGTTCACTATGTTGACGCTTGGTGTTCCTGATGATCAACTTGGAACCATGACTGGCTGGCTCTAGACTTTCCCTCCAGGCTTTTTCTCCTTCAATTTCCCTCGTGGAGGCCCCACCAAACCGACCGACCGCCCGCTGATTATCATCCGTGACCCCGGCAATAAACAACACTAAAGTAAAGTAAGCGTAAACAATGCCATGCTCGCGGACAAACAGAAAAGTATGCTTCTTTCCACAATGTACTCCGTATTGCTGATTGGAAGAGTCACCCTTCAATGCCATCATAGTCAGGCTGTGGAACTCCACTCGGGAGAACGGTGAGACGCAGCGAGCCGCCCGGGTGTGGGAGAAAAGGTTGCACGATTCATGATGGGATTTTATCCTCCCAGCCACCCCGCAGTGTGAGTCGCCCAGCCTCCTCTTGACCCTCTTGACTTGCATATCCTCCCTCTCTTCGGCCCATTGTTTTCTTTTCTTCCGCAGTCTTCCTCCTGCTGAGTTCTCTGTCTGTCTTGGATGCATCATCTGTATGTACCCTTGCTTCCCTCTCCTCTCGGTGTGGGTTCTCTCTCGTGCTTTTGAGTCGGGCTACATCTAGATCGGCACCTAACCGATTCTTCACTCTCCCTTGCCATTTACCTACCCTGCACTAGACGTTGTCCGGCGCAACGTCAGAGCCTGGTCGCGCCTTGTTCCGGCTTCGGTCTCGTTTCCATTCCTATCGTCCCCTTCCATCGCACTCTCAGCCGGCATCTCGTTATCAATCTTCGTTGTTTGTATGATGACGTTGTAGCTGTCCACCAGTCCAATCCATCTGACAATTCAGCCATCGTGAACATTGATAGACCTGCGCTTGCAACCATACCAACAGCTGTCCAACCAAACTCAGTCGCATTGTGCGAATAGCAGGCAAGATGATTGGTAGTCTCTTCTTCATCCTCAATCGGCTCCTAGAGCTTATTCTGTTGATTCCGATCATCGGAATGATGGTAGGCACATTCCACATCCAGAACCTTATTCTAAGCATTGCAACTGACATCCACTGCTAGGCCTATTTTGTCAACGGCTATCTTAATGCAAACATGATCACCCCGGCCTACATCTTGGTCATCTTCATCGTCAGCGTCATTGCCGCATTCTGGTGTATTGATACCATGATTCGCATCTCGACCACCCGGCGTTCGGCATTGTTCGTCGCCTTCGTGGATCTCCTCTTCTTCGGCGCCTTTATCGCCGGGGTCTACGAGCTGCGGTTCATCACCAATGCCGATTGTGCTCACTGGAATGGAGGCTCGGTGTACATTTCGCTTGGTCCCTTCGGGTACTACGGCTATAGCTCCGACAACCCGCTGTCGTTCCACATCAACAAAACCTGCGCGATGCTCAAGGCTTGCTTCGCACTGGGGATTATCGAGGTTGTTCTCTTCTTCTGGACGGCGATCCTGGCGGTGATGATCTACCGCCGGCCGGATGTGGTTGTCAAAGAGACGACAGTTCGTCGGCGGAGTCACAGCAGTCGACGCGGCCATCGGCGCCATAGCAGCTCGCGAAGCCGACACCAGTATGCGGTCTAGAACTACTGTTCTTTCCTTTATGACTTTATGGACTATGATGGGATGGAATCTGGTTAATGATTGATTGGAGGATTTACGATACACAAATGAAGTAAAAGGGACAAGCTCACGAAGATACTATGTTCACGCGTTGATGAGATATGAACCACTGTTTTTTTGTTCTTTTTACGCTGCTATTCGGGGGTCTTGTTTTTATTTGTTGGGGCATATATTTGATTATGCTTCTTTTATACGAGATATGACCTGATTTCTGCTCCATCGCAGCTGACCTGTACATGCTATTGATTGTGACTAATATTCTATTGTGTCGAATGGCTTCTTTGGGATGGTTTCCACCCACCGTACATTACGCTATAGTGCCGGATAAGCTTCGTGGCAAAGTATTAGGTTCCAATTTCTTTACAATAATCAATCCCCAAGAACATCGATCACGAGGCCTCCACTTTTGGCAAGACTACGGAGTAAGTCTGGGTGACGGCGGGAAAGCCATGACTGTACGTTCTCACTCTACACTTGTTCAATAGTGCCCTATTTCTAAGGTGAGCTAGCTCTGAATAGATACTACAACGGTACAGTGCCTGGTGAAATCAGTGGGGGTTGGTTCGAGGGCTTCCTTTATCCCAGTCCCGACCTCAGGAGCACGAGATGACCGAGCTGGTCGTCTTCGCAGGCACAAGACTCAACTGTGTACTTAGCCGAGACCAAGTTCAGGCTTGTGTACCACAAAATCCGTGGTCCAGGCCCAGAAGGTCAAGAAGAAATTGGAGTACAGCGCTTAAGTGGGTATCGAAATGCTCTTCGCCCCTTCTGTGCCGGCTTTTGCAACTACCTCACTCTCCGAATCGGATCTGAGTATGAGCCGCGGCTTGTTTACACCACTTAGAGAAGACATGAAGGATGGACATCCCAGGGGCTCGTTGCTTCACGCATCTTTTTCAAACAGTTGTACCAATATGAAGCAGATAAACGAGATGAAATCCCTGTTCCTCTAGTTCAACAACCACTCCGCCATCCACTTCTCCAGCCACTCGGCCTTCACCCCATCGACCGCACGCAACTTCTCACTCACCTCGGCCGTCCGTTCCGTCTCGAGAATGGTGGTGTCCTCAGACGTCGTCGCTAGCAATCCCTCGAAGAATCCCAGTAACCTGGCGGCCGGGTTCCGCTCTAGACGGACCTGCATGTCCTCCTCGCCAACCCCTTGCCCACGGTTTGTCGCGGTCTCCATGTCCTGCCGGACCAGCTGCACCCACTTGCGAAGCGGGACAGTCTCGATACTTTCCTTGTCGGTGGCGAGGGCCTTGGCGACGACGGGGCGGATCGCATTCCAAGGCTGGGCGTGGAGATTCACGGGGTGGAAGACTTGTACTCCTGCATTCTGGTTGTTCTCAGCCCCGCGAAGCGCCAGGTCGATGAGGATATCTGCCAGGAGGTCCACGGGCACCCAGTCGATGCGGTCGAGCGTGTCCCCCAGGGTATCGGGGAGGGCATGGAGGTGTCGGGCGCTGCGGACGAGGCAGGGGAACCATTCCGTCGGGTTCCAGCGGCCCGCGGCGCGGACGGCGCCGGCGACCTGGCCAATGCGGGCGAATGTGTAGTGCGGGGTTCTCTTGCCTTGTTGATGTGCTGCGTGCGCGAGGAGGTGCTCGGCGATGTACTTGCTGTTGGCGTAGCCGTTTGGGGCTGGCGTGGTGGTTTCGATGACGGTCTCTGGGATGGGGCTGGGTTGCTCGGTGCGGTGGCCGAAGATGGAGCTCACTGAGGAAAGGAGGAATAACTGTCGACACTGGACGCTGCGGGTGGTAAAGTTGAGGAGGTTGACGACGCCCTGCAGGTGGGGCTTGAAGGAGGCAAGTGGCAGGTTGAAGTTGACGGGCCAGGCGTTGTGGATAACCAGGGTGGCCGTCTGTTGCAGCTGAGTGAGAATCTCGTGTTGGAGGCCCAGATCGCTTCGGCTGAGGTCTGCACTGTGGAAGCTCACGTGCGATTCGTGCTCCGACAGCGCGGCCAGTCCGTACGCTGCGAGGCGTTCGCTTTGCTTGTCCTGAGCGCGGTCATTGCGGTTTAGACAGTGGATATGCTTGATTGAGGGGCTCTGAAGAAGGCTGGAAAGGATATAGGTTCCTAATTGGCCGGTGGAGCCGGTCAGGATCACGGTATGTGACGCAGGGGATGCAGTCACGCGAATAGCAGGATTTGGCTTCTCGATCTGAGCAGTGAGCTCCTGCAGGAGTTGCTCTCGTTCCTGGAGTAGGGCCTGCTGCTGCTGCTCCTTCGACCTTTCACCCTGATGATGCAGCTGCTGGACGGCCTGGGTAAGTGCTCTGACCGAGGGATGCAGGTAGATAAGATTAGGCGTCAAGGTAGGGAGGTTGAGACCCTGCTTGAGCACACGCGTCAAGGTGATCGCTTGCAGGGAATCCAAGCCCATCTCAAGCCAGTTCTTGTCATCCGACAGCTCTGCATTCCAGCCTGTGATGCTAAGAATAGAATCCCGGATATAGGCCGTGACCTGAACCGCATCATCCATGCTCCTGGGGCCAGCGATCTGGCCTCCATCCAGCTGTGTGAAGCGCTCAGCGTCATTATAGAGAGCATCAAGCTCCGCAGCGTAGAGTGCCAAGGTCCCCGCGCGCTGCACAGTACCCTTCCCAGCCCGCAGCATAGGCTTGTCTGGGGTAGTAAAGAGAATTTGACTCTTTGTAATACGAGCGTGAGCAGGGCACTCAGTATTGGCTTGCTGGATACTAGGCCAGATCTTCTCAATCCAAGCAGCGCGCTCACTCGTACTCAACGCTTTATCTACACCGCCCAGCTCCACCAGCAGCGAGGCTTGAAAGCGCTGTGTACCAGCGACCAGGGCCCCTGTTACAACCCCAGGATTGGAAGAGACAATGTATTGCTCCATCGAAACCGGGTTGGTCTTCTCGCCATTGAGGAAGACAATAACATCGTCCAGACGCGCGGATGGACGCCAAAGACCAGGCTTCGTAGGATGAGGTATCATCAGGTCATTGGTATGGTATTCCTGGCGGTCCGGGAAGATATGAAAGGGGAACTGATGGCCTTCACGTGCTGGAGTACGCACAACCACGGCCTCATACTCGCTGCCGGACACGTGTCGAAACTCCATACCCAGTTCCGGGTGGAAATGCAGGTAACGCCAGTCAGTCAACGGGTCCCAGGTACTCTTCTTGTGGATAACGTTTAGAATCCCCATCTCCGTTGCGCCATAGCCGTTCACAATCTTCAGTTTCCGCGCAACTGTGTCTCCAATTACCTGGGGGAGATCGCCACCGCAGTACATCATGTACTCCAGATGCTGGCTGATGTAGTCCAAGAGCTCTGGATTCTGGGCCAGTTCTTGTACAATTGAAGGCACGGCGATCGCCCAGTCAAACGGAGTCTGTTTCCTGGCTGCCACGAGACCGGCGGCGCTGGGTAGGCCGGCGGCGGTAGGTATAATAAGAGTACAGTCGACGGGCATCATAATAAAAAGGATGTGTCCCAGCCCTGCGGCATGAAAGGGTGGTAAGGAAAGATACACGCGCTTGCCAAAGCCCCATTGGTCTTGGCCCTCACAGCCCTCGGGGATTGCCAGTCGCTGCATGTGCATATGCTTTACCGCGCCCTCATGGGTCCAAATAATAGGCTTGGGGATCCCCGTCGACCCGGAAGTGTGCAAGATTGCGAGTCGATCATGGGCGGCCTCGGGGTATGTTTTGAGATAGGGAAATGGGGGATATTCCGTGGTGAGAAGTTCATTGGTGCTTGGGGCATCGACGACCCTGAGGATAGGGTGGGCCGCCTGTATGCCCGCAATAAATGGAGGATGCGGCGACGGCGCCAGCAACGTGGTGCATTCAAGCTTGGTGAAGAGCGACTGGTGAGCTACTGCACTGTTGCGCGGTGAAGTCAGGAATATCTGAATTTAAGTTCCAGTTTCTGTTAGCTTGGACACTACTGAAAAAAGAAATGAATAGATTCGCAGGACGGATCGGATTATCATACACAGTATCCGGCCTTGACTGCGCCCAACACCAACGCTGGATACCGCAGGTCATTCCCACCCAGATAGGCCAGGGTCTCTTTCCCATTCCCAGGGCCCAGCGTTTCGGTCAGCCACTTGGCAACGCCATTGATCGCATTGGCAAGGGCTTTGTAGGTGACCGGCCGGTACCCATCATCGTAGCTCATGGGGTTCACTGGGTATTCTGCATATATCGCCTCCGGCTTGACCTTAGCATAATGATCCACAATGTTGGGGACCAACTGGGTTCGCGGGTCAAAGTCAGTGGAGGGAGTCCAAGTAGTCATGGTGAGAGTGATGAATGACCGAAACGATAGAAGAAGTGAGGGTGTTAATGATTGATGGGTTCAAATCCCGCCGGGGGACGTGTGCTTCCATTTATGTATGAAGTCGAAGCAACCAAGCGATAACAGAGGGCAAATTACCCCGCACATTTCATTCACTCTGGAACATAGGAAAGAAGGAGCAAAAGGAAAAAAAGAGAAAAAAAAAAAGAAAGAAAGAAAGAAGAAGAGCAAAAACAAAACCCAAAACAGAAAAAGTACTAAAGGATTTCCCGCGCTTCGAAATGTCAGATTTTAGTGTATTGATCCTTCCGCCGCGCCTGCCCAGCCCCCAGACCCCTCGCTGTGTTTGTCCGAACCTAACCCTAGGTACATAGTGTTAGCTACTAGTCAATGAAGCTAATGCATTTCATGTCACAGTGAACTTACGATCCACAACAATCGTTCCAGGTTCAATGTCCGACCGTTGCCGGCCTAGAGTGACCAACCCCGCTAACAGAGGAGCTGCATCGGGCCTCGCATCTCCAACAGTCGCAGAGCTGCCGGTTGAGTGCATGCGGTCCCCTTTGGCTCACGGTGGGGAGACCAGGTCTCCTAGCATCTCTCCATTGGACCGATAATGGTAATGATGAGGTTGATAAGGCGAGTCCGTCTGCATTGCAGGCAGACGAGGTCCTCCTCGCCACGACAGCAGTTGGCGTATCATTTCCCGACATTTTGACTGTGTTGGGCAAGTCGTCTCACAGGCTGCTAGGTCTTGAATGTGCTGGGACCACCTTACAGGTAGGTTCGCGCTGCAGCCTCCGAGCCGGTAACCGAGTCCTTAGCTTCGGTCTGGGCAGGTTTGGCATCAAAGTACAGGCCAACCAGAATACTCTGTGCCGTATTCCCGACGGTATCTCCATGGCTCACGCCGCAGGTCTACCCTGGGCGTTCGGCACTGCCTAGCACATCCTAATGGAGCTTGGCCGCCTGCGCCGTGGTCAAGGTGTTCTGATTCATGCTGCTGCCGGTGCCACGGGTCAAGCAGCAATACAGCTGGCCCACCACCTGTGTGCGAAGATCTATGCCACGGTCAGCAACGACACAAAGAAACAGTATCTGATGAATACCTATAAATTGTCCGAAGACCGAATCTTCCAGAGCCGGGGACGCTCACTTCAAGGGTGGCATTTTGAAGGAGACCAAGGGCCGGGGAGTGGACTTGGTGATTAACCACCCCACCTTGATGGTGACATACAACGCGCCTCATGGGACTGTGTCGCTCCGTACGGGCAGATGATTCCAACCACGAACAGGGCCCTGACGCTCACCAACTCGGATCACCAAGCGACAACTACGTATCTCGACGTCGTGCGCTGGATACAGGAGCGACCCCACATGCTCCAACATGCGGTGCAGAACGTGATGCCGCTCATTGAGGCGGGCCACCTCTCACTCGGCACGATTTGCAAGACAAACCGGTCCTGGCGCGATTGAGGAGACATTCCGTGCAATGGAGGACCGGACCTCCATCGGTCGAACAGTCATTGATTAGAGCAGGCAAAAACTGTCTCCAGGCTGGAGTTAAAGCCTAATACTGTCAGCCTATACCCACGCACCAGATAGCTAGGTATAGAGCAAAAGACGCTAACCTAAACAGGAACGCTATACTCTTTGAAGTAATTCGCCGTCACTACGGTGTGCTTAGTATGTAGCGGGCGAATCTCTTGTCTAGTCCGGAAGAAGCATGATGCAAGCCAGGATGATCGGATCTGGCCGCTCCCCGCGCTCGATAACAAGCGCAGGAGTGGGGGAAGCTTCACTTCTCCAACTGTCTGGGTGCCTTAACACATTGGTCTTTTAGGCTCACCAGCATCACCACCCAATCTTATATATCCGTTTGAGTCCCCCACTGTCTCTGTAAACGTTACACGGAGTTCTCTGACGCTCGTGTCACAGAGAGAAGGCTAATCACTCCGTGGCGAATTGTTGGGGCTGGGGTTCGGTAAGCTCCGATAATAGCCTTATCGGCCCAGCGCCCTTTTTAAACAATTAGTTTAAGTTATTGTTCCTGACACCCCCAGTCTGTCTTTCTCAATAATTGATACGACCTCACTCAAAGTGTAGAGCCTGATAAGCCTGATCTGTTACTTCATTATACACTGAAATCCCCCCCTTTCCAGAGTCCCTGCTCGACTACCCTTCCGACTTTTAGATGTGTGAGCGCGCGAGAACCACCGCTCGCCACCCCAGAGCTCAACTATACTCCAGCGCGACTGCGCTTCCAAGTAACGACCGCTCTTGGGCTCTGATGCTGCTCACATTGCCTAGGACTATTGGTCAAGATGGTGGACTATGAAATCAGGGAGGCTGTATCTGATTACTGCCGGGGCTACTCCGAAGATATCGATGCCATTCGGGAACGCGAATACCCCTTGCTGAGAGGTTCGACTACAGGAGCCACCCAACACGAGAGAAACGACGCTAACCCTTAACATTGATGTCTAGATACAACATATTTGGATCATGCTGGGACTACTCTCTACGCAAAGTCCCTGATTGAGTCCTTCTCGCGCGACCTCACCTCCAACCTCTACGGTAACCCGCATTCGCTCTCCGCACCATCCCAACTATCTACGCAGCGCATCGATGACACCCGACTACGAGCCCTTCGATTCTTTACCGCCGACCCAGAAGAATTCGACCTTGTCTTCGTGGCTAACGCCACCGCAGCCATCAAATTGGTTGTCGATGCTCTCCGAGATGCAACACCAAAAGGGTTCTGGTACGGGTACCATGTGGACGCGCACACAAGCCTGGTCGGGGCTCGTGAGCTCGCAGACCTCGGAAGCCGGTGCTTTATGGCCGACGAAGAAGTCGAGCGCTGGATCTCCGAGTTAGACTCTGGGCCCGTGGGCGGGGGTGACCGCTTATTTGCGTTCCCTGCGCAGTCTAATATGAACGGTCGTCGGCTCCCGCTCGAATGGTGCGGGCATATCCGCCGTTCTTCCTCCGGGAGTGTCTATACCCTCCTCGACGCCGCTTCGTTGGTATCCACGTCTCCCCTGGATTTGAGCGATGCTGCAACTGCACCGGACTTCACGGTACTTTCTTTTTACAAGATCTTTGGGTTTCCGGACCTGGGGGCTTTGATCGTCCGCAAGAGTGCAGGACACGTCTTCGACAAGCGGAGGTTCTTTGGGGGCGGGACGGTGGATATGGTTCTCACGCACCAAACGTCGTGGCATGCCAAAAAGCGGGCTTCGATACACGAACGGCTGGAAGATGGGACCCTGCCGTTTCATAACATCATCGCGCTGGATCTGGCCTTCGAGACGCATGCTCGTCTCTTTGGCTCGATGCGGAATGTCTCAACGCATACGCGATTTCTGGCTAGGAAGCTCTATGATCGGATGACTGCTTTAAGGCATTACAATGGGGAGAGAGTCTGTCATGTTTATTCATCGCCATGCGCGGACTTTAGTGATTCGTCTTCGCAGGGGCCGATCTTGGCTTTCAATTTGCGGAGTAGCCAGGGGGCGTGGATTGGGAAGTCGGAGGTGGAGAGGTTGGCGAGTGTCAAGAACATTCAAACCAGGTCCGGAACCCTTTGTAACCCTGGAGGCACGGCGGCGAGTCTTGAATGGACCGGTGCGGACATGCTCCGGCATTTCTCGAACGGGCTGCGTTGCGGAGACGATCATGATATCATGGATGGGCGGCCAACTGGGATATTGAGAGTCAGCCTCGGTGCAATGAGCAGCCTGAGTGACATTAACACGTTCATGGCTTTCCTGGAAGAGTTCTACGTGGAGAAGAGTCTCAATGTGGGTTCGTTGGCACCGCCAACGGAGAATACCCTCATTCAGCAGCCAGGGTTCTACGTGGAGAGTCTGTCCGTATACCCTATCAAGAGCTGCGGCGCATTCAAAGTGCCAGACGGCCGACGCTGGGAGATCCACCCCGAGGGATTGGCATGGGATCGGGAATGGTGCCTGATCCACCAGGGAACAGGCGCAGCACTCAACCAGAAGCGATATCCACGCATGGCGCTTGTCCGGCCGTTCGTCGACCTCGCTGCTGGAGTCCTGCGGATTACCTGTGGAGCAGACGTCTCCTCTGCGCAGCACAAGACTCTGGAAATCCCCCTCCGTCGAGAGAATATGAACCTCGTCTCCACCTCACTATGCCAGAACGCTTCCAAGCCCTCCACCGTCTGTGGCGACCAAGTCATCGTCCAGGCGTATTCCTCCCACGATGTATCCTCCTTCTTCTCCAGCTTCCTCGGTGTGCCATGCACCCTCGCGCGCTTCCCTCCACAATCGTCTACGCGATGCGCTTCCTCCACCGGCCCTCTCACCAACAGAAGCTCGCCTCTCAGGTCGTCGACGACGATGCCAGGCTCCTTCCCGCAAGACACCTCGGCACCACCGAATCCCATCCTCCTCTCCAACGAGAGTCCAATCCTCTTGATCTCACGCTCATCCGTCAACCATCTAAACGAGACGATCAAGCGTAACAACAACACCGCTAGCAGCAGCAACAGCAACAGCAAGAAAGCCGTCGCCGCCGACGTCTTCCGCGCCAACATCGTGATCGCAGAGCATCCCCACAAGCCAGCGCATTTCGAGAACCCCTACATCGAAGATCGCTGGCAGAGCGTGCGCATTGGGCCCGAACGCCTCCCGCTCAATGTCCTGGGATCTTGTCAGCGGTGCCAGATGGTATGCGTGGATCAGTACACCGGTGTCCGTGGGGACGAGCCCTATTCAACGCTGGCGAAGACGCGGAAGGTAGGAAACAAGATCTACTTTGGACGACATCTGGGTTTGGCTTCGATGGGGGTTCCGGGTGGCGCTGACTCTGGGTCTCGGACGGTGATGGTTGGCGATGTTGTGGATCCGTCGTTTGGGTTTGACTGAGGATTTCTGTTTGGAGTTTTGCGTGTGAGCTTTTTTTTTTTTTTTTTTTTTTTGCCATGATTGGGATGGCGTTTGAGGACTTTGATTTTTGCGCGATGGCAGATACCAGATACCGGATATACCGGGTTGAGTCGATACTCAGCTCTAGTGAAGTGAACACGTGATAGGCATTCAAATGCATGACTTAATAGTATAGAAACAATGTAACTATTTGTACAGTACCTAAGAAACTGATAACTCCCGTTCCGAAACATGATGATACGATGACAATGACGACGGTGTCGATGAGGTTCACTCAACCCTCACCTCGAGTGGGTGATTGGTCATGTAGGACCTGAGAATAGATCCGTCCTGGCCTTTGGAAAGACCTCCCATGAAACATGACTCAACCATATATCCCAAACAAATCCCCGGGTCGGAGCGAATCGAGCAGTCCCGAACACCCCCGACCCGACCAAAGCAGAGAGAGAAAAGCGCGAGCGTTTATTGCCGGCGCTTGGGCCACTGCTTCCAACCACGACCATGACCTCTCTATAAGAAAAGCGTTAGCAATCTGCATCACCGAACCAGAACCGCATCCCACCATTCGTCCATCCAGATGGTGGAGTAAAAGAATGAAGGGGGAAAGGAAGGGAAATAGAATCGTACCTGCTTCCACAAGCGGACCATCTCGGGCATCTCGAGCATGGCATTGCGGCGAACCTCGAGACGGGTCTCCATGGTGCGCTCCCACTTGTGACCCTTGACCTTCTGGCCGACACCGGTACCCTTGATGGCAAGGCCCTGCTCGGCGCGGCGCAAGGCCTTATACTCGGTGGACTTGGGCCCCGGCGGCAGTAGCTCCTCCACGCCGTGCTTCTTGGCCAGTTTGACCAGCTCCGCCTGTCGCCGCAGCCCGAACTTCGGCCCACTCCAGCGCCTGCCCGTGGTCGTCCACACCTTCCGCGGCAGGAACGGGTTCGCGTGCCGCGCCGGCGTCCACAGCAGCGCCTTCGACGCCGATCGATCCGCCGGCTTGTAGCCCTTGGCGTCGCGGTTGGGCGTGTACGGTGACGGCAACGACTCGAAGATGGCGTCTGCGATCGGTGTGCTACTGCTGCTGCTGGGTTCTGTTGCGGTGGTCTTGGGGTTGGTGTTCGGGGGGATCGTCGTCGGTGCCCCGGCCGTCGCTGCTACTGTCGCCGCTGCGCTCGATTGCACCGGTGAGGTCGCGGACGCGGACACCGCTGCTGCTGGCAGATTGGGCGTCGGGAGGGGAGGGCGAACCGCTGCGGAATAGATGTGCGGAGGATAGCGTGCGAAGAAGTTGCGGAGCCGTAGGGGCAGTTGGGTCACCAGACTGCCGGCTTGGGGAGTAGCCATTCTTGTGAAGTTTTCTTTTTTGGTCCCGTCGGCCTGGGGGGGAGAAGGAAGGAGAGAGATGGGAAAGAGAAAGACCGTGGTGAGGTGGACCGGACTCAAGTTTCTGGAGATCTGCTCTCTTTTCCCGATTTGCACAACTTTTGATTGCTTTGCATTCAAACCCCGACGGCTGTGGCGCTAGTCCCTCTGAGGAAAGGAGGCTCAGTTGGGCGGAATTGTGTGGCAGAAAATGCACCGCGCGGCTTTCCGTAGTGGCTGGTGCAGAGAGAAGAACGAAAAGAGGCTGAGTTACCTGGGTACCGGTAGCGTAAGTTAGTTAGTGTTAGTGAAGGTCCATCCAAGGTTCATCCGTCTTCGCTACTCCTCGTCGCCTCGCCTTTCTCCCTCCTTGCGGGATTCCACACAGCTTTGAGACCCTTTCTTGCCCCTTGTCGTCGCTTGTCTCTCTTGTTGTTGTTACTCTTGTTGATCTCCTCCCTCCCTTTCTCTTTCTTACTCTCGTGGACTTTTGGCTTTCTCCAACTCTCAAATCGTCACGGCCACCCCCGCTCATACTGCCATCATGGCGGACTACAATTATGGAGGTTCCGAGGAGGAGAATGCGGAGTTGAGGAAGCTCGAGACTGAATTGGTATGTACTGGTGCCATTCTGTGATTCTTGGAGAATTTTTCAGCATCTGGAGCTGACGCAAGCTTTCCTCTTAGCTCGATGACCCGGATAATTTCGAGACCTGGGAGAAGCTCGTTCGCGCCGCAGAGGCCTTGGAGGGTGGCATCAACCGCAACTCCAACCCCCAGGCCATCACCACCGTGCGCAATATCTACGATCGCTTCCTGGCCAAGTTCCCTCTCCTGTTCGGATACTGGAAGAAGTATGCCGATCTGGAATTCTCCATCACCGGAACCGAGGCTGCAGATATGGTATGGAAAACTCCTGCTTCAAAGGTCGCTCGCTGGTCGCGCGGTCGCTGATCGAAAATAGGTCTATGAGCGTGGTGTTGCTAGCATCTCGCCCTCGGTTGATCTGTGGACCAACTACTGCTCCTTCAAGGCAGAGACTTCGCACGATGCCGACGTGATTCGAGAGTAAGTATAACTAGAGCTGCTTTTCCTTTCCTTGCCCCTCGTAACCATGATCAATGCAGCACGGACATTGTTGATGGTGCCGGACCTGCGTGGTGCAAATCTCCGCTGCCAGCAGTTCCCTCAATGATGGGTGAGATTTCGCCTTTACCCGGGTTCCAAAAAGAAAAACTGGAGTTTACTTCTCACCCATGGCTTATTCAGGCTGTTTCATCTCCCTTCCCTCCCTTTGAAAGAAAAGTTTTGAATTATCTGATTTGAAGTCACAACCACCTTGCCCTGCACGGACCTCATCGGCTGTGTTTCGATGACGCCTACTCTGCGCTCGATGCAGATGGAGGAAAAAACAGACGTTCCCATCCATAGTTCTCACCACTTGGTTGTTCGAATTTCCTGAATCCGCAGGCATTGGAAATCTGATGCTCATGTTTGCTATCCTTGTCATCTCTTCCCTTCCTCCCCCCCGCATCCTCCCACTTCCCCCCCCCATCGGTCTTCGACTGTCAGCGTGTAATGGCTTGCTAACCATTTTCTACCTCTGTGCGCAGGCTTTTCGAACGTGGCGCGAGCAGTGTCGGCCTAGACTTCCTAGCACACCCCTTCTGGGATAAGTACATCGAGTTTGAGGAACGCGTGGAGGCCGTTGACAAGATCTTCGCTATCTTGGGCCGAGTCATCCACATCCCCATGCACCAGTATGCTCGGTACTTTGAGCGGTATAGGCAGTTGGCGCAGACTCGGCCTGTGGCCGAATTGGCAGCGCCCGAGACGCTATCGCAATTCCGTGCCGAGCTCGACGCAGCTGCTGGACAGATTGCCCCTGGCGCAAAGGCAGAGGCTGAAATCGAGAGGGATTTGCGACTGCGCGTTGACAGCCACCACCTCGAAGTATTCTCCAAGACTCAGACCGAGACCACGAAGCGTTGGACTTATGAATCAGAGATCAAGCGTCCGTATTTCCACGTTACCGAGCTGGATGAAGGTCAGCTGTTGAACTGGAAGAAGTACCTGGACTTTGAGGAATCCGAGGGATCTTACGCTCGCACCCAGTTCTTGTATGAGAGGTGTCTCGTAACATGTGCACACTACGATGAGTTCTGGCAGCGTTATGCTAGATGGATGGCCGCTCAGCCCGGCAAAGAGGAGGAAGTGCGCATCATCTATCAACGTGCAAGCTGCTTGTACGTGCCCATTGCAAACCCGGCAACGCGTCTTCAATATGCCTACTTCGAAGAGATGAGCGGTCGTGTGGATGTTGCTAAGGATATTCATGATGCCATCCTGATCCACCTTCCCAACCACGTTGAGACGATAGTCTCCTTGGCCAACATGTCGCGTCGCCATGGCGGACTGGAAGCTGCCATTGAAGTATATAAGACGCAGCTCGACTCGCCACAGTGTGACCTAGCCACAAAGGCAGCTCTTGTTGCCGAATGGGCCCGGCTCCTGTGGAAGATCAAGGGTTCGTCCGAAGAGGCCCGCCAGGTCTATCAAAAGAACCAGCAGTACTACATGGATAGCCGCCCCTTCTGGACGAGCTATCTCCACTTCGAACTTGAACAGCCCACCAGTTCTTCGACTGAAACCGTGCAATACGAGCGTATCAAGCAGGTCGTCGATGAAATCCGCACCAAGAGTTCCCTACCGGCTCCGGCAGTGAGGGAGCTTGTGCAGCTGTACATGGTCTACCTGCTCGAACGCGGCACCAAGGACGCTGCCAAGGAGTATATGACTCTAGACCGGGAGGTCCATGGGCCTGCGTCCGTGTCGCACATGCAGGCCGCTGAAGTGGCAGCACCAGCCCCTGTGGTAGCCACCCCGGTGGCCCCGGCGACGGCGGAAGTCGTCGTCCCCACGCCCCAAGCCAATGCTTATGCTGGTTACTACCAGCAGACGCCTGTTAACGGTGACGCGTGAGTGTTTTCTCAGACTCATTGTTTCGATCTGAGCTTGCCGAAGCCCAGGTCCATTAACTTCTGATATCCCTCTTACGGTGGTTGGTTTTCCTTTCCCGTTCCAAGCCGGCGATGGCTTGTCGATATGTAGAACAAATAGCCCCCATTTATCCCCCGATCTCCTTTTATTGATTATGCAGCTTTCAGCGACTCTGGCGTGTTGAGTGAGGGAGGAGCAAAGTCATCTATCTAGCCGGAGCAATCGAATCTGCCTGCTCCCGGACTGCTTCCCAACGAATTTCATGTGAACTGGTTGGGTGGATCTTATGAATTGGACACAGTCTCCATTGTACTCTAATGCGTAGGTAGCTTCCTTTATCAATACTATACAAGTGATTGTATTGCAGATGTAGTGTTTAGGATCTATTTGGTAACATGGATGTAGTCTAATTTCATTTATCCTCGCTAGTCCTCCGGCAAAGGCGCCCTAAGATTAAGCCGAGTGGATCCGATCCCCTGCTGAAGAATCCCGAGCCATCCAATGACATGGAGGAAATCAAAACACTCTTCATTCATGGAGGCGTTTTGTCAGTCAGCTCGTTTTCTTATCCTCGCGATAGGTTGCAGCGTTGCACGGAGGGTCGGAATCGGTTGTTAGTGCTTCATGGCGCATTCAGCCTCGCACGACATGATAAATTATTTAGCATCCTTCTTACCCATCTGGCATCTTCTCATGATGGCTTTTGGTTTCTTTGCATGTAGGTCGTCCGAAGACCGACTAACCAACGCCAACTATGGCTCTGTCAGTTGACGTTCTCGAACTCACCAAACACCATGGCCCTCGCCTTGCCGTAGCGGGCGTCGGTGCTCATCTCCTCTATTGGATGCACGGAGAACGCAACAACAAGGCGGTGCGTGCTTGGCTACTCTCCCATCTGATTGTGAACGTTGCCCTCCTAGCGTTTAACCTCGCCAACACCCAGCCGGAATCATGGGGTATCAGCTCATGGATCCGCGGTCTCGTTACGGTATCTGTGCTGAACACCTGCTTCTACGGGCCCCTCTTCGCCTCCATCCTGATCTACCGGGCCTTCTTCCACCGTCTCCATCGGTTCCCCGGCCCAGTGGCCTTGAAAGTCTCCAAGCTGGCCGCTGCATACAGCAATATCGGAAAGGAGCGGGACTTCGAGCGCATCTGGGATCTCCACAAGCAGTACGGCGATGTCGTCCGGACCGGACCGCAAGAGCTCAGCGTCCTGTCCGCCGACGCGATCGATGTGATCTACGGCCCCTCGAGCCGATGCACCCGCGCCATCTGGTACGATCGACTGAAGGCCTCGGGGGACTTCTCGGAGGACTATGCGGTGTTCCATATGCGGAATCCCGTCGCACATGGGAAGCGCAGGAAGGCGCTCTGGGATAAGGCGTTCAATATTCGAGGTTTGTCGAATTCCCTCTCATCACAGGTATCATGAGGATGGGGGCTTATATGTATGTTTTGTTCTAGCGCTCAAGTCCTACCAGCCCGTGGTTGTACAGACCACGCAACGGTTCCTGGATGCGCTGCGTCAGCGGACCGGTCAGACACTCTCCGGTCCGGATACGATGCAACTCCTGAGTTATGACCTCATGGGCATCATCGGGTGGGGGTACTCGTTCAACAACATCGAGAAGTGGGAGCTCAATCCGGCTCTGCACTTCGTGAAGCATGTGACGGCCGGTCAGCGGATCATCTCGCAGGCGCCGTGGTTGATGAGTCTGCTGGTCAACCTGCCGGGCGCGGATTCGCCGCTTCGTCCTTATGGCTCGTGGATCCAGGCGCGCATCCGCGAGAAGTTGCGGCTGCTGAAGACGCCCGGGCAGGGGCGGGAGACGGCTGATGCTATGAGTAAGATGATGCCGGCGATGGTGAATTTGTCCGAGTCGGCGTTGTATAGTGAAGGGGAGTTGATGGTTATCGCCGGGGGGTACGTTGCTTCGAAATATTCTCAAGCTGTCTTCGGGACTAATGTGGCCTGACCTGAAACAGAGACACAACTTCCTCCACCATGTCGGCCGTGATCTTTCACCTGGCGCGCAATCCTTCCGTTCAGCGCAAACTCCAAGCGGAGCTCGATGAAGCTGCACAGTGCCATGACCAAAAGGATGATGAGGTGTCGAATGCGGAACCTGAAGCATCGTACTACCGCTCGATCTCTTCTCTCCCGTATCTGAACGCCTGCATCAATGAATCTCTCCGCCTCCAGCCCCCCGTCCCTGGAGAGATCCCCCGGAAAACGCCCCTCGAAGGCATCCACATTCCCTTACCCGCATCTTCTTCTTCCTCGTCACCTACCTCAGTCTTCATCCCCGGCGACACGATCATCAGCGTCCCCGTCCTCCCCGTCCAGCGCGACCCCCGGAACTACGTCCATCCGGAGGACTTCATCCCCGAGCGCTGGACGGATGAGAAGCCGGAATTGACGCTGAACAAGTCGGCGTTCATGCCGTTCGTGGGAGGTGCGTATACCTGTGCGGGTAAAGGGTTGGCGTACATTGAGATGCGGATTGTCTTGGCCAAGTTGTTGGAGAGGTTCGAGGTGAAGCTTGCGGACGGGGAGGATGGGAGGCGGTTCTTGGAGGAGACAAGGGACTGCCATGTTGCGCATTTGGGGGATTTCCGGGTTGTTTATGAGGAGAGGAGGTGAGGGTATTGAGTCTTTGGTTGGGTGGGATTATGTTAGTTCCTCGGTTTTTGGCATGGTTTGGCGGGAAAATGATGCTTGTAGACTGATATAACCCCAGTCCAGTACTTCTGTAGGGAAATCACATTCGAGTGAGGCTTGGTGTTATAGATATGTTAGATTAAAGTCGTAAGCAGTTCGCCAGGATTGTGAACTGCATTGCCGAGAGATGAACAATCTTGGTACAGTAATGGGATTTAGCTTATCATTCGGGGAGATACTCCTCAGGTCAGGACAGCTACATCATCTCCCCGAGTGAAGTTCCGATTGACGGCGTCTTGACCTATGGGAAAGATGTACAGCCATTGCCATGGGTTTTGTTGATTGAGTTCGATTGTCCAACAAGTCTGGTTCCACCAACCCCGGACATTAACGATAACGGCGCATCACCCTCTTATATTGTCTACATGTGATTCTCTATCCTCTATACAAACTCGGGAACTGCCTTGTTTTCCTCTTCTTTCTTTGCGACTCCCAGCGTATGTCTTACCTTGCACTCCTCTATTTCTCTCAGAGATGGCAGGAGACTGTTTCCTGAAGCGGGTAAAGCCCTTTGACTGGCATGGTGCGTTAAACGCGACTTTGAACTTAGCGTCCACGCTTCTGTGTCCCGTTTACATCATCTTATCAGTATCTTGGGCATTTCACCGATCTCTGCTTATTGTGGAGCAAGTGGATCCATATAAAAGCTACCGTGTTGAGGCATATATCAACTAGTCCCGGTCATTATGAGTCTGGCAAGACCTATCACTTCTGCACAATCCTTCAACCACTTTCGGCATAGGTCCTCTACTCCCGCACAATCCAACATCAAGCACAATGACAACAGGCAAAAAAGCGATTCCTCCATGGAAAGAGCACGTTGACCTCGGCAGACTCCTGAACGAGGGCGCAGGCAAGTTCTTAGAAGAATACGTTCATTTATCCGCCGACGAGCTAGAGAACCATGTCAGAGACATAGTCAGTATACCCCGCTCACCTCACTTACTTGTCCAGAAACCCGAGCGCAGCAGTAGCAGCAGCAGAGGGGCTGACCAAAACCCAATGAACCACAGGCGAACCAGGGATGGAGCATCAAAGCGTACCCCTGCTTTGCCAAGTTCCTCTTCCTGCAATTCGACCTCACGCACTCGCCCGCCTACGAGGCCATCATCCGCCACACCCAGGCCGGGGGCCTATTCCTCGACCTCGGCTGCGGCCTCGGGCAGGATATCAGGCGTCTGGCCTATGACGGCGCTCCGGGAGACCGACTGATCGGGCTGGATTTGGTCCCCGAGTTCGTGTATCTAGGCTATCAGCTCTTCCGGGACGATGCGACGCTGCAGTCCCGGTTCCTGGTCCAGGATTTCTTCGAGGATACCCCCAGCATGAGGCTCTTCGCGAAGAAAATCATGGCCATCAACTCCGGGTTCTTCATGCACCTGTGGAGCTGGAAGAAGCAGCTGCAGGCTGCGGAGCGGATGATCCAGTTGTTGGCGCCGGAAAAGGGCGCCATCGTCTCGGGCATTCATTTTGGGAGCCATGCCCCCGGAGTCTGGGACGGTGCCATTGATGGCTTCGAGGACATGTTCCTACACGCCCCCGAAACCTTGGCCAGGCTGTGGGAGGAGGCTGCCGCTGAGACAGGTTCCAGGCTGAAGGTGATATGTGTTGTAGAGGAGGCGGACTTTTGTAAGAGTCTGGATCGGGAGGGTTGTCTGCTGCGCTGGGTTGTTGAGCGGCTGTGATTGTTTCTCTGATTGTGTGGGTTGTGGCTTGGTTTTGAGGTTGAGGGGCTACAAGACCGTGCCCCTCTGGCATTGGTTTCACTTAAGTCTTGGGACCGGATCAGTGCTCATGGCTGTGTGAAATGCTTCATGTTTTGTATATGACCACTGCAACTCGTGCTCATGGTGGTCGACACCAGGCTGCGATAGGGATTCATTATAGTTTGAGCCAAGGAAGTCATTGAGCGCATCTAGAAGCTGAAGCTAGAGAAATACATATTCTGATGTAAAATTGGGTAAGAGTGCAGAATCTGGCCTGCTAGTAGTTCTCTAGAAAATGCTCGGTGGCTGTATACTATACTATGCACGTGATTGTGTATTTAGCTCCTCTGCTTCTCCGTAGAAACTCTAGACTCCGCGGCGGCGCCTTTGATAGCCCGGTCATATCGAACGCCTACCAGCGGCGAGCCTTATTCCTCTCATTCCTCTTACTATCCATTCCTCAGCCACCATGGATGGCATAATCACAAACGGCTCCTCGGAGGCGCCTCCTCCCATGCCTCCTCCAGAGCCTTTTGAACGTCCTCCTTCCCCGCCGCCTCCTCCAGAGGACTCCTCCGCACCTCCGCCGCCTCCAGACACGTCCGCACCTCCGCCACCGCCAGAAGACCTTCCACCTGCTCCGCCGCCCGAACCAGAATTCAAGAAGAAGAAAGCTGGATGGGGGGCCCCGAAGCGACCAGCTGCGACGCCGCTGAGTGTTGAGGAAATGGTGCGCAAGAAACGAGAAGCTGATGCCGCCGCTGCCAAGGTAGACCTCAATCCGATCACATACTGTCAAGCCACAACAGCTAACCCTCCCCAGCCCAAGTTCTTGTCCAAGAAGGAACGAGAAAGGATTGCCATCGAGAAGCGCAACAAAGAAGTCGAAGCCAGTCGCAGATCGAAAACCGATCAAACATCCTCCAACGGACTCGACAGCACATCCTCCGAATCGCGCCAGAATGACAACTCCCGATCGATTCCCACCGGTCCTCGAGCCATGCGCAACTCATCCGATGCGCCCAACGCGCCAGCCGCGATGCGCAACAACAAGAACTCCGATCTCGCACCTCCTCCCCCTCCCAAATCGATGAGTTATGGTCTCACCAGCGGCGCCGGTAAACACAATAAGCACAGGCGAAGCGCCGCCGACGACGCCGAGGAGGAACAATCCGCACAAGCCGCCCTCATCAAGCAAAGGTACATGGGTGCCGACCAAACCTCCAACTTCTCCGCGAAGAAGAAACGCAAGCGCACGACGGACCGCAAGTTCAATTTCGAATGGAACGCCGAGGAGGACACCAGCGGCGACTACAACCCGCTCTACAAAAACCGGCACGAAGCCAACTTCTTCGGCCGCGGTCGTCTGGCTGGCTTCGGCGACGACGTTGCTGACGCCGTGACCAAGTCCTACGCGCGGGCGCTCGAGGACCGCGACCGCGAAGCAGGCAGCATTCGCGCGCGCGAAATCCTGGAGATGGAGCGCCGTCGTCGCGAAGAAAGCACCCGGAACCAGTTGGACAAGCACTGGTCCGAGAAGAAACTCGAACATATGCGCGAGCGTGATTGGCGTATCTTCAAGGAAGACTTCAACATCGCTACCAAGGGTGGCAGCGTGCCGAACCCGATGCGCTCGTGGGATGAGTCGGGTCTTCCCTCGCGTCTACTGGAACTTATCGGCCAGGTTGGCTACAAGGAGCCTACTCCCATTCAGCGCGCCGCCATCCCCATCGCTATGCTGAATCGCGACCTGATCGGTGTGGCCGTCACAGGTTCCGGTAAAACGGCGGCCTTCCTCCTCCCTCTCCTCTGCTACATTGCGGAGCTTCCTCGGATCGACGAATTCGAATGGCGCAAGAACGACGGACCCTACGCCATTGTGCTGGCCCCGACCCGTGAATTGGCGCAACAGATCGAGATCGAAGCCAAGAAGTTCACTCAACCGCTCGGGTTCAACGTCGTCAGTATTGTCGGTGGTCATTCGTTCGAAGAACAGGCCTACAGTCTCCGTGACGGTGCGGAGATTATCATCGCTACGCCCGGTCGTCTGGTCGATTGTATCGAGCGCCGCATGCTCGTCCTCAGTCAATGTTGTTACGTGATTATGGATGAAGCCGATCGAATGATCGACTTGGGTTTCGAAGAACCCGTCAACAAGATTCTAGATGCCTTACCTGTTACCAACGAGAAGCCCGACACCGAGGAAGCAGAAAACTCCATTGCAATGAGCCGCCATATCAATCCGAACCAACAATCGCATCTCCAACGCTACCGTCAAACAATGATGTACACGGCCACTATGCCATCGGCCGTTGAACGTATTGCTCGAAAATACCTTCGCCGTCCGGCCATCGTGACCATCGGTAGCGCCGGCGAGGCCGTCGACACGGTCGAGCAACGCGTGGAGTTGATCGCGGGAGAAGACAAGCGCAAGAAGCGCCTGGGCGAGATCCTGTCGTCCGGCGATTTTCGGCCGCCGATCATTGTGTTCGTCAACATCAAGCGCAACTGCGATGCCATCGCGCGGGAGATCAAACAGTGGGGCTTTTCTTCTGTCACGTTGCACGGTAGTAAGACGCAGGAACAGCGTGAGGCGGCACTGGCGTCCGTACGCAACGGGTCGACGGATGTGCTGGTGGCGACTGACCTGGCGGGTAGAGGTATCGATGTGCCGGATGTCAGTCTGGTCATCAACTTCAACATGGCGACGAGTATCGAGAGCTACACGCATCGTATCGGTCGTACAGGTCGTGCTGGAAAGAGCGGTGTGGCCATCACGTTCCTTGGGAACGAGGATTCTGATGTTATGTATGTTGTTTCCCTCTTCATCTCGAGCTTTTTTTTCTTCGCGGTTTGTTTCAACATTGTGGATGCTAACGTGGTTCTGTGCAGGTATGACCTCAAGCAGATGCTCATCAAGTCGCCTATTTCTCGGGTGCCCGAGGAACTTCGCAAGCACGAGGCGGCCCAGTCCAAGCCGACGCGAGGCATGCCCAAGAAGATCGAGGAGAGCACAGGAAATGCTGGCAAGGGTGGGTGGTAGCCCATGTTGTCGAGTCGTTGAGAGTGATAGAGTAGGCGAGATACTATACCATAGTTTATCATTAGGAATATCGATTATCCAAAACATCCCAAACCAGCACAGTTGTCTAATAAGTGAATACTTTCTCCAACGTACGATAGGCTGAGCGGCTCTGCTTCTACGTGAGATGCAATACACAGGCATAATCACAGGTACCTTTCATCTGAGCATGCTTGAACTAGGGACAACTTTGAATATCCATTCCACATATCAATCCCAAATCCACAATCCAGCAGATCCTTATCAACAAGCACCCCAGTAACAAATAAGATATGCGAAAGCATAGCACATACCAACAACGCCCCCAACTCTGATCCCACCCCCTGAGTCAAACAAACCAGCAAATAACCCCAACCCAGAATAATCAACCCCGGTGCCCTATTCAAGCCTCCGCCTTGAAACCCAGAAACCCCTCCTTCTTCACACCATCTCCACCCTTCCCCTTCTCCAGCTTAAACACAACCTCCTCCTCCCCATCACCCTGATCATCATCCCCATCCACAGGAAACCCCTTCACCTTCTTATTCTTCTTCGACGACTTCTTCGCACCGCCCTCGCCTCCGGCTTCAGCACCGGCCTTACGCTTGCCTTTCGTCGGAGTCTCAGCCGCAACATCCTCGGCGATGCCGGTCTTCTTCTTGGCTGGGGAGGGGGTAGTGGTGATGGTCAGGCCTTTAGCTTGTTTCTTGAGTTTGACCATGCGTTGCTCGACGGCGCAGGGGGTGCAGTCTTTTGTTTGGTGTTAGTTTCTGTGTTCTCTGGTTGCGTTATCTGGTGGATCGGGGGAGGTTTGGGTATATCAAAGTTCAGGGTGGGAAGGGCTGAATTTGATGAAGAAGGGGCGGGGGCATTCGGGTTCACGAGGTTGTTGTTGGACGTACCTGCTCCCATGTACTGAGCCAGTTGCTTGGTGTCGAGTTTCATTTGGCCGGAGCATTGGTTGAGGACGCCGACGAAGAGCTGGGCAGTGAGGGGGGGGATGTTAGCTTCGGCACTGGGGTTGTGGGAGCGTTATACCGGGGTGGCAGGGGGGAAGGGACTGACCTTGGCGTCGGCTTCGGAGGTCCATTGCATAGGCATCTTTGAGATTTTGAGGGTTGTAGGCTTTGGTTTGGTGGTTTGTTGGGTTGGGATGTTGTGGATTCTGGGTTAGGTTGGTGTGTGATAGATGGCTGGATGGTTGTAGATGGATTGATGGGATTTGAGGATGGGAGAGGGAGACAGAGTAGAGATGGGAGGTAGAGAGAGAAGATAGTAGAGAGAAGATAGTAGAGCGAAGATAGTAGATAGAGGGAGGATGGAGAGAGATGAATGTGTTTCTTATATCAGGGGGTAGGATGTTAGAAACATGAGTTGAAGGGCGAGCTTTGCTTAGAGCGTGTTACTTGATGGTGAATGTGGATGTGAAAGTTGGCTGAGTTGTGAAGGCGACATCTGGTACTTGCGCTTCAGGTGTCAGCTTGCACAAAACTACATCCTCTTACATGTTATTTGATGATTGTGACTTTGGGATAGGCCCTTTCCAAGAAGAAATCAAGACTAGATATCATGAAATACTATCCCATAGGTCCATAGCTACACTTCACGTATTCGTCTCTTGTAGGCTTTCGTGTCCCCAATAGGTCTGCTTGCCATATAGAGCAGGAACAGTGGAATGTTCTTCTCGCGGAGGTCTCGTGTCGAGAAGTCATAAAGGCCGCTCTTGCGTATCACCAAGTCTTCGCCATCGAAATGTGCCTGCAAGATCCGCGCTTTACGCTGTCTCATGCAAGATATCATATTGATCTTGACACACAGTGATTTAGCTTGTGCGAAGTTCATAGAGCGAGTAAAATATCCTACCGGGATGATAGTATGCTCCTTCAAGGTTGCTCGACTTAGCCGTGTCCTCATAATCCCCACGAGGGCGAGAACTTCGGTTCGAAGCAACTTCTCCTCCGGTTCAATCTTGTGTGTCACGATGAGCATAATCTGAGAATATCCCCGGCGTGCACACCACACCTCCTCGAACCTGAAGGTCTGCGTGGACGAAGCCACCGGTCCAGCGTCGGGATCGGCTGATAGGCCGAAATCCATGTACCGCGATCGGATCATGCCTTCCTCCAAGTTTCTATGAGTGCCCATACATCAGCATGCTAGCCATTCAGCGTAGAGTGTAGACACTTAGCTGACCCCTCAGTCCAGAGAGAGAACTGTTCCAACGTATCGCGACCCAGCGGGCCGACACGCATGTATTCAAGGAACTCGTCCGCAAGAACCGCACTAAGAAAGCCATCTTGATCGGTCCCTTTCCGATCGAAGCGCGCCCAGAGCTTCTCCTTAGTTCTGGCAGATTCCCGGGTAGTTGGGTCAGTCATATCGACGGGGTGAGCCTCGAGTCGCCTCAAGGGCCAGGGGTCGAAGTATATGGCTTCATCCGTATCGGGTAGGAGTCCATCTATGCGGAGAGGGAGCTCGACGCAATCAATGCCCAAACCTTTTGTGTCGGATTCGGACAAAGAGCTCAATGGTGAAGCTTGGACACGACGGTGGAGTTCCCTCAGGTGTGCGCGGGTTGTGTTTCGCGCTTTGTGACGCATCTCCTCTGCGGAATTGCGCGCCAGGGGCCCGGGTGGTCGCTGTCTCCTCTCTTTGGGAACCGGCCTCGCCCGGCGCTCTAGCCTTGCTGGCCGTTGACGATCTCTGGAGACCAGGAATCTTGCACAGATGCACTTGATGGGCATTGTTGTGTCAGGTTTGGTGTAGGATATATGGAGCCTACGCTATTGCCAGATGAGCAGTCAGATCAAGCAATCTCCCTCCATGCTGACAAGAGACAAACTCGACACTTTGACAAGGATTTGTTTTAAGATAGATTGAAATACACACCGACCTTAGTCAACACAAAGTTTCAACACGATGACTGTCTCGATACCGAAGATGTGGGACTATGTGGCTTCCGGTCTTCCTATCATGGATTGTGTGAATGTTTTACTATCAATCTCCCAGTTCAAAAGGAACACCCATTGAAGGGCCTCGAAAATTGGAGATGGTCAAGAGTGTATGCTTCGTTTACGAAAACGTCAGCCTAATCGGGAAGGGATGATGCTTTCCGTCCTCCAGCAGCAGGCATGCTTGATGGATGGTCACGGGACATGCCGCCATTATGAACCGGCCAACTTCTCAATGCCAGCTGCCTTTCTCTCATGGTCTCAATCCCTCCGACAATGCTGACTATCTGACCTCTTTAGTGTCTCGTATTCGACCTTGACATAATCAACAAGAAACCACCTCCAAGGACTATCCTAGTACCTCGGGATCAAGATGATACCCTGCTGCACCTCTCGATACGTCATAGCAATCAACCTCAAACTAACCAGTCTACACATGACAAAAAAGAAAAGTCGATCGAAGAACTCTAACGAACCATAGATCAGCTTTTAAGGGTTTACTTCGGGTATGCATTCTGGAACAAGTGCCCTGTTCCTGATCAGCATGCCACCATCAACCGGTTATGGGTCGATCCCCGTACTATTTTCGACTAGGCCCTGAACGCTCGTCCCATTTTTGAGTCTCTGGCTGTTTCTGGCAACAAACGTCCATTCACATGGCCAGAGAAACACCGGTGCCTGGCAGACCGAGGTAGCTTGGTTGGCGGACTTTTCTACCACCAGCGGATCCAGATCCCCCGACCCAAAAAGTGGTTCCTGGGCTGAAACACGCCGTTGGCCGTCGAGCGAATAGCCTCATCCACCGATCTCGGACAAGCCACCCGTTCAGGGTCCGTTCAGGGTCTTTGGCAGCACAAATCCGTGGTTGACAACCGTATCAAGGAGGTGGTCCGTGGTCTCTTGGAGACTACTGTTGAACAGTCTGCGACAGTATGAAACGAGAAATGCGCTTGAAACAAGCACACATCCGAAGAAATCGTTTTATCTCGGAAATCGAAGAAGCAGCACCTCGACCACATGTGAACTGGCTATGGGACCTGGGGATGCCCTTTTTTTTTTTTTATAAATAGGCTCGCGTGGTGCCTGCCTGGTGATGCTTGAGTGATCGAACGGCATCCCAATCCAGCACCAACTACCCACGATGAAGCTTCCATTGTTCTTCCTCGGCTTTATGGGCCTTGCAGCTGCCACTCCCATGGGCCTTGAAACCCGCCAATGTATGGCTTTACTACTTCATTCTCGTCAAGTGCGCATGCTAATGTTCTCTACAGTCAGTTCAGGAAACGAACTCCGTGACGGGGCCTGCAAGCCCATCATCTTCATTTTCGCGCGAGCATCCACGGAGCCGGGTCTCCTTGTAAGCTGCCCGTGAACCTCTCTTTCCCCTCCACCTGATTCTAACGAAAAAATACCAGGGTATCTCAACCGGCCCGGCCGTCTGCAACAACCTCAAGATGGCCAAGGCCGGCCAGGTCCTCTGCCAGGGTGTCGGTCCCGCCTACACGGCCGATCTACCGTCCAACGCCTTGCCCGGCAACACCTCCCCAGCAGCCATCAACGAAGCCAAATCCCTCTTCAACCTTGCTGCATCCAAGTGCCCCAACAGTCAGATCCTGGCTGGTGGGTATAGGTAAAACAGCCAAATCTAATTTTCATTGGGCCCCAATCCTTGTACTAACTCAATGCAATATAGTCAAGGAACGGCTGTGATGGACGACTCGATCAAGGAGCTGAACGACAACGTCAAGGACATGATCAAAGGCGTGGTCCTCTTCGGCTACACCCGTAACGCCCAGGAGCACGGCCAGATCCAGAATTTCCCCAAGGACAAGGTCAAGATTTACTGTGCCACGGGCGACATGGTCTGCGACGGCACTTTGCTCGTCCTCCCCGCCCACTTCACCTACGTCGCCAACACCGGCGAGGCCTCGAAGTGGCTGGAGTCGAAGCTGGGAAGCACCAGCTCCTCATCGAACCAGATCAGCAGTGGAACAAGCACCAGCAGCGGCAGCTCGGAGTCGTCGACCACCTCTTCCGGATCTTCCGGGTTGTCCGGGCTCGGCGGGCTGGGCTCGCTCTTCGGCGGCGGTAGCAGTGGGTCGAGCGGAAGCTCGAGTGGCTTGGGCTCATTCTTCTAAACGATCTCACCTAGTGATGTGGGTGATGAACGAGTGAAAGGCGGCTAGAGTCGGAAACTGGAAGCTTGTATACGGATGGTGGGTGTTGGGCTGGCTGGGAATGTTCGGCTTTTGCTCTTTTTTATTCTTTTCTTGTTTTTCATTCTTGGATCTTCTGATTGTTGTTAGATTTAGATAGCAGGTCCTATCTTGAAGTTTATACCATGTATTAGTCTCCAGTATATGCTGCTTGGTTCAACGAAGCATAGGTCAGTTCTTTCTGTTCACCAGCTGTTAGTGGTACTGTACCTATTCAACCTACAGTATTTACCCCTACAAGGCGATGTGGATAGTCAAGCTTCACCCATCACATAAACCACCACTTCGAAGTATCCAGCTTTTATTGGTCCAACTCTATGTAACAATTTGACCTTACTTGAAATATATATACCTCTCTATCAGCGACAGAGCCACCATACATACGTACTAGTCACCTCAAAACGCCATGAATGATGCAACATCACCTTGATGCAAATACACACATCCAAAAAAGAAAGAGAGAAAGAAGGAAAGAAAGAAGAAACGACCCACGAGGGTTGATCGAAGACAGGTTAATAGAAGAAGAAGAAAAAAAAAGTAATATATACGCTAAAAGAAGATACAGGCTGGAAACTGAAGTTTGCAGGACCAGACATCATCGACTTGTGAAATATCTACCCGTAGCGTGCGCTTAGGCTGGCGAATGCGTCGGGGCTGTGTCGGCCGCTCTGGAAGCCATTGATGTCCACGCTCTGCTGGCTCATGTGGCCACGAGGGAACCCGCCTGTTGACGTAGCGGGTCTATTGCTCATACCGAATCCTGCGGTGGGCTGGTAAACAGCCTGGGGCGTAGCAGTTGGGTAGGCTGCAGCAGGTGCCCCTGCTGCTGGGGCGGTGGTGAAGAAAGGGTTCCGGGTTCCGGCAATTTGGGGGTCGGTGGCGGGCTGCTGGAGGGTAGGTTGTTGTTGTTGTTGTTGTTGTTGTTGAGGGTTGGCGTAGTTGGAGGGTGGGTTCATGGGGTAGCCCTGTGCTTGCTGGGCTGGGTTGATGCCTGCAGGAGGCTGGGCTTGAGGGTGTTCGGGGATAGTAGGAGGCTGGGGAGAGAGATTGTACAGTGCAAGGATGCTGTTCTTGTCAACACGGCCGGTCGGCTGTGCATACTGATGCTGCGCCGGCATCTGGTATCCATACTGCGATGGAGCAGGATAGCCCGTACTCTGAGGCGCAGCTGGTGCATTCATCATCTGGTATGGGTTCATGGTGTTCTGGCCGGCTTGCATAGACGGCACTTGTAGTTGAGGCTGCGTGTGCTGTTGCTGCGGCTGCTGCGGCTGCTGCGGCTGCTGCTGGAACGGCGACGGCTGGCCAAAAGGCGAGGTTGCGGACATAATAGGCATTGTGTTCGCATGCCGAGGTGGGCCAAAGGGACCGGAAGACACTTGGTTTTGCGCCTGCATAGATGTTGGTTGTGATGAAACCTGTCCGAAGAACGGGTTGCTCGGAGCGACATTGAGGTTAGGGTTCGCAACAGAAGCGGTCATGCTGGCCTGCGGCTGAGCTCCGGTTTGGAAGAACGGGTTGTTGCCACCATCCAAAATCTGCGGGGATGAGACATAACCACTCTGGTTCAATGTCGAGGTTGCAGGGGGCGTAACCGCCGCCTGCTGGTACAGAGGCTGAGGAAGTGAGGACTGTCTGTACGGATAGCCTCCTGTGGAGTGCGGGAATAGAGGTTGGGCGACCTGCAAACCTTGAAACGACTGCTCAAGAGGCTGCATAGAGGCTGACTGAGGGAATTGTTGCTGTTGTTGCTGTTGCTGCTGTTGCTGCGGTTGTTGTGGTGGTTGTGCATCAAAGGGGTTAAAGTTGCTGCTAGGCTGGGCAGCTGGCCGCGAGTCCAATTGGTCAAAGGGGTTGCCGAATTTCGAGGAGTCCACGGAAGGCGTAGAAGCCGACGCAGACGGTCGCACCGCAGATCCGTTGCCCTCCCCTAGCCTCACCAGTGTCTCGATGGTCTTATCAAGGTTCCCATTCAATTCACGGAGAGCAATGGCGTTCCGGCGTTCGTTTGTAAAGCCCATATCCCTCAGGGTAGCCAACTTCGAGTCAAACGACGCATCCCCCGAGGTTTTTCTTACGCCCAATGCCGGCGAAGGCGAATCGAACCTGTCCGATTGTGGAGAGAAGGCGCTGCGGTTGGAGATGCGGTTGAGGTTTGTTGCAGATGAGGCCGAACGAAGGCCGAAGCCAAACGGCCTGGCGGGTTTCGGAGGCAAGGGAGGCGGCGAACCTTCCGGAGATCTATCATAACCCGAATCATGACGACTAGGGGGCTTATGTTGTTTATTCTCGTCCAGAGACCGATGTTGGTATTTTTGGCGGATGAAACGCTCCATGCAGGAGTCAGCCTCGTCGACATCGGTCGGAACCGGTGGTTTCACATTCTTCGGATTGAAGATTTTATTCATGATGTTGTTGCCGTGCGATTTCATGTTCTAGCGCAATCCCCAGCATAAGTCAATACGGACAAGTTGAGCTGGTGGGGTGCCGGTCACTCACATCGACTTGGTCATCCGTCCATGAGTCCATGCTCAGGGACTTGACTTTAGAAATATGCGTGCCAAGCTTCCGATGTATGGCCGCGCATCGCATACAAAGAAAGATTCCCATCTGTATCCGTCCCAGTCAGTATTCCTGATCTGTCTTCGTGGCCTGAATGCGTGGAGAGTTCGATCGTAGTACGTACGTTCCAACTAGCCCAGCCTACAAATCAACGGTATCCATTAGCTTCCCACTCTATAGAGGATATACAGATGGTGGATACTCACCAGGATTCATAGCCTGACAGTCTGCGCATCGGTCGTTTCCAGGAACGGACCGGATGAGGTCCTGCAGTGCCCGCTCATTGCGGTATTGCTGCCGCTTGCTAATGCCTCCAACCATGATCGCAATACACTCGGAGGACGACGACTGGTATTGCGCGCGTAAAGTAGTAGGCTCCGAGTATTAGGGAGCCAAGAATATAAGTGTAGAAGATTGTAGCTTGACAGGGGGGTGACGACGAGATAAAAGTCTCAATGGATGCACGAGCCGAGCTTCCGGAACGGGGAATTCGGGGGGGATCTTCAGGCGGCGAGATCAAGCATATTTACACGTCAAGTGTTCGATACCTAAGCCGAAGTGAAGCCGTTCGAACCGAGGGAAAAAGATAGTGTGGAATCAGGAAAGGATAGAAGGGGTATGAAGAAGAAGAGAGGAGTGGACAGGGATGAATAACGGAAGAGCTGAGGGAGAGGAGGAGGAGGGGAGAGAGAGAGAGAGAGAAGAGAGGGAGGTCCGGATGTGGGGAGGAAAGTTGGGATGGTGGATTCGATTCCCTCGCACTCTTCCGTAATCATCAGCAATGATTAGATGCTACATACAATGCAAATTACTGACTGACTGACTGACTGACTGACTGACCGATTGGAAAGCATATACAGAACCTACATCTACTTACTCAAGAAGGATTCCAAAGGGAACCAGTGCCGGTCGGTCCTGCATCCGGAGTCAAAGAAGGCGGCGGCGGCTGCAGCCCTGAGAATGCATCCATCCATCCATGCAGTGCTTGCTTGCTTTCTTACTTGCTTGCTTCATTCATTGTCCAGAATCATAGTCAGGGGCAAGCAGCCCCCAAATAAATGAACAATAGACCCGGTTATTGAAGGCCGGGCCACAATCCGTTCTATTTTCAGCGCTATTGACATCCTCCCTAATTAATATCCAAGATATAGTGCAAGCACATTAATCACTGTCTCAAAGACCAGATCAACTCCTTTCACTCGGACGTGTTCGTCCACCCGTGCCCACGTTCTAAACTTGAGCTAAGAATTAGCAACCTGCGTCCGCGAAACTCAATCAGAATAATCCCTGAAGACCAATCCGCAGTCTCGAGTCGCGGTCGCTTGATCTGCACTTACGAGACTTCGTCGTGCCTTGTGCGCTGAACGCTCTTCAAATCTTTGTTTAGCCTGACGGAGCACGCATGATCGCGACTACAATACGAGATACATTTTTTTTTCCATTTTAAATATGATACAATCTCGCATCGGCATGTATGAGCAGCAGGTGGCTTCATCCACCATCGCACTTGAAGCTCCCGAAGGAACTCAGCACGGTAACGAAGCCATAGCAAGACTTTTGCCCGGTGTTGAAAACGTCATTCTGGTACGCCAATATGACCTGCCATCCTATGGGGGATAGGAGTGTAGGTTGATTATGCGTTCGTGAGGTATGATAAGTGTAAAGAAAAAAAAAAAAAAAGTTCTAACGTGCGGCGCGGAAGAGAACTTTTTAAATGCTACACAGTAGTGTGACACGTGATGTGTATCATTCATGCCTCAGGCACCAACACCACAGCACATGGTCTTTCTGCTCGAACTATTGCCACGGGCATGTCTATGTTGTATCCGTCTTCGCTTCGCCTTCCAACAGGTCGACCCACCATGTCATACCCTGCACTCGCTCCAGCACACTCATAAGCGAGACAGCCGTCTGGATCCCCATCTCGTGCCCGATGATATCAAGGCACTTCATGGCCCACGCGTGTACGGGCCCTGACACTCCATCGACCACTGAAGCCAGGTAAAGTGGCAGGAGTAGAGTGAAACCAGTGCCAGCTTTGGTCACCAATGGTTCCCGTATTTGCGTACCTGCTTCGCCAGCGAAGCCGAACTTATACGGGACCGCGCAGCAGATATCCGCGGCTAACTGTCTCAGTAAAGCACGGACGTAGCAACAGCGACCCCTTATGCCATCGGGATTAGAGCCTTGCTCAGACTGGAAGGCCAAGGGTTGTAATTGTGCCAGGATGAGACTGTTGACAAGGATCCTGATATACCGATAGTTGTTCCAAGTGTTGCACATCCACATAGACTGGTACACATGATAATAACCATTGTAATGGTTGACCGCATTCATCAAAGTCTCACGAGGGGACTGGGGGTTATTTCGCAGACGCAAAATGTAAGGCATCTCGGCAGCAAGTTCCCGAGTAAACTCCTCTAGATCGAAATCGAGTCTCATGGCGACAGCAAGTATTTCTGCGCTGTCAGAGACCATCCCTTCGCTCATTTGAGCTTGAAGTTCACATAACCCGGCGGCAATCTCAATCAGCCGATCTGCACAATAACTCTGGGCAGTGCAATCAGATCGATGTGGTTTCCGAATCAGTGCAGGCGGCATTCGCGTTCTCTTTTGCAGGCAGCCGATGAGCTATAGTCCGATTAGCTATACACTGCTTCATCGTCTTTGTTTAGTCGAAGAGCTGACCACTTCATTCCTCAGAACCTGAAACATTTGTTGACCAGTTTCGTGGTGAAGCTGTTCCTCGCCACGAAGTTCGAGCAAAGCCGCGACGCCCCGAGCATGGTCATACCAAGATAACAAGGAGTCCTCCTTGTCGCAGCAGATTATCTTATGGATTTAGCGTCTAGTCAAGCTAGGTCAACATCGGGTGGAGACTTACTTCATACAACGAAAGGCATGCGACCGCGGTGAGTGTGGTGTCCTCTTTCACTGCTGCAACATCATGAAGAGCAGCATTCGTCAACTGCAAAGCAGTAGTGTACTCGCGCCTTGAAGTGAGTTGGAAGGATTGTGACTTATGCAGGTTCGCCAGATTTGCGAGGCCCACCGAGGCAATCCCCGTCATCATGGCTTTCTGACCTATGGAGAGGGTACGCGTTTGGGCTTGTTCTACGAGGCATGAAACATTAAGCCATGGATATGACTTGAGAAACAGACAGGTTGCTTGGAAGATGTGGTCCAGCGCAAAGTTTAAGACGGGTACCGAGGAGACCGGGTGTTGGTGATAGTATGCCTGTGCTACCGCATGTCGTACTGCAACAACGGCCCTTTGCGGAGTCAAGTCCTCCGAACTCGGTTTATGCAAGGCCCTCAATTTGTGCACGGTGGCGTCGCTCTCATCTTTGAACCACAGTGAGAGCTGATCCCGGTAACCGGAACAGGTACGCTGGGCTTTGGCACAGCGTGAACAGAACGGTCTTGTTTCATCACACTAAGGCAGGTCTATGATCAGCATTGATGGCCGTGCGGGCTAAAACTAATTCCTAATGTTCACAAAGCATGGTCTATTCTATCTCAGCCTTGACCGCAAGTCGGGAACTTACTTTGACCTTCCTCGCGCGACAGGTGTCACACCCTCCGCTCGGTTTACCGCGGTATACCATGACCAGCCGGGGAAACGGGGGGACCTAGGACTACTAAAAGCAACGAGGATTGTAAACGGTATACCGGCTGACCAAAGAACCAGAAACGATCATCTTTCAGTGTAAAGGCTATGGTTCCTTTCAGGGTTATCGACGATTGCAATGCTTGCACGACAGAGATGGATGCCTGCCTGACGACAGCAACATGATCCCATGCTCCTCAAAAACGGTTACTGGCGTGTGGAGTCAGTCAAAAGAGAAGAAAGTCGGTGCCGAAGCATTGCGGCTGGGTCAAGCCTTGCACTAACCGCTTCAGGCATGCATGGCGAGCTCTCCATGATCCCGGCCTGCTCATTGGTCGAGTCTACCTCTTCGAATAATTTCGCTCTGAAGGATGCGATATGCTTCATCTGCTTGAAGCGTAGAACGAGCGCCTATGAGGGTCGCTGGACACTGCCTCGTCTCCCTGATGGGGTCTTATAATGACATTATCTACACAGCCTTGTGGTTCTCAGACTAAAATCTAGCACGGCGAGTGCAGATAGCTGAAGTTCGAGCAGGTTAAATAGCGGCCTTCTTCCCCTCGTTGATCTACGATAAGAAGCTTAACACGAAAAGCAAAGCTTGACACTCCCAGCGTATCATTCTTTCTTTTAATCTGTTGTCTCTTGGAAGGCCTCTTAGCCGGTCTCTTTGCAGCCATGACGATCGACTATCGCCATGGAATCTCCATTCTCGAACTGATTGTCTACTTCCCTACCTTATTCACTGCCCTATGGATGGCCTTCCATCATGGATTCACCCGGAGCTCAGGCTGGATCTTCTTCGTGATATTCTCGCTGGCTCGGATCATTGGCTCCTGCTGCTACCTGGCAACCATCAACGACCCTACGTCAATTGATCTCTACGTGGCATGGGCAGTTTGCACATCTATCGGCATTTCGCCTCTGACCTGGGCTTGCATCGGCCTTCTGTCTCGGGCGTAAGTATAGTCGGCGTTTCCATCCAAGCGAGTTGTGACTAATCCCTTCTTCCTTCATCTCTATATAGTAACGACTCAATCCAACGCACATCCGGCCACGCCCTACACCCTCTGCTGTTCAAAGTAACCGGCCTGATCACCATCGTAGGCATGGTTCTCGGCATTGTGGGCCAGACGAAAAGCACCAGCCCGACCGAAGGACTATACAACTCCAAGACCAAAGCGGCCCTGGTGCTCTACCTGATCGCGTGGATCGGCCTCTGCATCCTGCTACTTCTCATCTCCCTCCGCTACCAGAAGATCGAGGCCGGAGAGCACCGCCTCGTCCTGGCCGTCGGCGTCTCGATCCCATTGCTCTTCGTGCGCATCCTCTACTCGCTCCTGTCCGCCGTCGCCCGGAAACCCGAGTTTAGCTTCCTCAACGGAAACGTCACCATTCAACTGTGCATGTCGGTTCTGGAGGAGATCGTCACAGTCTTTGTCTGTCTGGGTATCGGCCTCACCTTGGCCGTCCGGCCGACCTTTGAGCCGTTTCAGCAGACCAACGCTCAGGAAATACCAGCTTCCGAGTCGCAGCACGATATGTCAGGTATGCAACATGAGAGCGCGAAGCCGGAGCACGGATACAAGAAGCGGCGGGGTGGGCCGATCTCGCAACTCGTTGGGCTTGCAGTAGATGAGATCAATTACCGCCGACAGAAGTGAACTTGGACTTGAGCTTCTGGTCGGACATGGTTCTTATGAGGTCCCTTGCATGGAAGGCATGATTTTTGTTGATTCTGTTGGGAAACTACTGTCATCGGCGTCGTTGGGCGTTTATGGGAATACCCGATATAGATTTATATTTAGAGCCGGCTGACCTCTTTTCTTTATTCCATAATTTTTATTCCCATAGCAGTGGACTGGAGACTTTTGTGTCATATTTGTGTCGTAGCTAGCTTGAGAGTCCAGCCAATTCAGGCGATTAGAGTTTACATAATGCTAGCGATTCGAGATAAATATTCCGGCTCGAACGTATCCCGCAGGTCTCTGGTATATAGGCTCATATATCCACCCATAAGTACCAAAAGTAATTTTGTTCTGGCGAAGACACAGAGCTACTGTAGCCCATAAGACAAAGAAAGCATCAACACCGCTCTGCAGTGGCTCTTTCTAAGCTTCATCGACGACCCCCCCCCTCCCCTTCTCCAGGACCGCACTCCCCAGCCCGCGAACAAACAATTTGCCACTTGGGGGTTAGCGTATATCACATGATCCTCTAAGCGAATCTCATATAATCATGTGATTGTTCCCCTCTCAAATTTTCTTCTCATCATTCATTTCTTTCCTGTCAACCACTCCGCCACTTCGATATTTCGACATCCTCACCAGAGCCATGGCTCTTCACAGGATGAGACTTGAATTCTGCTGCTTTCAACAGCCGATCGCAGCAGATTGATACTATTGCCTATCTGCATAATGCTGGCAGTCGGGCCTTCGCAATTGCTATGCAAACTCGTAGTGAAAACATGATGAACAAAAACCACACAGTGCGCTTCGAGCCTTTTCAATGGCGAAGAGGCATACTTTTTTTTAGTTCGTTCAGTGGAAGATCAAAACCAAACAGTTTTTAGCAGAGCTGCGTCTACTCCACCCTGGTGTTCGCTTTGATCGAACGGCAGGACTATTTTTACGACGGACATTCTTATCTTCGTAATTCTCTTTGTGTGCTGGATAGTGCTGGATGGTGTCGGAAACAAAAAGCCCGACGATCATCCATGCACTGCTTTGTAACAGAAATCGCATCCTAGTGTCTCGGTTGCTGGTGAAGCAACTTGCGAGTACGGAGTCCGGAGCTCCTTCACCCCCTTGCATGAGAGGTGATTCTGTGCGGCGTGCTGTAGCCTGAGGAGGCGCTGCTTATGCTTGGGTTCAACCCTTCGGGGGATTTATTCGGGCAGTCTCCCTAGGGCTCTGGGTCCTCCCGACCTGTGTGAGTTTGGGGACTGAACTGTCGCGGCGGATTCAAAGCCCATAATCCATGGCTTGCTCTCCCCTTCTGTGCAAGGTCATAGCAGGCCGATCGCAAGAAGCAGAGCATCAACTGATTACTCGCTCTCCTGCGGCAGTGGGATACAGTGGGATGGGACTCAATTCCGATTTCACCATCGTCTCACCATTTGGCGTAGAAGAGTCAACACTCAGTCGAGAAACTGCACCAACCGGCACAGCCAATCTACCTCCCGACTATAGATTTAATAATCAGCTTTGGGAGAGCAGCCTTCCCCGGCTCTAGAAATTGCCAAATATGGGCCACGAATCCGAGATGCCAAAAATGAGACGGGTGGAAGATCGGGCGCGGATGAGTAATGGCAACAGTCTGGACAGGCACCATTTGGTAAGACACCCAAAAGGTGGAGCCGAGGATGGCGAGAAGAACCAAAGAGAAATCGCAGGTTTATAATCGGAGCGTACCGGACCCGTTGCAGTATTATGATTGGGTTTGTGCTGTTTGGATTGTCGCATCGGCTATCTATCATCTTTCCTCCGTGAGAGAGACAGACAAGGGTTACCCCTCTCGCGACTGTCCACCGTATTGCGTTACTTGAGCAGTCTCTACTGATTGATCAGGGGAATAATTCCATTATAGGGATGGTCAACATTGGGAAAACAGGCGAGAGTCCAGGGAAGAACCATGGGTTGAGGCCCTGAACTTGCCACGAACCGCAATCTCCAACGGCCGCGGCAAACCATACGGCAAAGTCAAAAGTCTTCCAGAAGAAGCTGCAGGAAATGCGGAGAGAGAGAGAACAGAGACAGACACTTGCTTACTCAAGAGAATCGGGCTAGAGCTTCCCTCCTTTGGCTCTTACCATTGGTACCTCCAGGGATAATTGGAGGAGACGCGGGCAAACTGATGGAAGTGATTCGCAGCCTAGACTATTAGTATCCCTGCCTTCGTCCTTCTCCTCTTTCTTCTCGTACCTGTCACCTCTTCCCTTCCCTCCTCTTCCCCCTTCTTCTTGTCTCACCCTCCCTCAGTAGTCGATCAATTTCAAGAGTACTGTGTGTACCCTCTTGTCCTACCTTTTCAAATATCATCTCCCTCCATTCCAGTCATTCGTCGTACACAATGGCCTCCGCTGCTCGCTCGGCCTCTCGGGCCTTCCTTCGCTCGACTCCTGCCACTTCGGCTTTCAGACCCGCTGCTCGCAGCGCTCGCTATGCCCTCCCCTCCCAGGGCTTCCGCACTGCTTCCCGCCGCGGCTACGCCTCTGAGGCTGGCTCGGGCAAGTCTTCCAACGGCCTCCTGTGGGCTGGTGTTGCTGCTGCTGGTGCCGCTGGTGCTTTCTTCTTCCTTCAGGGCGGCGATTCTTCCGTGAGCTCCAAGGCCTTCGTCCCTACTCAGGCGGACTACCAGAAGGTGTACGACGCGATTGCCAAGAAGCTGGTCGACGAGACCGACTATGACGACGGCAGCTATGGTCCTGTAAGTTTTGACAACAATCCGAATAAGCCCGACTCGACACGATAACTAACCTCGGCATAACAATAGGTCCTTGTCCGTCTAGCCTGGCACGCAAGTGGTACCTACGACAAGGAGACCGGCACCGGCGGTAGCAACGGTGCTACCATGCGATTCGCTCCCGAGTCCGACCACGGCGCCAACGCCGGTCTGAAGCACGCCAGAGACTTCCTGGAGCCCATCAAGCAGCAGTTCCCCTGGATCACCTACTCTGACCTGTGGACCTTGGCCGGTTCGGCCGCCATCCAGGAGTGCGGTGGCCCTGCCATCCCGTGGAGACCCGGCCGTCAGGATAAGGACGTTGCCGCCTGCACGCCCGACGGCCGTCTCCCCGACGCCTCCAAGGACCAGAGACACGTCCGTGACATCTTCTACCGCATGGGCTTCAACGACCAGGAGATCGTTGCCTTGATCGGTGCCCACGCCCTGGGTCGCGCGCACTCCGACCGCTCCGGCTTCGACGGCCCCTGGGACTTCAGCCCCACCGTCTTCACCAACGACTTCTTCAAGCTCCTGCTCGATGAGAAGTGGCAGCAGAAGAAGTGGAACGGCCCCGTCCAATTCACCGACAAGACCACCAAGACCCTGATGATGCTCCCCACCGACCTTGCCATGATCAAGGACAAGGAGTTCCGCAAGCACGTCGAGCGCTACGCCAAGGACAACGATGTCTTCTTCAAGGAGTTCACCGACGTGTTTGTCAAGCTGCTCGAGCTGGGCGTTCCTTTCACCAGCAAGGCCGAGGACCGCTATGTCTTCAAGTCCCCTGAGGCATAGATCAGCCGCGGGTTTGTGTGAGGTGTGCAGTGCTATGCATAGCTTTTTGGTTTTCTAGTGCGATTTGGGATATTCTTGTTTGCTTGCGGGGCATTGCGTTTCTTGACTTGGTTCGACATTTTGATATCCGACATGTGTGTTCACGGCTCGCTTTCAACCGGCCGTAGCCCCTCTGTGTGGCTTTGTTCTCGACCTGATTGCCATTAGAAGGCATTGCACAGGCGAGTCTGGTGGTTGTATGTAGAAGGCATTTAGAGTATAAATACTAGACTTTCCACGAGACGTCTTGTTGTGTCAGCCCTTGCTGATGGTTGTAGTTGATGAAAGCATACCTGCATGATTTGCCTCTGTGAAATCGTAGTAGGCTTCAAACTGCTAAATAGCACCTGTGTATAGTTACTAATGCATGGCCATGGCTCTACCACGGTGTTTGTTGTAGGTTCCGACGTCGTTTGTCCCACCCACATGTTGCCGGCCAGAGAAGCTGCGGCGGCGGGCGGCGGGCGGCCGACCGCGCATGTGCGGAAAACGGCGAAGGAAACCCCCCGTCCGCCGCCGCATCCTAAGGAACCTTTTTTCCTTGTCTCTTTTGCGACAACCATCGAATCCCGATTGTGCATGGAATAAATCCGGCTACCCTTTTGTCCTCTCTATCAGACTTTGTCCGCGGAAATAAAGAGAAAACAAAGATACTATCCCAGGGAAAACCAAACTAAACGAATCCAGGCCAGACAACCCCGCCGTTGACTCGGCCAGAGCGAAGAGAAAAAAAAAAACGAAAGATCAAAATGACTCTGACCACTACGTCTCTCCCTCTCGATTACTACGAGATCCTCAACCTCTCCTTCACGACGACCCCCCTCTCTAAGCAAGAACTCAAGACCGCATATCACCGCGCCCTGCTCAAGCACCACCCGGACAAGGCTGCCGCCAGCGCCAGCGCGCCCACCCAAGATGCGCCTTCATGTTTTCTTGCCTCGCACACAGACATTTCTGCGCAAACGAGACCCTACACGATAGATGAAATCACCGCGGCATACAAAATTCTTTCTGACCCGGCTCTACGCGCTGAATATGATCGTTCCTTGCGATTAGATCGCGCGCGGGCCGCGGGGCGGGAGAAGACTGGAGGCAATGGGGTCCTATTTCACACGGGACTGGAGGTGGTGGATTTGGAGGACCTGGGCTGTGAAGAGGGCGAAGACGGCGGAGACATTTGGTACAGGGGGTGTCGATGTGGGGACGATAGGGGCTTCCTTCTAACCGAAGCTGACTTGGAGAGGGAGGCGGAGAATGGTGAGGTTGTGGTTGGGTGTAGGGGGTGTAGTTTGTGGATGAAAGTTTTGTTTGCGGTGGAAGATGATGATGGGCAGGAAGAAGAGGCCGACGTCCGGAGACAAGGGACTTGAGGCAGTTTTTGTGGGGAGATTTGTGTGAGAGCATAGTTATGCTCTTTCTCTGCTCTTCTTGTCACCTGGGAAACACCACCTGGATGATTATCCAGCACATGGATGCAGTGACACCGGATGCCACTTTGGTGGGTGAATTTGAGGCTTTCAAATGGCTCTGATCCTATGCGATTGGAGAAACAGCCCAGAGAGAATGTGGGAAGCTGTGGCCTTGTCGCCTGGGCTCCCAACGTCGAGGGTGGCCCGACAGGCTCGTGCTTGGACTCAATGCTCGTCAAGTCGAGGGACGGTCTATAAAAGGCATGATATATGTTCGAAAAGACGCTTCGATCAACTTTGAGCTCTGCATAGAGCCCTCCGCCATGTGCAGAGTCCGACTCCTAGCAGTTAGAGTGGTCCTTCTAGGCGCATTATACTCGATTATTTATGAGATATCTGCTGTCAATGAACTAAAACAAACCCAGAGAATGTGGAGACAGGTTTAGATTGAGACATTTCCAGTATGAACCTTGAGTGAATGTATTAGCTCGTTGACCTTGTAACGGTGGCCCTGTGTTGCAGTGAAGCGGCGGCGGCGGGGTTGAGTCGACTCGGAGTTGATGACATATAAATAGTCCATGGCGGAGAGGAAGGAACGAACCACCAACCTGCCCGGTCAACAACAACCTCATCCTCTACTCCTCCCACCCCCAGTAACACCTCTTATCTCAATCCTTCCACCAACCGCCACGATGTCAAAGATCGTGCATATCGCTTCCAAGGAGCAATTTAGCGCCCTACTGAGCTCGAGCACCTTCGTCGTAGCCGACTGTGAGCTTGTCTTCCCAGCTCCCCCACCTTCCCCTCCTTCTGTCTCACATCCACACCGGTTGCACAAATCTACCAACAACCACTCGAGCTAACTTTACCTGCTGTCCATAGTCTACGCAGATTGGTGCGGACCATGCACTGCCATCGCGCCCGCGTACGAGCAGCTAGCCTTGCAGCTGTCTCGCAAGGACCGGATCACATTCACCAAGATCAACGTTGACCAGCAGCAAGATATTGCCAAGGCATACGGCGTCACGGCGTATGGCCCTCCTTCTCTCTACCTATTGTTGTCGGAGAACCGCTGGAGACCTAGCTAATCATGACTCTCTTCATAGGATGCCCACCTTCATCGTCTTCGAACGCGGCCGCCCAACCTCGACTGTCCGCGGCGCCGACCCGAACAAGCTCAACGACGTCGTCCGCAAACTCGCCGCGGAGGCCAACAAAGCCGAACCTTCCGCCGAAGGCTCAGGCAGCAGCAGTGGGGGATATTGGATCGGAGGGGCTGTGCCGAAGGGCTACAGTGACATCACAGACCAAGTCGACCCGAAAGGACTGGAGCTGCTGAACCGGGCTAGCGAGTATGGCACGGCCAGGACGCTTTTCGATGGGCCCAAACCCTCCGCTCTGAACAGCAAAGGCAAGAATGCAGGAAGTCCGGATTGGGTGGAGAGCGACACCGATGAGCAGCTGATGCTGTTTTTGCCTTTCCAGTCCACCGTCAAGGTGCACTCGCTACAGATTACATCCTTCCCGCCCAGCGAAGACGATGAACGTGACGAGGATGAACGCCCGATGCGCCCCAAGACGATCAAGCTGTACACAAACCGCTCGCACGTATTGGGCTTCGACGAGGCGGACGATATCGACCCGGTGCAGGCGGTGGAAATCCAGCCGCAGAGCTGGGACTCTAACACGGGAACGGCTACGGTGGATCTGCGATTCGTCAAGTTCCAGAATGTGACCTCGTTGGTGATATTCTTCGTGGACGGCGATGGGGAAAGTGAGAAGTTGCGCGTGGACAGGATCCGCGTCTTCGGCGAGGCCGGCGAGAAGAGGGAGTTGGGCAAGTTGGAGAAGATCGGTGATGAGCCCGGCGAGTAAGTGATTATACAGACGAGATGTGGTATGTATGTACTCCGTACTTGGCAGGTGTTGACGGCTCGGGCGCGATGTTCATAATGGCGGGCTTAGTGATTGCACGCAGATAGAACTTGCATGAAGTCAAAAGACTACAAAAGCACATAGGTACAGCATGCCTAAGTAGCGATGACGGCCAGACACGTGAAGAAGTCTTCGTGTGTTCTAATCTCAACAGACCACGTACAAGCATCCAAGGTAGAAGGAGTTGTTCTTAATCAGAACAGCCCACTTGCTAATTGCCCACTGGAACTATCCCATAGAACTTTACGATAACTCTACGAGTCTCTTGCACGCAAGACTCAAAACTACAGAAAAATCCCTCAAAAGACCAAGCTTCCCATCCATTCCACATGCCAGCAGAATGAAGAGCAAACAAAGTCCATAGAGAAGAAATTTGAAATGTCCGATCCCAAACCAAATGGTCTCATCCTAGTAGAAAAGATTCAGAAAGACCAATAAAGTAGAACCGGTGTGCAATTCCGTTCGTCTGTGACGCAACTGACACCTGGGAATAAAAACATCACGGTAAGAGATGATGTCCAGGCAACACGGGTGAATGTAATAGTTGCGTCGCCGCACGAAGAAGAAAAAGAAAAAGAAAAAACGTGTTGAGGAATCATCGAGGCGGATTTTATAGTGGTGCTGGTGGGGTCTACTCGGAGGAAGTGTTAGTCCGGGCTTGAGGCTCGGTTAAGTTGGGCTGAGTTATGTAAGCTTTGCAGAGGGCGGTGAGGGGTGGTTGCTCGGCTGGGTTGGGGGGGGGGTGTTTTTTTTTTTTCGCGCTTTCTCTGTTTCTTTCTTTCTTTCTTCTTCTCCCATTATTATTATGGGCTGATGATGAGACAATTGGATGTTTAAACATATGATAGGAAGAGACTGACTCCCCACGATCAAGGGGAGATTGATCTTAACTACCATCCACTGAGGCCTATTTCGATTTTTACGCTGTTTTTTTCTTTCTTTTTTCTTTTAAAACTCGTTGGTTTTTTTGTCGTGTTGGATGGATGATTTTTCTGGTTGTGTGCTTGCTTACTTGCTTATGCTCGGTTTCCTGCCTCGATTCCTTCCATCGCTGCTACGTATCTTGGGACAGGCTCATTTTTGGGGTCCGTGGTTGCTTTTGCGAGTGGCGTCCACGCCGCTGGCCCCAGCTCAAGGCACGCACGCACGCACTCCTTGCTTGTTTTCGTTTGCTCGCCGCCCCCCTCCTTCCCTCCGCCATTCATGTCATGAAGGATTCCTGAAGGATGCGTATGGGTTGTGCGAAGAAACACAGCGACAAGCTTGTTAGTGTTTGCAAGGCTAGACGCGATCCTTCGCTGACTCCGGCCCGGCGGCCCCATGGTCAGACAGTCGAGAGGTCCAGGCGTGGCGTCGTCTCTCTATATCAAGATACTAGGGTAGATCTCCGGGAACATTTGTGAAGACATTGGGTGGAGGAGGACTAATGCAGTGACATGGGGCGAAGGAAGTAGTCGCTGACAGGGAGAGGAAGGGTACTTTTGCTTCCTTCATACTCTTCTATCAAGAAAGTCGAATGGGGGCTCGGGCCAAAAGCTGTCGTAATCCTGTAAATGCTTCCAGCCCGATTGATTGATTGATTGTTCATGGCGGTGCAGACCTGCAGAGTGCAGATAGCGCTAAGTCAGCTAAGCCAGTCAGCCCTGCAGCTGCAGTTTCAGTCGTAGACAATTGCTTGCCTTCCAGTTTGTTGCATTGCATGCAATATCAGCAACAGAAGAAAGAAGAAATCCCGGCCCTCTGTCTATCGGCGTTGCATTCTCGTCTCTCGCCTCGGCCACAGCCTCGCTCGCTTGCTCGTTTGCTTGCTGGCTGGCTTAGCCCTCGCGTCGCTGCCTATCTACCTACTTCACATCGTCTGATGATGCCTTTTTCAGCTTGACCGAAGACCAAAAATAAGCAGTCGTACGTATGAGGCTTGTGATTGATCCATGGTTCAAGATCTCTGCAGCCTTGAAGGTCCTCGCGAAGAGAAAGTTGGCCGCTGCAGACCATTCAGTAGGTGGTTATCGGTCCGGTCCAGCTTCCCGTGTCATCAACCAACACCCGCGATTTGTTTGGTCAATTTTTCCTCCATTTGTGTCGCCTAAGAGATAAAGACAATGACCAAGAGTGAAAGCAGCGGGTGCATTGTTCATTTTGGGACTTGACCAGTGCTTCTTCGTATCTGTGCTGGGGACTGTCTAACTGCGACAAGTCCACCGCGATCCATGGAACGGCTGTTCGCTGCTTCCTCCATCGCGAGCTTCTTATCTATCTGATACCCATAAAAAAAAAGTTCCGACATGTAAAACCAATCCACCATCATGCCATTTTTGCCCGGCCGCACGAGTCGGAGTGTGAGACACGGGCATTCTTCTGGGCGTGGGAGCCCTTGTTTCTCTTTCTTGTTTGCTCAAACACAATCCCCACCACCAAGGCAGGCTATTGTCTGGCAGGGCGCACGTATTGTGCATTGTGCAGAAAGCAATCTGAGACCTCCCTCTGCCATCCGGGAGGCAGGTACCCGGGGGCGCTCATGTCGATCCTTTGGCCCTGCGCATCCCTTCTTCCCGATCATCAATCGCCGGTTACAGATCTGCTGCCCGTCCTTGACATGATTCAATCCCAGATTACTGCGACCCAAGGTTGTTCCAGGAGATCTATAACTCTTCTTCTGTTTGGCGATTCATTCAGCGAGTGGCGGTAGTCGAGGTGACCGAATCATGGTTTCATGAGGTTCACCGTTGGATTATGTAACTCTGGTGACATTCAGGCGCAAACACTACGGTAGACTCGTGAAGGACGAAGAAGGTTTGCTTGATCGTGTGGAGTAAGCTCGTGCTATCGCGAATACTGCAATGGCTAGCCAACCAGAGTTCAACCCTAGGTACTTTTGGGGCGTAGATCGCACTATCAATCCGTGGAGTTGGCAACTTGGCAACGACCCAAATTTTCGAGCTCCCCATTCCGAGTGTGCATGACTCTTTGTTCCGATGCGATGTCTAAATTTGGTCGGCCGCATGTCGGATGCCTGCGAGCTTCCTCTATCTTTCGAGGGCAATCATAACGTCCACCTGCGCTTATGAGGCTTGGGCAAACCCCGGAAAGCCTCCGAATTATGACCTTATGGACCAGGGTGGCTGAAGGTGGGCTCGTATGTGCTGGAGGGGGCTCAAGCACACAACGCCGCCCACATCCACAGCCGAGTTCTCGACCCAGCCGCTATCGTGTCTTCGATGATAAATGAAAATAGGCTCAATTCAAACATCGTCCTGGTCGAAGAGTCAGAGATGTTAGAAATTGAGCTTCCCGCTGACTGAGTAGCTGTACCACTTACCTGTTCGCGCTTCCACGTAGAATTAAGCATGAGTTCTTCAAACCGTTTAGAAGGTAGGTTTTGGCTGCAGGCGAGGATCCGACCCAGGATAACGTCGTCCCATGCGCGGGGTTTCGGTTGGCGCTATTGGTCTTGGCCCTTAACCTTCGTGATGGTAGACTTTCTTTCGGTTTTCCTTTTCTGCCCGCAACAGAATTCGGATAGCTCTCTTCGTGGTGAAGCGCCGACACTTCCCCAATGACGCCATAATCCCAGAGATTTCCACAATCGGAAGTGGAAGAAAAGAAAATTGGAGAAGTTACGGGAAGAGGGCCCTAGGTGCTGGTAGTGAACCAAGATCGCGAATGGATCCTACGTTATCTCGTTTTCCCCAGCTAATTCCCTCAATTCGTGGGCCGCCCAAAGAAGACTCCTCTACATACCGCACTGGGGCTAGGTTCGGGAAAAAGAACCAATACCCTTGCCAGCGTGGAATGTGTGCCATTGAGGCGGACGGGACAGCACCTTGGATACCGATAGCACGACTAAGCGGCTTCGTCGGTCTGCTTTTGAGTTTGCTGGTTTTGGTTTGTAGGTACTGTAGCCTGGGAGACTAGCCTCTTCGCGGGCTGCATGCCCTCTCATGCCGTCAATCACAGTCACAGACAGCCCCAGCCATGAGCCAAGTCCATTGAAGCTGTCCGAGACGTGCACGTGCTGCACCAATGGCTGGTTGGCCCAGATTTTCAGCCCATGCGATCGGCCGCTCTAGTCCATGATCTTCCCTGCAGGCACCCAGGAACGGACCTCCCAGGGTGTCTTCCTCTCTGGGTCTGGGGTTAAATCCCTTCCCGACTTGAGACGTTGTGTGTTTTCCCTTGGTCTTCTCGCCTCAGGTGCTCGGAAGGAAACCGCCCGGACCCTAGAAGGGGCGCAATCGAAGCTCAGGCTTGAACGAGGCCATGAAGTGGTCCGTATCTGTCACAATGAGCCGCCGCCACGCGAGCTTTAAACTCTGGAGGCTTCGCGACAAAATTCCCAGACAGGTATGCTCATGGCTTGGCCGGCAAACTGTAAGGTTGAGTTGTCAGTGAATCTTTCTCTAAATCACAGATGAGTGGCCACAGAAAGGACAAAGGAGAAAACACAGATGCAGGTCCATACATACTTAGTTCTTTCCGTATAGTAGTATATCGTCCACCGCCAGATTCCTTAGCAAGTCCTCTATTATTGCTAGCACGAAGGGGGAGTAGCCCGGCCGCATGCTTGAGTCGGACGAGTGGACACGGTGTGCCGTAGCCTGTGCAGTCCCCGCAAAAAAAAAGTGCGGTATTAGCCTGAAGAAATATGCCGGCAGTCGGAACCTTGCCCACTTACCGGGCTGGGAAACTGCTTGGCAGCCAGCGAAGTACGAAGGTTGCAGTTATCATTACTCAAGCGACAGTGGGAACCCTCGCGTACTGCCTTGGAAGCAGTACAAAAGGGCGTCGCTAGACGAGCACAGTTTCCATCGCAACACCACGAAGGGAGAATTTCACGTCGCAAAAATAGTTATGGCAATGGTATGGTTGCTTGCTTCAGCCATAAGCTAAAAGGTGGGTTCCTCGGGAACCCCAGGGTCCGGCGGTAGTTGTTATTCATGATTGAATGATAGGGAAATAAAAGCTCCATGTGAATGATCCTCATACTCATACACCTTCACGGTTCATCGGCTTATCCTACCCTACCCAGCCGGATTTACGTCGTGAGTTGCAAATCACAGGTGGCGTCGGAAGTTTGCCGGAAACCCCGTGTCCACTCACTAGGGATGAA